GTGCCCTTTTTTTCTTCACTTTTTTTCACTGATATTTACTGCCGTCGTCGTCGGCGCAGCAAGTGAAGTCTTCCCTGTTTTGGCGCTCTCGCGCTTTCACCACCGATTTAGGGCCGGCCTGGAAATAGGTGACACATTTTCCGGATCCGTACTATCTATGGAATGTGTAGGGTGCCATCGCCTTATCCCAAGTCTCGTAGCGCTTGGTTTACACAGTAGCAGTGTATAATACCCATGATACGACTTTGAAGGTAGGTGGGCATTCTTGTTGTTCTTTTTCGTTTTTGGGAGAAACAATGACACCAACCAGCCTCTGACGCTGGCGGAGCTGACGCCGTGTCATTTTTCCTCTCTCGTTCCTATTTTTTGTCGTTCTATCACAGCCATCGTCATTATTGCCGTGAGAGTTATAATGTCTCTATAGCCGCGGTTGCTTTCCTCCGTGATTTTTTTCTTTTTTGGGTGACCGGCTCTCTAGCTCCACGGATGTCAGTCAGCTTGTGCAACCTGGATAAATAGGTACAGCATGTATTCTGGGCTTCAGCGCTAGGCAGCCGAATTCTGGCGGCAGTCGATTGTCGGATGCGGCTTGTCGCCCATGTGTCCTGGGGCTGCGGGACGTCCCGTGCAGGACGTGCAGTTGCTTGTGGTGTTACTGGTCACCACTGGCGCAGCCACCTGTTCCCGACTAGAAGGACTGCTTAGGTTGTGGAAGAATTCTCCCGCTCGCCAGCTGGGGCGCGGACGGTAGCACAGCCAGCCTCCTCTTTATGTCGTATGGAGGTTTGTCCTCCCCTAAGCATTTGGAAACCGAGAGACGAGCCGCGCAGTCCATCCATTCTGCTCATTCTAGTCTCTCTAGGAAGGTCCTAACGCGGACAACCCCATCACACACAAAATACTACCGAGTTCTCCATGCCTTAGCTTATTACTATTGCTATTAACCGACGGGCAGCACATAAGCAGTCAGCCAGTGTATGGGCCTTTTTCATGCCGAAACGGTCCGAAGAGTTGAGCGTGCAGCATCAGCTTCCATGCTGTTGGTGCAAAGGGCATAGAGCAGAGGGCGGGCGCCATTAGACTAGAAAGCCGTCTGCACAGCCACTGCCCAACCTTCTATCTAACATTCAGGTTCGTTGCCCAGTCTCTTAAGAATAGATAGAGTGAGCCCGACAGGTGAGTGCGGTAAGTGTCCGGTGGTGCTGCAGTGTAGTGTAGTTGGCGCTTGAGCGCCAAGAGCAGTTAGTCGAGTGGGCAGCATGGAAAATCGTTGCGGAGTGCTACACTCCCACCATAGTGTCCCCCTCTTCGACCATTTCCTCCACAATCCACATCCACCACCATCGGAGCCAGAGCCAGACATTTTCGAACTCATGCCGCCTCAGCTCAGCGCCACCATGTATGTCCTTGTGGGCGGTGACGAATAGCTGCCCTTCTCTTCGGCCTCCCATCGCTACAATCTCGATTGAAATCCATGACCCATAGCTATCAGCCAACCTGTACACACTACACACACTGTACGTACCACACAATAGACAATTATCCCCTTTCCGTCCACACATCTGCTTTCTTTTTCGTCCCTGCCCAAGGCAGCGTCTCCGAGTCCGAGCTGTAAGGCACGCGCTCAGTCTCCCAGGAACTCAAAAACCATGACGCTTTACTCTGATTTTCTTTCGCTACCTACCGATAGAAGAGGCCACACTGCCAACTAAAGTACAAGTACCTTCCCTTTATAACCGTGCCCACATACATGCATTATGCAACACATACAAGCAGAGAGTATCGTCACATACCTCGAGCCACGACTCCATTGTTGGTAAAGATTCCACTCTGTTCATCAAGTCGATCACAATAAGAGCATCGGAGCCGACGATGGTTCTGCCAGGGCAAATGTACCCGGCCTTCCTACATCTCAGGGCTGAGGCCCAAAGGGGGCCAACGCACACCTCGCTCTCATGGCACTCCTAGTTGGTGGCCTTACTCATCCCATACACTTCAGCCCGAGTGGGCTGACATGTGTGACGTAAATTCTTTTCTATTTTCCCCGTAATCTTCTGTTCCGTTCCCCGTCGTTAATTTTTGCTCTGGTCGTCATCTTGCTGCCGTGTTTGACATGATCTGCAGAGAGCCAGCTCGGACATGAGCGAGCAAAGCGAGAAAGGGGGTTCCTCAAACCTGCATGTCAGAATCTGCTGGACGGATTCACCGGCCTGACGCCAAGCGGCGTGTTTTGGTGATCCTGGGCTGGGCTGGGCTGGGCTGGGCTGCTACCTTCAGCCTCACTCTCTTTGCCCGCCCTCCAGCCGTTTTGCATTCACTCTTAGCACGGCTACGGTCTTCAGCTAGCTTGGATTGAGCGTCAACCCCCACAGAGAATGTCTAAAAAAAAGACGCAATAAAGAGAGTTGGAAAAGAGCGGATGGTGAATAGTAGACAGGTCCATGAGTCTAGCTTCCCCTTTATCGCCATCACTCCGGTGGCATTCCGGTGGCTGACGGTACCTTACATGAAGCATGATCGCTAGCTGGCCCGCCCCATAGCTCAGCTCCCCCGTTTTTTCTCTCTCTCGGTTGTTGTTGCCGTTGCGCAAACTCGGCCTATGCAGGCACATCAACGCCCCTGGTGAAGCCGCCCCAGACAGGCTTCTCTTCTCCCCACGAAGTTGGATGCTCTCCGCCCCTCTTTTAATTACCTTTACCTCTCTACTCCAGACTTTTTGCCCCTGATATTCCGAAACAGACCCTAGGTTGCTCTGCAGAAGTCGCGGGGGCCAAGGCCGACGGGTTTCCGTCTCCCGAACCCTTTCTCGACTTGACCATTGCCCAGGGATGGCTGCCGCGGGGCCGGAGACCGGGGGGCCGTAGAATTTTCCCCATATGTCCCCTTCTGCCTCGTAGCTCAGCTTTCTCCCTGGCTGGAGGGTTACTAAGTAAAGAATATCTTGTAGGTAAGGGGGAGGACAGGTAGCTCCAGCTCAACCTGGTCGGGAAGCGTGAGACGGCAGTGGAGAAAACCGTCGCGGCAGAGCTTCCGTGTTGATGAATGCGGAGGGAGTGGTACTGGTATGGCATATCTCTTGGGTACAATCATTTCCGATTCCTCTGAGTTAACCAGTCACCATGATTGCGATCCAGAAGACCACGTCACCCCTCCCCGCGGTAGAATCTATCCGGCATATCTTGAAACCGAACCATCGGAACATTAATACACCTTGTTTATGAGATTGGGTTGGAGATTTTGAAGCTGTGACCTTCCCGACCGACCCCCAACTTGAGCTCTGGGCGGCTCTCCCCTCCTAGACCCTCGGTCCGCTGTAGCTATTCCCGATGAGAATGCGGTGCCCACCATCCCCTTTCATGTTACTCCTCCTTTTCCATGCCCTCCTTCATTGACCCCAGAATTCCTAGCGAGGGCTCCCTCGATGTCTTGTCGGCTGATTCCGCCCCCCCTTCAATACACATTCTCCGTTCTCTCAGCCAGCTCCCCCCTTGACCGAGCTCGGCATTGGGGGTTGTGGCGAAATGAGCGAGGCCCACGGGAGTTCACTTTTGATACTGCAACGAATAATGGCGTTGCATGGTCTGCAGGTCGGCTGGCCTTATCAACGGCACAAAATAAGTGGCCTTGTGGCAAAGTCACTGGGCCGCGCTTGAGTCTCGTCCGGGGGTGTGTGCCTCACCATCTGATTAGACCTCGTGGGAGAATAACAAACCTGTTAGGAGCCGACAACGGCCGTTGAGTGGCTAGCTCCCGTGGAACTAAGCGCTGGGCAGCTTTGATAGCTTCTGAATGTGTCAAATATAGGTATTTGATATACTCTAGGCATGGACCGGGACGCGCCTGAAAGTGTGCTCAATCCGGTGGTTAGTTACCCGGTCTGGACGCCGGTGGTTTGACACGACCGTTGGCAATGCTGGGGTGTGGTATGTGCAACCCTGTGGCAAAGTCTGCCTTTTGGCAAAGCCTGCCCCGTGCCGTATATCGAACAGACACCGCACGCATACATACACCGCCTACACATGCCTACACAAACACCTCTTCACATACATACATACATACATACATACAAGCAACCAAACCGAGACTGGAAAGAAAATGGGCCCACTCACTCAATTGTCGTCGAGAAGGATGACCGACAGCGTTTTACTCGACGCCACACGGCAATAATACGACCTCTGTGTCATGATGGTTTCATTTCTCGTCTCGTTGGGACTGCCTGCCCTCCTTCTCAGCATGGCTTAGCTGAGGATTATTTAAGTGAAACTAATTGAAAGACAACGGGGCGACGAAAATTAAAGAGGAGAGAGGAAAAAGAAACGAGGGCGATCACCAAAGGTGCCCCCAAGCCCCAGCCGAATGATTTGAGGGAGACATTCGCGGCCATAACCTGGAATTTACCTGTCTCGTTGCCTTCAATTTGTAATTTCTTTTCTGAACCCTCTTTCAGAGCCCGACCAAGTTGCGGAAAGGCTCAAGAGAACGAATGCATTACAAATATCCGATGACAATGGGACGAGGCGTGAGGAGCCCAGCAGTTTCAAGAGAAGCGAAGTCAACCTAGGTACAGGTACAGCACGATAATCTACAAGACAGTGTGTAGATACTATGCTCAATTATTTGGTCTTCGATGAGATCCCCTCAGGGGAAAACAAAACAAAAACGGCAAGGGGAAAGTCGCCTGTTCGGATTGACCCACGAGACTACCACATAGAGGAATATCGATCAAACTGTTATCTAATTCCACTCGGACCTAACATGGTGGTCTAAACCAAGTCAACGCGTACACATGGGTGCCATATGAGTTTGCCGTAAATCCGTCTTTTGGGTGCTAATAGGAGGTTGCTGGTAACCTGAGATTTATATGAGTTTTCTTACCTCCCGGCATGCCGCAGCATCTATTAAAGCTAGTTAATAAATTGGCCTTTATTGCTTTTTGTCTTGTCTCACTAATAGAAGACATCGTAGAAGAATAATTGCCGCTACTATTACGAGTCAAGGGGCAATCGAATGCCTTAGAGCATAGAAACAAAACTATATGATGACGGTCGAGATACTAATGTGAATGGACCATTGGTTGCTTTCAATATCTATTTAGCTTCCTGCCACATACATGGCTCATGGCTCATGGCTGGAACCTATTTCCGTGATCTAATAACTGAGGTGATTTCTATCCTGTATGCTAGCGCCATGTGTTAAAGCATGGAATCCCGAAACCTGCCCCTTCTTTGCCCTTTCCGCACTTTTGAGTTGATCATAAATGCAATGCCGCTCCCGCTCCTGATAACAATGCTAAGATGACGAAAGAAGTACGTATAAAAACAAAGTTTTCCTCCGGGCTAAGGAGGAATATGCCATGCGAGAGAGAGCGGTGGGAAGAGAGACTAGCAGAAGGACACTCCCTAAACCAATTCAGTGTCTAAAATAAGCCCTCTATTTCTCCCGTCTCAACATCGACATCTACGTTCATGTAACCAGGGGCAGTGGGAAGACCTGGAATCGTCTGAATATCTGCCGCCAGGGCATAGAGATAGCCTGCGCCTGCTGCCATCCGCACGTCTCTGATAGGAACAGTAAAGCCAGTAGGGGCGCCCTTGAGGTTTGGGTCGTGGCTTAGCGAGTACTGCGTCTTGGCGATGCAGATTGGCAGATTCCCAAAGCCCTGGCGCGTGTATGTATCGACCTTTTTCTGCGCGAGTTTGCTGAACTCGACCTCGGCAGCACCGTACATGTCGCGAGCGATCTTCTCGATGCGCTCCTGCACCGTACCATCGAGGCTGTAGAGAAACTTGAAATCCTTAGGCTTATCAGCCGCCGCCACGACACCCTTGGCCAAGTCAACGGCACCCCTGCCGCCCTCGGCCCAGTGGTTGGCCAAGATGGCATCTTCGGCGCCGGCCTTGATGGCCTCCTTGCGGATAACCTCGATTTCAGCAGGCGTGTCTGTCGAGAATTTATTGATGGCAACAACGACGGGGACGCCATATGATCGTGCGTTGGCAACGTGCTTGGCTAGGTTGACACAGCCTTTGCGCAATATCTCGACATTTTCCTGCTTGTAGACTGGATCAAGAGCCGCACCGGGCGAGATGGGCGGGCCGCCGCCGTGAACCTTTAGAGCGCGAACCGTCGCCACAACCACAACGACGTCAGGGACGAGGCCTGATGTTCGGCACTTGATGTTGAAGAACCGCTCGCCGCCCATGGTAAAATCGAAGCCAGCCTCGGTCACGACGAAGCCAGCCTTGGTTGCGTAGTCCTCATCCGACTCAGTCCCGGCAAGCTTGAGCGCCATCTTATCGGCAAGGATGGCGCTGTTCCCGATGCTGATGTTTGCAAACGGCCCCGCATGGACAAAGACGGGAGTGCCCTCCAAGCTCTGCATCAGATTGGGTTTGCTGGCATCTCTCATCAGAGCGGTCAAGGCGCCACCAGCACCAATGTCGTCGCAGGTTATGGGGTCGCCAGCCTTGGAGCTGGCAACTACCATCCTCCCAAGGCGGTCCCGCATGTCTGCCAAGCTCGTACTGAGCGCCAGGATAGCCATGCACTCGCTGGCTACCGAAATATCAAAACCGGTCTCGCGGCTGTGTCCCTTCTCCGTAGTGGCGTTACCGACAACGATGCCACGCAAATGCCGATCGTTCACGTCCAGCACACGTTTCCATGTAATGGTTTCAGGGTCTATATCAAGCCGCGCGAAGCGGCTGATCTCGTCCTCGGTGAGCTCATTGGGGTTTGTCTTATCAATCCCAAGCTTCTTCAGCCGGCGCAACATAGCGGGCATGAATACCTTCTTCCCGTTCTTGACCGGGACCAGGCGTCTGTAGAGGGCGGCATCCCTCTGGGTGTTCTCGTGGAACATGCGGGTATCAATAGCAGCAGCGAGCAGGTTATTAGCAGCCGTTATAGCATGGATGTCTCCTGTTAGATGGAGGTTAAACTCATCCATAGGGATGACCTGGCTGTAGCCACCACCGGCAGCGCCACCTTTGATGCCGAAAGTGGGCCCTTGACTGGGCTGCCGGACGTTGGCAAATGTGAGGCGGTCAAGATGAGCCCCCAATGCCTGGGCGAGGCCCATCGTGGTAGTCGACTTGCCCTCACCCAAGGGGGTCGGGGTGATGCCAGTCACGACGACATAGCGGCCGTCACGGCGGTGGCCTAGGCGTTTGAGGATGCTCAAGTCAACTTTGGCTTTGTATGCGCCATAGGGCTCCAGTTCCGAGGGTGTGATGCCGATCTCAGCGGCGACTTGAGAGATGTGCTTGGGGACCTGGGCCCTGGAGATAGCAATATCGGAGGGAACGGGATCTAATAGGGTCAGAGACAGGGGGGCTATGTGTCGGTGCCTCTCGGCCTCAAACGATCGCGTGGCAGCATCAAACACGTTCTGCAGAAGCATGGCAACCGTCATAGGGCCTACGCCACCCGGGACAGGGGTGATGAAGGAGGCAACCTGCGAAGCTGACTCAAAATCCACGTCTCCAACCAGGCGCTGGCCCGACTTCTTAGTAGCGTCGGGCAGATAGTTTGTGCCCACGTCTATGATGACGACGCCCTTCTTGAGCGACTCGCCACGGATGAACTCAGGCCGGCCAATGGCAACGACGAGCACGTCGGCATTTTTGAGGTGGTGTTCGAGATCCACGGTCTTGGAGTGACAGACCGTCACTGTGGCGTCGGCGTTCTTCAGGAGGTAGCTGACAGGGCTGCCAACGATATCGCTGCGGCCGACAACCACGGCGTTCTTGCCGGCGAGGTCGACACCGGCTTCGGCAAGGAGGACCATGACGCCTTTGGGGGTGCATGGGATAAAGAAGGGGCGGCCGCCGCGCTTGGCGAGCTCGCCAATGTTGGCTGTGCCGAAACCGTCGACATCCTTCTCATTAGCTACGACCGAAGTGACGGCATACTCGGAGACGTGGCTAGGGAGTGGCAGCTGGACCAGGATTCCGTGGACTGCGGGGTCGTTGTTTAGCTGGTGCACGCGAGCAACCAGCTCCGCCTCGGTGGCAGTCTCGGGGTAGCTGACAAGCTCGCAGTGAATTCCGCACTAGGCGCCGGAAAGAATCGGAGTTAGTACGAGCGAGCTCCGACGCCGACGGTGGACTAGGCAGGAGCCCGGGGTTCAGAGGGACTTACCTCCTCGGCGGCCTTGAGCTTCATGCGCACATAGGTGGCTACGGGGCATTGTTGTCAGCCAAAGGCTGCTCTTGGAAGAGTAGCGCGGGGTTGCTGGCTCAACGGCTTACATGAATCTGATCGATCACCAACTGGCAGTGAAAGAAAAATTGGTCAGTTAAACCTGTTTGTCTGTCTGTCTCCTGTCTCTCCCTCCATATCTGCAATTGGCAAAAGACGTACGCACCTTGGATGATCTTGAGAGAGGGCTGGTAGCGGGGGTTGGCCTCCTTCTTTTGTGCGATTTCGTTGCGCAGGCGCTCGCGAATCCTTTTGGCAATGGCCGTTCCGTCAATCTTGATGGCCGCCATGGCTCCTACTCCTAGGGGGTGTGGGACTTCTGCAGTTCCTGGGCAATGACTGATGTTGATGCTGCTGCTGCTAAAATTCCTGGTCGCGCGGGCAGGGCAAGAGAGAGAGCGACAACGGAAACCGAGGACGTGGGAGCCAGCAGAGGCCGAGGACTTTGACGTTGCTGGGCGCAAAAATAACGAAGCAGTTTTGGTGCAGCGGTGGTGGTTGCCGGCGTGATTGGTGGATCGCGGGGCCGACGGCCGCAAGGAGCACGAGGAATGCAGTGTGCTAGCCGAGGTAGAACACTGAGGAGCTCCAGGCTCTGCTTCTGCTTCTGCTTCTGCTTTTGCTTCAAGTCCAAGTCTAGATTGCGTGCTCCACGTTGACTCAAAGTCTGGTCGTGACTCGTGTCTAGCCAACCATGTCGCGCCGCGACGAAGATGGTAGAGGCAATGGCAATGGCCCGACAGGGTTCTGCATCCCGAATAGTAAGGGCCGAGTCTGCTGCTGGCCTGCTGTATTTGCAGCTGCCGTTGCAGCTGGGAACTAGGCGCAAGATTTTGTGCTCTCCTCGATGCCTTTCGGACCAGATGTGAGAGCGACATGTGTGCTGCCGTCCTGTGTTTTGCGCCCCTGTTTACGCCCCTGTTTGCACCTATGCTTGCTGCCCTGTCCTATTTTCTCGTCGATGGCATGCAAAAAGAATGGACAAAAAGGACACAAGTCAAAGAATGCTATTAGCCAGTCAGGCTGTTTTGGGCGATTGACAGGTAAAGAATGCGAGCGACGAGTACAGACGGTAGCGACTGATTGCTGTCTCTGTCTAGTCGGGGTTGGAAAAAGTGAGTAAAAGAGAGACCAGAGAAGACAAGTCCAAGTCAACCAACCCTGTGAGGACACAATTGGCCCCAACACGACGCAGAAATGACCGGACAAAACAAGTTAAAAGGCGTCTATCCCACTGGCTAGAGTCCTACCGCGCGTCTATCTTTTATATTCGCGTAGCATGGTTTGCTCTGCGAGTTAGAAGTTGCCCATAGTGCGCACTAGAGACTTTGACCACAGTCCACAGGAGCATAATTTTGGGGATAGAGTCGTTCCCTTCCCGTCCGCGGTCTACACCAAAGGATCAAGATGTAGGTAGGTAGTGAAGGCTTGTTCAAAAGGCACTGAACGCCTCGTTTACGATCTGCTAGGCACATATCACGATAGGAAGCAAAAGGGAGACCAAGGTAATTTACACATAAAAGGGTGACTCGAACTAACCTGGTCGGCTCCGTCCTGCGCTTTCGGTTGTCCTGGCTGTTAAACCTGGGAAAGCAGTTAGAAAGCCTCAAGAAGAGGTTGAATGAGTCAGCTAATGATTGAAGAGTCATAAAGACATGTGGGGCCCTCCCATTGCTTTCAAGTAGCCTTCCTGGAAAAGTAGGGAGGGGCTCATCTAAGCCTGCTAGGCCATTTGCCCCGCGCTTGACCTTGGCTTTTGGGCCTATCGGCGCCGAGCGCACAATCTGCGGGAAAATTCCCTGGCGGGCAAATCCATCTCCATCACGTCGCAGACACGACTACTGAAAAACCCAGCACGTCCGCACCCCTCGCAACCTCGAACCCCCCCCATCCCGGAACTGCGTCGACGGCATCTGCGATCTAAATAGTTGCCTAATATGAGGCCCATTCTGCTGTCGGGCCACGAGAGAGCCCTTACACAAATCAAGTCAGTTTTCTCTCTTTGTATTCGTGCTTAGCCTGGAACGTCCTTCTGCAGCATTTGAATCTTTAAAATGGGACCACCTCCGTCTAATAGTGCTTTTTTGCCCTGCTTTCAGATATAACCGCGACGGCGACTTGATCTTCTCGGTATCCAAGGATCAGCAAATCTGCGTTTGGTTTGCCCACAACGGCGAGCGGCTAGGCACATACCACGGCCATGTGGGCGCTATCTGGACCGTCGATGTTGATCCTACGTCGACCATCATCGCCTCCGGCTCAGCCGACAACACCATTCGACTCTGGGACATCAAGTCGGGCAAATGCCTAAAGACATGGGAGTTCCCGACAGCCGTCAAGCGCGTCGAGTTCAACGAGGATGGCACTAAGCTGCTTGGCGTTACGGAGAAGCGTATGGGGCACCTGGGCACCATTGTCGTGCTGGATATCAAGGTCGACGTCGATGCCGAGCAAACCGACGAGAAGGAGCTTACCATCGTGTGCGACGAGAGTAAGGCCACTGTAGCCGGGTGGAGCTACCTTAGTAAGTACATCATCGCTGGCCACGAGGACGGCTCCGTATCGCAATACGACGGCAAGACGGGCGACCTCATCTACAACATTCCCATCCACGAGCTCAATATGGCCATCACCGATCTCCAATGGTCGCCCGACCGGACATACTTCATTACCGCATCAAAGGACAAGACTTCAAAGGTAATGGCTGTCCCTACCGAGGCGGAGTGAACCTGGCTACACGACCTTCTGAGGCGGGAGAGTGAGGACGCTAGCTAAACGACGGTCGCTAACTTTTTTCCCCTTGAATAGCTTATCACAGCAAGTGAACTGGAAGTTCTCAAGACTTACGTTGCCGATACCCCTCTCAATAGCGCCACCATCACAACCAAGAAGGACTTCGTCGTTCTAGGCGGTGGCCAAGCCGCCATGGACGTGACACGCACATCGGCGAGACAGGGCAAATTCGAGGCCCGCTTCTATCACAAGATCTTCGAGGACGAGATTGGCCGTGTCCGCGGTCACTTCGGCCCCCTGAACACGGTGGCAGCCGATCCCACCGGCAAGGGCTACGCGAGTGGTGGTGAGGACGGATACGTTCGCGTCCATCAGTTCGACAAGGGTTACTTTGACTTCATGTACGAGGTGGAGCGGGAACGGCAAAACAGATTAGCTTGAGATGAAAATGCGCAGGTTTGGGGCATTTTTACGGCGTTACATAGGCACAGCTGGGCCAGGTGGTTAGGGTGAAATGGGGGCCTAGAAAACACGGATTTCAGCCCAGGTATTCATTAGTTGTTAGCCAGGTTTGGTGCTTCTACAACCTCGTACTAATGCGGATACCTTTCACGTCATCTAGTCTTTCAATGACTATATCTTCTTCAGCTGTTACACATGTGTTTTCGCGAAGTGTTCATTCAGCCTGGCATTATCTTGAGGAGAATATGGTGCCGGTTCGGGAATCTCCTCTTCGGCCTCTCCTTTAGCTAAACTGAGTCAAACTACACATCTGTCAGCAGACATGGCCAAGAATGGTACACTGGTGAAATCGAATCTTAAGACTCTGAGTACCAAACAATGAGATATTTCTGTTAAAAGACTCGATACCCACCGCACCCAACGGTATACTAACAAAGCAAGACTTGTTGGCCTATAACTGAGACTCTTGTAGGAAGATTGACAAAGCAAACAGCCCAACGCCCGTCCTCTCTAGGCTTAAGTGGAAACCCGAATCCCTCCCCCCTTTACGCAACCGACGTTTAATTCCCAACCACAAAACAGCCAGCCAAGTAGAAAACGTCACTCCATCATGCACGCCTCACATCACTAGACCTCCCTTCCCGGACCTCCCGATTCTCGTTCTTTAGCACAGATCTTCGCACTCTCACTTCTTCTTGCCCTTTCCCTTCCCCTTGGAGGCTGCAGCGTTCGAGTTCGTAGACAAGACACTTGAGGCTCTAGATGGAGAAGTAGAGTTCGCCTTGCTGCCGGTCGCCGACTTGACGTTATCAAGATTCTTGTTCTGTGTATCATATCAGCATTCCAATCCCCCTGGGTTATGCTAGTTGTAGTCGGTAGGGCATACCTTGACACCATTCGCCTTGGTCTTCTTCTTGGCTGGAGCCATACCGAGTATACTATCTTCATCATTCTCGTCGTCCTCAGGTTCCCTCTTAAGCTTTCCATTAACGCCGTTTGTTTTAGTAGTGTTAACATCCTCAAACTCCTTGACAATGGTGGTAAGGAGGGTGCTGCAGCGGCGACTAATTTCTGTGGGCGTGCGGCTCAAAAAGAACCAGTCGAAGCGGAAAAGTGGACTCTCTCGAATCTCGTCCCGGATCTTCTCGTAGATACCCTCAGAGTCGACACCATACTTATCGAGCAATACCAACAGAAACCGGTCTTCCTCTTCTGTGTAAACCTTCTTGTTGGTGGTCGAAACTGAATAGTTGATCTTGAGTTGCTGCAACGGGACACGATACTGGCTCATTTTCTTGCGCAGCATCTTGCGCTGATGCTCGATTTTGCGCATGCGCTCTTCGCCGTCTTCGATGACCTTTATATATTTTGGGTAATCCGCAATCTCAGCGAATCGTTGCCAGAATACCTTCGCATAAGCTTTAATCTCTGCTGGAGTCTTGCTGTCGACTTCGAGGGAGATGCCCTCGTAATCTGTCCGGCCATAGCGTCCTGAGCCGTTGACGAACTGCTGGAAGTCTCGCCGGTTCCATTCGCCAAAGCCTTGCAGGGCCAGCCTCTGTTTCTCTTCCTGCTCTTCCTCAGTCAACGGGGTTGCGTCGTCAATCTCCTGTTGGTCGAGGGCCCTCTCAGCTTCGCGTTCTGACAGGTTCTCGTCGTCTTTGTCGGGAGGAGGAACTTTGTAGCCAATCTCCTTTCGGTAAAAGGCGGTTTCCCGGTCTTGGAGCTCGCGGAGCCTCGGTGGGTAAAACTGGTAGTCGTGCACAGGCACCTGCTTTGGAGCTCGAGGAGCCTTGGGTTTCGTGTCGGCCGTCCGTCCACCAGTCTGTAATGCCTGCTTGTAGTACTTGTCGATCGAGTAAATCTGCTCCTTTCGCTCCCGCTTTGCTGGATTGATCCAGCTGATGCCGATGTCTTTTTTGCGAGCTGCAAAGTCCTCCCCGTTCCATTCGTATGCTGACTCGGACGTGAACTTTTGCAGGTCCTCAATGCCAAGCTTCTCATATTTCGCATTCAGTTCCTTGGTCCGACTCGCGCCGGCTTCGAGAATCGCGTCAATATCATCGTCATGCAGCTCACCCCCATTCTCTGCTAGTTTGCCGAACGCCCCTTTGGTCTGGAAGACTTTCTCAGCGCCATGTTGAATCATGGACAGAAGTTCGTCCTTGTTAGCAGCGGCCTTCGCAGCGACTTGCGCGCGGCCTTGCTGGATAACTAGCTGATCAAGACGCAGCTTTTGTGCTGCTCGCTCTAGGACTTTCTCTTCAATGGCATTGTCTGTGACGAATCGATATACGACCACCTGTTTGGTTTGACCAATACGATGCGCGCGATCCATAGCTTGTAGATCGGCCTGCGGGTTCCAGTCGCTATCATATAAGACAACAATATCAGCGCTTGTTAAGTTGATGCCGAGGCCTCCAGCTCTTGTTGTCAACAAGAAGACAAACTTCTCGGAGCCCGGTTTGTTGTATTCGTCAATAGCCGCAATACGATCTTCGTGAGCGGTGCCGCCATCGATACGGCAGTACTTGTATTGCCGAAACACACAATAATCCTCAAGAATATCCAGCAGGCGGCTCATCTGAGAGAAAATAAGTACTCGGCTTCCCTGTCTCTGCATTCTCTTCAAGAGCTTATCCAGAACCATCATTTTGCCGGCATTGTAGACAAGATGTTCGTCCGTGGTATATGGCGGGCCAGGTTCGGCGCCCTCAAAGAGGTATGGATGATTGCAGCATTTCCGAAGCTGCATGACAATGTTCAAGAGGCGCGTTTTGGACTCGCGTTTCCCGCCCGCTCCGTTGACGGCGTCAATGTCCTTCTCCAAGATTTTTTGGTACCACTTAACCTGCATCTCGGACATTCCAATATAGACATTGACTTCCTTTTTGGGCAGCAAGCTTTTCTCCACGTCGCTCTTCACGCGGCGAAGTAGGAATGGCCGTAGGACTCGGTGAAGCTGCTGGACAACCTCGTCCTGGTTCCTGTCTTGACCTGAGAACCATTGGTCGAATGCGTCCGAGTCGCCAAAGACGTCTGGCAAAAGGAAATTGAGAAGGGCCCAGAGCTCGTGCAGGTTGTTCTGTAACGGCGTTCCGGTGATGAGGAGACGATTTCTCGAGTTGAACATCCGGATCACTTGCGCTAAGGACGACTCCTCGTTCTTGATTCGGTGGGCTTCGTCAATAATGATGTATTCCCACGCAAACTTTCGGAGATGAGATTTCTCTCGAAGGACCATCTCGTAGCTGGTGACACAGACATCGAAGTTTTCGTCTACAAGGCGGTCGTTGATGAGCTGGTGACGCTCCTCCTTGGCACCCTGCAACACCAAGACATTCACTTCTGGAGTCCATCTTGTGAACTCGCGATTCCAGTTGTCGAGTGTGGACTTGGGTACTATGACCAGATGGGGACCAGTAATTCCCATAATGTGTCGCAAGTATCCTAGAAAGGATATCGTCTGCAGTGTCTTGCCAAGACCCATTTCATCGGCAAGAATTCCGGAGATGCCGTTCTCGTGCAGCGATATTAGCCAGTTCAATCCGGCCACTTGGTAGTCTCGCATGGTGCCCTGGATAAAGACAGGAGACTCGCGGAAAGCTGTTTCCGCTGCACCACCACGCTTCTCGTCTTTTAGTAGCTCGGCATCTTCCTCGGCTTCGGTCCGGCGACGTCGCTCGCTAGTAGCACCGCCCTGGCGACCGGCGCCTTTCTTCGCTCGAGCGGCTTCCTCGTTTTGCCGATCAATCTCATTCATGATTTCGCGAATCTTGGGGTCGGGGTTCGTCTCGATGAAGTGGCGGAATAAATCTGTCAGGCCGAGAAGATATCGAAAACGTCGAATAGTATCATCCTCCTAGAGGATCATGAGTATCAATCCGGAGGTTGATATGGTAAGAAGTTGACACTCGCGCAGTGTTGCTTACCTTTGACTCCCCTAGTCTGTCATGCTTCTTTCCAAAGATGCTCCGTCGCAGCTGGTTGACCTCGGTGCGCCTCTTACGGCCATCACCCACAGGTTCACCAATCACGCTACTAGCCGTAGTGTTAGGGTTCGTGTCCGAATCGGTGTAGTCGGGGGTCTCGTCGACGTCCTGGCGAATTTCAGTTTAAGATTTCGGGATACAGGTAGCCCTCCATGATCCTACAATTCTACCAGCGGGGAGAATACACAAGATGACATACCATAACGATGCCGGTGTGATTGCCTAATTCGGGCGCGTCCGGCATTGACGCGTCCGTCTCGTTGTCGCTGGGCCGCGGACGGGGAGCCATGGCTGACTACAATTACTATCGAGTAGTGGGCTGCACGCCACTAACACGCGACTTAGACGCGCTTGCGCAAGAAAACCAGACCGTTGTGGGCGTTGATAGAGGCAGGTCAAGTGTCGCGATGTGGTTTGCCGATGGCTGAGAGAGCCTGAGCTGCCAGTCAATTAGAGAGGTAGGCTCGGCGTTCAAGGTGTTGTGTATGGTGAAGGAGAGGTGCCGTGCGGGTGGGATTTTCTTAAAGTCGAGGTGCCCCAAAACGGTCGAAAGCGCGTTCTAGCTGACCAATTAGAGAGCCCGGCCAGCGGAGGGGGATCAAAGTTGATGCTGCAACGCCCGGGCCTCAAAGCAATGGCAGGGCTAGCATGCGGAAGTATGGTACAATACGGAGAACAGTATTTGATTCGGTAGCCCCGCGATTTTTTTAACATAACATAGACTAGCTAGAAGGGAAGTTCGCGGGAGACTACAAGTGCCCAGATCACAGACCACCTCATACATCCACTTAAATTTTATTCCATAGTGACCTCGTTGTAATTCACGTGGTCCAACAAGCTGACCGGATGTATTTGTTAGAAAGTCAGGATGCACAATACTCGTTCTTTTTGCTCTACCTTTAAAGTTCTACCCATTCTCTGCTTCTGCAGATCGGACTTGATCGGCGGTTTCCTTCACTTCAGGGTACTGCAAGGAGAAATCGTCCGCCACACACACTGTGTAAGAAAGCATCTTACCTGTGCACTAAGAATCCACAAAATTTTGTTCTCAGCACTCACTGAGGTAGGCTCAAGGTTTATGAAGGTGCATTCTTCTGTTGATCGTGCTAAACCGCATATATCGGATTTTCCACCGTGAAATCCATTACAAGGGCCAAGAAGTTTGCCCGGGATTCACGGCTAAGTTTAGTGTATTTTCTATTTACAGGCAACGTGCACGTGGAGGTGAAGTCGTTTTGGGGCCTAAGGTTTAAGGTTTGCGCCTGGGCAGGTTGGCAGGGAAAGATTATTCCGTACTGTGTAGTAAACACCCCGCTAGGCTAGACCAATCTCTTACCTCAGCATCGGCCAACCTCGTGCACATGACCAACTCTGCCTGGCGTCTTGACAGGTTGACAACACAGCAACCAAGGAACCCAAGCAAAACTCCTAGGGCGAGCCCAACTGATCTTGCACCCGCATCGCGGGCAAATAAATCATTCACCAACTGGGTCTAGAGTTCTAGCACTGCTCCATAAAGAAACTGCTTTGACCCACATTGTGACTCGCTTTTCCGAAAACCCCTCACCCGGTCGCCGCACCCACAGCTTGGGATTCCACCAATTTCTACAACAGCAGCGAGGTTGCCTTTGTCAAGACACGGATCAAGGGACTTTTTGAGATCGCACTCACCCCAAACGCAACCGCCCTCGGGATAATCTGTGCATAGTCCGCCCACCGCACACAACAATGAGCAGCGAATCAACAGAGCTCCTCGACGCCTTCAAGGCAGCCGCTTTATCAGTGACCAAACTCTACAAGACGTCATTTGCGGGCCAGATCAAGTCTCGCGCAGACGGATACCAAGACTGTCTAGAAGATCTTCTCGGCTTTCTTGATAAGGAGAGGCTGGGCCTTGGAGGTGGCGAAGGATTGAAGATCCGGACATGGGTGACGAGGCAGCTTGATGGACGCGACTCTGTGCCCACAACAATAGAAAGCGAGGACGAGACAGAGAAACCCGATGCCGCATCACCACCACACGCTAGCTCTGGCAGCAGTGTCACAGCACAGGCTCCGGTGGATGTGCGGAACGAGTTACCAATGAGAGACTCGGTTTCACCGGCTGTTCCGCCGGCGGCGGCGACGGCGGCGACAATGATGACGGCAGCGGTGAATCAGCAGCAACAGCAACAGCAACGGCAACATCAGGAGCTGGATCAGAGGCAGTCTAGCCCTTTGGTCGAGGACGTCGACGTCGTGGTACCGTCGCAGGAAATGTTTACCTTTCAATCGTCAATCGCCTACCCTCAAGACGCGTATATGGGCCTTGCCAACCTGGATCTTTCCGACTCTCAAACGCACAACTCTTCAACTAGATCAGCGTCCACCTCTTCAGCGCAGCGGAACACGAGGGGTCGCATCGCACGCACGGGCTCCAGGGTATTGGGACGAGGTTCCGGCCAAAAACGGAAAGTGAACCTTGCCGAGATATTTGATGTCGGTAGCTTAGGATATGGGTTTGGGAAGGATGTTTTTGGTGGAGGGAAACGGACCAGACACAACTGATAAGTCTTTGGAGCCCCATGCACAAACGTACATATCATTACCGGGGCGGTTACATAGCATTATCAGGGCGGGCCGCGGTGCATCGCGGGTGGGTTGTTTTTATTTTATTTTTGATATGGAGGACTCTGACACCATCGGCTAGCATTGCATTGTCTAGAATCGCATGGAAACGGATCGGATCTGTGGAGGCAAGCTCTTTGGAGAAAGGACCGAACTAGACGGAGCATACGGGGCGTTATTTTATACCACAGATATGATCTTTTTTGTGTATAGGGGTCAGCCTTTGATCTCTCCGACTACCAGAGAAGACAGCGGGTAACTCAGTCGAACGGCTATTGTCTCTTTTAGGTTTTAGTTCCAAGGGGAGTTTCCTAGAACCTAATGACTGCACCAAAGTTGATCTAAATCGTCTTCTCTAGACTTGAATTGAGATGCTAGGAGTTGCTTGGTATAAAGTTTCTCAAAATCTTGCCTGGTGTATTCACGTTGGATATCCCATATGCCGCGCTACAACGGGGGTGGCAGTATTTTTTAATTAGAACGGATACCAGCAGGGCTACTATGGTTCGGAGAGGCATAGCAAGACCACGCTGCTTACCTTTGGTACGGTATTTAAGGTGCGCAGTTGCTGTCAGTCAACCCTACTGTGTCGTGCCTGCCAAGCCCCCCAACCAACCGGGAAACGCAGCAACGCCGCAGCGACCAACCTCATGCCCCAGGCCGCAGCGACATTCTGCCCTCCTGCTCTTGAAACGTCCACGATTTCTCTGTTTCTCTGTTTTCAATCTCGTGCTCAGCGATCCCTTGTTGTTCGACCTTTCGCCTGTCTCCTGTAATTCAATTCAAAGATAAAAAAAAGCAGCCTTCTCAATACTTGACTCCAAATTACAGTATCATTGGGCTGCTGATGGGGTTTTATCGGAAATAACACCAAGAGACGAGACACGAACGTGTTTGGCTTGTCACCCCAAATGCGCCAGAGCCCCCTCACGCCGATCTGCTGATACCGCTGCGACTTGCTTGGGCGTTGAGAAGCAAGCTTGTTGCGCTATTTGTTCAAGCATTGCTGTTTACCATGGCGGGCACTAATAGCTACCAGCCGCTTCTCGCGGATGACGACTTACACGGCTCGGCCTCGGACAACACCTTTACGTCGGGATATGCCCGCTGGCAAAGACAGACCAAGAGCTTTCTGTCGTCTAGAGCCAAGCATTTTGCCATCTTGGGTCTCGTCGCACTGGACGTGGGTGCTATCCTAGCCGACATCTTCATTGCTCTGGTGTCGTGCGACTTGGGCCAGAAGGAAGAGGAGTGGGTAGAACAGTCCCGCGACGCTCTACATATCGTCGGGCTCGTATTCAGCTGTCTCTTCGTGCTGGAGCTGCTGGTTTCCGTCTGGGCGTTTGGCCACCGGTAAGTACGACCACTCATTCATTTAGCTTGGCTCTGGCAATGAGATGTCCTTCGCGGGCCGCTTGCTGAACATTGTTATAGATTCTTCCATGACTGGTTCCACTGCTTTGATGCCGTCATCATTGTCACGAGCTTTGTCGTCGACGCACTTACCCATGGAATTGTAGAAGAAATTGCATCGCTCGTGATTATCCTTCGGCTCTGGCGCCTCGTCAAGATCATTGAGGAGCTCAGTGTTGCGGCATCGGAGAGGATGGAAGAGATTGAAGCCAAGGTAGTTGAACTTGACCAGGAGAACTCGGATCTCAAGACACAGATTGAGGTCATGAGAAACGAACACTGGCGGGGCAACAATGGCAGCGGGTAGGCAACTCCGGGCTTGCGGTGTATGGACTTTCGTACATCTACTTTCTCGTTTCCCTCGACGCCGTCTTCCTAGCTATGCCACTCATGTTGTCAATGCTTTCGCGCTCGCAAGCTCGCCGACAGCGGCCGCCCGAGCCTCTCGCACTGTCTCGGATACTTAGCTCGGAATTCCCCCAAATTTTTCTGGTAGAGGTCTTATAACCTAAAGCTGTATTACGTAGTTCGCAGTTTGTAATATCTGTTTGGTGTCTCTCCGTATCCGAGTTCCGATGTTGATTGACATGGTCAATCTCAGCATGTCTGACGTGTGTGCGAGCCATTGTAAAAACGGACGGACCCGCGCACTTCCCCATGCTACCGTAGCTTGGCCGATCTGATGAGCGCACTGCTAGCGCAGAGCCGCGCCGACGTCTTTGCTATTCCTGCAACGTGCATTTATAGGAGGCGGCGTTCCAAGCGGGCATCTTCGATATAGTACTTGGAAGAAGGGTGTGCTTCAACAGTCTGGACATCTCCATTTCCACCAAAAAGTCGCCAACTTGACAAGGGCTTGGCGCTCTGGGACATGGCGTAGGATGGCGTCGAGAGCTCATCTGCTTTTAAGCTTCGACCAAAGTAATTGGCGAATCAGAGAGGACTTGCAAGCACCAACCCAGGGTAGGCCGCGGCCCGAAAAATGACAAGCTCAACCATGCGTGCCTCCCTGTCAATAAATCGAGAGTCCGCCCAAGTTCAGTTCACGGCCGATCAAGCTATCCATCTCATCATCAACCGGCCAACCTAACGAGGTGGGCGCTTTGTTGGTGTCTGTAGTCCATCATGCTCGGCTATCAAGAGACCCGATGCCTCGCCAACACGAAGCATTTCTGCAGGAGCAAGGAAGCGAGTCTGTGGCCAGAGCAGAGCGACCGAGAGTCAACAATTGATAGGCCGGAGCTTAACGGCGGAGGCGGAGGCGGGCTGGCCAAGAGACGCGAAGGCTGGACAACCACCACCACCCAGGGAGGGGTGGGAAGGGGGCGTCGTGCGAAATGTTCAGACTAGCTGTAAATGTGCACGGTAATTAAATACCCTGGCGCTCTCGCATTCCCCCATTCTCAAACTTGTCTTCCGTTCGTCGACTTCCTGTCAAAGGCACGATACACCACCGGGCGCGTCTCATTGTTGCCGTGGATCGTTGCCGTGCAGTACTTCTTTTCCATTCCAGTCAACAATTCGGCAGCAACCCTCACTCGTTACTTCGTTCAGAGCTCTCCTCGTTATCCTAGTCACTCGTTGTTTTTTCCACGGTTCTCAAAGTATGATTATTCACGTATCCTATTCTCGAACCTAAAGAGCCCCCCCTTGTCCTGCCGAGCAGCTTTCTTTAGCTCCCCGCTCTCTTTTCCGCCGTTGAGATTCTTCCCTTATTACTACACGGTAGCAACCCAACCTAGCAGCAAACATGAAGTTCTCTCTCCTGTCCCTTGCCGTCTTCGCGTCGGCCGTGGCCGCCCAGACCACCGCTGCGGCGGACTCGTCTTCGGATTGCGCTGCCGACTACATCGTCAGCAGGTGTCTTGAGACGGAGAACGATAAGCTCGATGCCTGCGTGACTGGCGACTGGAACTGCATGTGCTCGCAGTGGCAAAACATCGTAACGTACGTCCCCAGGGCCGCCGGGATGTTTTGCGGATATCCAAGAGGGGAGGCCAGAGAGAGGCGTTGCCTATCTATGTACTGACACGCGCCTTTCATTCAGATGCTACAACAACTGCCCCAACGATCAACGAGTGTGTAAGTCGTTGCCCGCGAAATCGTCTACGAGGGACGGCACCCCTTGCCACGTATTTCACGCGTACTGACACAACATTCCAGCCACCGCCAAAGGCCAGGAGCAGATCTTCTGCGGCTACGCCAGCCAGTTCCCGTCCGCCACCCCGACCAAAGCGGCGGCGGCCAAGACGACAGTCCCGACCCCCGCCGCCACGACAAGCGGTGCCGCCGCCCAGAGCCAGGCTGAGGACGCGGCCGCCACCGCCACCACCACGGGCACCAACACTGCCACCTCGACAGGCACTGCGGCTTCTACCACCAAGTCGAGCAGCGCCGGCGACCTCGTCCTCAACACGGGCAGCATCCTAGCGGCTGTCGCTGGTGTTGTGGCTGCGGTGTTGTAGACAGCGTCGCTCATACAGCAACGCGTAATGGGTTTAGGGTTAGATTGTTTCTAGTCTAGGGAGTCTTGGTTTTAAATCGGCTTTGGGCATGAATGCAAGAGCGGCGGAGACGCATTAATTCTAGCATTCTTTTTTCCCTCCTTTGTTTTGTAACAGGGAGCCATAACAAAAAAACGACGGCATATCCTGCCACGACTGAGGCTAGGTCTCCTCTGTAATATTTTTTTTAAAAAAAATTATTTGGCAGAACAAGTGTGGGGGTTGTAATTATTGATAATGAAGCCAGTTCAAACTCTACTTATGGTGGCAAGTAGGCATGCGTAGAGGCCCTCGTTGAGCATCTCTGGTGAGGGGATGGTAGTATCCACGAGAAAAGACTTCGCTATTCTTGCCGCTCTATGCGGTAGGTAGATATCGACAAACTAACATAAACGGGAAAGGAAATCAAGAAAATGAGAGACCAAGCAGCGAGCGGTATGCCAGAGCCTGATTTATGCAGACTCATCCCTCCGCAGGGCCTCGAAACCCTGCTCTGTCGTCTGCGATTCCGTGTCCCGCGACCGAGTCTGCCGCGAGTTGCCGATAGCCAAGCGCGCCTGGTCTTTTTTGCTGCCGGGCTCTGGCAGCGGGCCGCCGGCGGTACCGCTGCCCTGGAAGCTGCCCTCGGTCAGGTTTCTGACATGCGGGCCGGCCGTGTCCGCCTGCGTGGCGCCGCGGTTGACGTAGCTAGGCGCCGCGCCCGCGTACGAGTCCATGTTCTCGAGGCTATTGGGGTTCGACACGCCGGGTTTCCCGCTGCCCCGGGCTTCGCGGCCCGCGGGTTCTGCGCCGGCTCGCTGCAGGGCTCGGCGCCCTGGTTCGCCGCGAAGCCGCCGCCCGAGCGGATTGACTCGGCTGCTAGGGAGTTGTCCGCTACGGAACCTGCGCTTTCCTGGATGATGGGTGCGCCGTCACCTGGGCGGACCTGATGCAATAGGGAAACCCCCCGGTCAGCAGCCGACTGGCGCGAGAGTTCTGGAAACCTCTGCTGGCCTGAAGAGACCCGGATTGAGCTTAACCTTTTGGCCTGCGCTTGGGCCTTTGTTTGCAGACATGACTGTAGGGGTGTGCGAAGTCAAGGCGGGTTGGCAAATAGGTTCCTTAGTGTTCCTGGTTATTTGTATTCGCTGAACTAAGTACGTTGATATTCTGCAGAACTCTGAAGAGACGGTGAAATACGACAAATAGAGAGAGTTTCCTGAATCAGTATTATATGTGGTAATAAGTACTTCTGGGCGTTGCGTTTTGTCTTTGGTAGAGGGGGCCACCGTGTTACACAGATTACGATGATGTCATTGGTGGTGATGTCATGACACGCTTGCGGAGGCTGTTTTGAACCTTTCCACATTTCGCTTTGGGCATATTACAGCTCGGCGAACAAACAGTATTTATTATATTAGTATTAGGCACCTAGGAAGTGTTTTGTGACTTTCCCGCCTCAAGCAAGCTGAAGTAAATGTACACATTGGAGAATGGGATATTACGGTTAACTAACTTATCAAGGGAAACCCTTACGCTATACGGCCTTCACTGGGTAGGAAAATACCATAGCACCTGATTAGCTCAGGCTCTCTATCAAAGTAAATAAAGGGGGCCCGACTGGCATAAAATATGAAATGGTATAGATAGTCACAGAATATCCGAAAGACGGTCATGATTCTTGTTGATTTTCATTCATGCTTAGGCGCACACGAATCGTGCCTCCGAATCCATCACTTGGATTCATGACTGTATATTTATACCCGAAGCATGTTTTCGTCTTTGAAACCACTAGAATCGAGTTAACCTTTAGCAGCCAGACTTCAAAGTCTCGGCGCAAGCTACGACAGCGGCAATATCTAGGCCTATTCTCATCAAGTCTCTGTCTGCAACGAGAATCTCTCTTTCAGATACCTCGGCGACCCCCAGTGCTCATCAGTGTGATCTTCTTCTGCTTCTTCTTCTTGCTCCCTCCGCCAAGCCCACCAGCTGCACTTCCGCCACTGGGACCGGGTTCGACATTCATCGCCTCCATCTGTATGGCGATTTCTGTCGAGTCAAGGGTGTCGAGAACATCGTTGTCCTTGAGCCACCCATCATCGGTTGCGGCAGGAGCTTGGCTAGGCTGACTCCCTGGAGACGTATGGATCGCGGGCGTTCCCCAGACGGTCCTGGGGCCCGAAGGACTGGTACTGACTTCAGAAAGGGAACCGAATCCCGCCCGTTGGTTGGGTGGCGTTGAGCCTTCAGCCCCGAGGGGCAGAAAGTCATTCATATCCACAGGGTGATCGCCCGGTGCTGAGCTGCCGGAGCGCACCGTGACTTCCTCCTCTAAAGTGGGAATGCGCCGATGCCCGCGAATCGCGGCAGCCTCAAGTTTCTCCGCTTGTAATCGTTCTCGCTCTTCTTGAGCTGCCTTGTCCTTGTTGCGTCTGCGTCGACGCTCGATCTCCTCTGCAAACGGTACAAGAATCTCGGCAGGTACAATGTCGGTCCAGTCGCATTCGAGGAAGCTGATCAGACATCCGAAAGGTATATGCCCCAGATATTTAGCACGCTTCCGGAGATCGTCATCCACTACGTGGCCGGTCGAGATGTGTTCCACTCTAGGAAGGAGGGTCGAGGGAAATGCGGAAAACGACCCGTATCTGGTTTTTAAGATGCGAATGTCGAGTGGCGAGAGGTACAGGTGAGGTGGAGAGGAGTAGAAAAAGAACTCGCCCGACCCCTGCTTAATCTCACTAGATCCAGCAGTTCGCGCAAAGGCCGCCATCTCTGCATCGCCCAGACCCGCCATCTTCTCTTTGGCTGCGGTAACAGTCCTGATGGCCTTCTGCGTCCATTCGTTATCTTCGTGAAATAGGAGCTCGTCCTCTTTCTCCTGCCTCAATAAGTCCTCAACCTCTCGATCGAACTCCTCCGCCATGTAATCGCCCGTGCCCCTCATGATTCTCGCATAATCCAATACATTGGCGGCAAAATGCCAGGGGATTCCGTCATGCGATGAATGCAGAATATCTGAAGCACTCTCTTCTGGGAGCGCCATAGTGCTCTTAGAATTCCGCGACATAAGCCGAAGGACAACATCGTCACCTGGTCTAGGTAGCGGGCTTTCCTGGCTAGCGTAGAATTTCACCGGTCGCACATCGGATATGTACACGGCATCTTCGCAAATCGGGCATTTCCGCCATCGTAGCCTTTTCTCTGCAGCTTGGCCGTCACCTTGGGGACTGGTATTCATAAAGCGTATCAGACAGGGCAGGCAGAATATATGCCCGCACTTTGCCATGCGCGGTGCGACAGGCTCCGAGAGGCAGATGGGGCACGAAGTCTGCTGGGACTCGGCCGAGGCGATAATTTGGAGAACATCCGGCCAGTCAAGATGTTCGTCGGCATCTACGGCCTGAGCGGCGTAGTTCCCAACCGGAGACACGACGAAGCGGTAGTTCGCATGGACATAGCGAGCCTTGTCAATGGCATGGTATCCAGAGCCCAGGCCCCAGCTAGGGTTTCGACGATACGAGCGCGAAGAGAGCGTGTGGTGGCTGTCGTAGATGTGACGTGGCGGCAATGAATAGTTTAGCAAGTGCGTGATTGAGGTCTGCCCACGACGACTCGAAGCGTTCCGCACAGCTCTAATCTCGGCCATGGCATCGTCTTGGTCGGCATTGCCGGTGTCCCTGCCCCCCATTGGACCTGCTCGTTTCTGGTTTCGATGTTGCCTCCTCGACGCCTGCCCTTTTCGTGGGTTACCCAACGGTTGTGAAGGGCTCTGGCTCGAATTCTGGCGGCGACTGGGGTCGAAGCTTCCAGTTGCGATGGGTTGGGAGGGTCCTGGCAAGTGATTAAATGTTGGAGGACCCGGGAGGGCCTTGTTCGAAACGGATGACGTCGAGCTCATGGTCGGCAGCGCATGCTACAGGCGGCCGCCAGTTTTAGCCCCTCTCTCTTTGTGAGACAAGAAGCTAGCTGCCCACTCTGGACATAGTTTATCAGCTCTCTTTTCTACTGGGTGCAACAACAGCAGCAGCTGTGACAGAAACGCAATCGACTGGGCATTTTGCGCGTACCTCGCCTCGATGCGTTGAGTTAGGATCGCGTCGGGAGGGGCGGGAACTAATGAATTGCGAGGGGTCGGAGTTGCGGCAAATAGGTAGTCGTCGAGTTCAACGATCGGCGACCGAAGAAAAAAGCTCTCATGTTTCAGTACCACAGGTTCACTTGCTCCGTCCGGGTGGAAGAGGCAACATTCGAGGAGGGGCCCAGATTCGGACCTTATGAAGCTAGGTGGGGGGGCAGAGGAGTCACTCATTCGCGGGGTAAAACGACGGGCGAATGTGAAAGGACTTGTTGAAGAATACGTGCTGACGCCGGAACAAAACTGGGTCTTTTTCCGCATCACGTTTCGAGTTAGCTAACTAATTAATAGCATTAGATATCATCCAAGTCGTTAGTTTATTTCTACTAGCTATTTGGACCTTCTTCTTTACAAGTACATTTTTGGTGATCGGAGAAATGCGGGTCAGACATAGCAGACTCGCTCTCTCAGGCACCCATCAGCTCTGCGAATCCCGGACTAGCAGTGTGTGTCCTGGATCAAGGTTAGGTAGGATAGGAATGGTATCCAATCTTAGGGCCTTCAGACGTAAAGCAACCATTGTGACATTCAAACAGTCGTTAAGTGGGACCAGATAACAAAACATTAACAGTATGACGCGCCTTCAACAAGGGCTAGATATGACAAGGCCAGATACATCAAACCACCCATCCATCCTCCCATAAGACCTCTCCAGATGCATCCTCTCCCCCGCTAGTTACCTAGATATTATAGACGACCCTATTGCAGCATGGCGGAAAACATAGTATCCTCCATCCGAACGAATGTCTGCGTCTTTAGTGATTGGGGGTGCGATATGATACACAGATGCCCTGCTAAAGAAAGCACGGGATCCACCTTGCAACTAGGGGGAATTGTGAGCGAAATGTAAAAAAAACAGAATGACAGTAATTGCAAATACGAGTATTAGTATGCCAATGTGCATCGCCTTCTTCGCGCCGGACAAGGATAATGACGTCTATTACGCCTTATCCTTGCTTGAAACCTTGTGTCTCAGCTTGCTGAAGATGGCGCTCAGTCTGTTCTTCTTCTTCTTCTCTGACGAGGCTGCGACGTCCGTAGGTTTGCTGCTGCTGGCAGCCACGCCTTCAGCGGGTGCAGATACGGCCGGTTGCGGGGTTGTCTCTGATGTCTTCGTTGTGGTGGTGCCGGCACCGTTTGTTGTCGGCTTAACGGCGTCGACTTGGACAGGCTCCTCCTTGGGCGCCTCGGGTTTGACTTCGGCAGGCTGAATCTCGACGGGCTTTGCGTCCTCCGGCTTGAGCTCGCCTATCTTGGATGCCTCGGGCTTTGTGTCCGCAAGCTTGACCTCGGCGGGCTGAGTTGATGACTCGGATGTTACCGGAGCCACCTCAACTTGCTTCAAAAGCTCGGCTTCAACTTCCTTCTTCTCCTCGACTGCGGCTGTGCTTGCGGCAGCCTCGGGGCTCTCCCCTGACTTCTCAATGGACTCTTTCACTTCGGCTGGGACTTCGGAGGATATGGTCTCGGGCGCGGTTTCTTTCTTGGTCGCACCGATAGCATCCTGAATAGAGACTGGCAGAGCCTGCTTCACTGACTCCTGCAGTCCGGGTAGCGATGCTGCGACGTCTGTGGCGGTATCAGTCGCTGTTTGCTTGGCAGCGAGAGCCGCGCCTAATACTGCCGCGCCGGCCGTGGCCGCCGCCGTAGCGACTGTCTCGGCGATGGTCTTGTCCGTTTCGCTCTTCTCGGTACCTTTACCAGAAGTGCCCTCTGATGTTGAAGGGGCTTCGGAAACCTTCTGAAGGAGCTCATCCTCAACGGCAGCCTTCTCTTTGACTTCTTCGCTGATACCGCTGGCCTCAGGGTCCACCTGGGCCTTCTCTTGGCTTTCTTTGACAATTTCGGGCACCTTGGGCTCCTCTAGAGGGACCGCGCCAGCCAGCGCGGCAGTGGTTGAGTTGGGTGCAGCACTGCTAAACGCGACGACATCGCCGCCAAGAATCGGCAGGCTCGACTCCGGAATCATGGTGTTGGAAATGGGAGGCAGCTCCGTATCAAGGCCCGGGATGCGATCGCTCTTCTCGTACGACTCCTTGTCTAGCGTCACGTTGCTGTTGGTGTTTCCAGCAGCGATTCCCTCGGGAATCTTCTGACCGGGCTCAAGCTTGATCGGGTTGAGAGCGCCTTCCGTAGCTGGGAGCGGGCTGACCTTGAACTCCTTCTCGGCACCGCTATTCTCATACGACTCCTTATCCAGCGTCACATTGCTGTTGATATTCCCGGTCGTGATTCCTTCGGGAACCTTCTGGCCAGGCTCGAGCTTGATCGGGTTGAGAGCTCCTTCAGTAGCCGGGAGCGGGCTGACCTTGAACTCCTTCTCGGCACCGCTTTTCTCGTACGACTCCTTGTCCAACGTCACATTGCTATTCATGTTCCCGGTCGTGATTCCCTCGGGCACTTCTTGGCCAGGTTCGAGCTTGATTGGGTTCAGGGCGCCTTCCGTTGCAGGGAGCGGGCTGATCTTGAACTCCTTGTTGGCATCGGCGGCGGGCGTCTCGGGATAACCGCCAGGAGCTGTGAGATTGTCCTTGGTCTCCTCGAGAGGAATGGCGCCAGCCAATTGAGCGGTGGTGGACTCGGGAGCAGCTGAGCTGATAGCAGCGGCGCCGGGGCCGGCTTCTTGTTTGGTAGCCATTATTTGGGAAGGAAGCAAAAAGTTGTTCTCGTTTCCTTCGTGGTCTTTTTCTCGAGGCGCTTCGTGATCTGTAATCCACTCGTGGTCGACAACAAACTGTAGGAGTAACGTGTCAATAAATAAATACGGTTTGCTTTCGTGTTGTGGACAGTTCAGTGTGTTGGAAAAGGGAATTAGACGAGGGGGCGCGCTCGGACGTCACCAGGCAGCGGTTGGGAGCTCCACTTCCAACTTTAAAAAGCATGGACGCACGAACTGGCGGGTAGTGAAGCAAGCACTGGCCGAGGCTCTCCGATGACTGCTGCGGGGAAAACAACCACCTCAGGGCGACCTGAGAAGAAATTGGACTTCCATACTTCATCCTCACTCCACAATACTCCGATCCTCTTGTTCTCTCGGGTCGTGGCATTCAATGCCTACCGTCATACGATCCTGTGGCTCGGCTCCTGACATAGGGGGAGTGACACAAAGAGCAGAGCCTTGAATGCGACAGCTAACACCGGTGCCAAAATGATCAAGTCCCACGACCGCCCAAGGTGCACTTGCAATCTTGGGCGGTTGGCCGCGGTGGCCTCTCGCGGCTTATCAAGTGGCAAGCGTGCTGCGGGCAGCGGCGTCGCAAGTCTTGAAAACGAGGCAATAGTGGCAGATGGCATCATCGGTGCAATTGGGGTTTAGTTCTGGGCTACTTCACCCCCTCCCAATTCTCGTCAATGGCAAGGCTGAAAGGACGGGCTTCGGATCCCGGACACCCGACCACGTTTGGTGAAACGGCTGTGGGCGAAGTAGGAACAACCTGGGAAGTAGGATTGTGCAGATCAAGAAATGATTGACCCACCTTGTAGTAAATCTTCTGAGACGAGTCAGAGAGCGTCACTTTCTTCTCAAAGCCATCCCTGACCTTGACCAGTTGTTCACTCTTGGACCAACCATCAAAAGTGCCAGTCACGTAGACTTCTTCGGCGGGATGGGGCCTGGAATGATCAGACAGAGGTTAGCGACTGACGTTTTTAACACTAGTTGGCCACTCGGCATGGTGATGCAACGAGACCGAAGTTTAATCGCAATGCGAGTCAGAGTCATCCCCCCCCTTAGATACAGAGAGAAGCTTTGCGGCGCGATGCGACAAGCAACTATGGGGATATAGCGTGCGGGATTGTGAGGAAATGCGACTGACCACTTGAAAACGAAAGTGCCCATCGCTGGCTCGCCAATTGTGGGATTTCTTTTTTCTTTCTTTTTTTCTCTTTTTTTTGCGCCTTTAGGTCGACGTTGGCTCGTGGAACAGCGGGCTTGTTTCGCGATGCGCAGAGACAAGGCGCTTGAGATCGGATCGTTGACGGAGCTGTCGGGAAACGGAAGCTGCGACGGATAGGAGCTGTGCGGATAGATGGCGCGAAGCTTTCGGATGCACTAGTATTCAGCTACAAAGACAAGCAAAGATATATGGCGAGAATATAGTTAGAAAATATCTCTTGAGCGGAGAAGGGCTATCGGGATTTGCTGCGATTAGGTGTGAGGGGAAGATTGGCAGAATTAGGCGACGAGAGCTGCGATGGCCAAATGAGAGGCTGGGTGGGTTGGCGGGCGAGAACCAGCGGCGGCAAAAGCTCAATGCGCCGCAAAGAACTTCCCGCATTGCGCAAGCCAAGACCAACATTCACTGCAAGCCCCACCATGGATTGGTTCTTCGGCCTTCTCCGCTTCGTCAGGAAACCGCACCGTAAGAGCAGGGGTAGCTCAAACCAATGAGCGCCTTAACTGCTTCAGTAACCATGTTTGTCACCACAAAAAGCTAGCGACTCCTTTTGAGTTGTTTTCTTTGGGGTGGGGTTATTACAGTACCGCATTTGTTATCTTACGAAAGCCCAAGATTGGGGCAGCTGTAGTTATAGAGCACCTATTTAATACTGAAAGGAACCGAGGATGTCACAGATTCTGGGCCACCGAGAGCACGCGAGGATGTGGCTTGGTTTCTCACCATTACTCCTACGTGTAGCTGCTCAGCCCGATATTTAACAACGCAATCTTCGACTTTCCAGATACGGTACATAATGTATACGGCATACCCCTTGATGTTATAGATCTTGCCGTTCAACAGTGCAGGGGGCTCTCGAGAACAGAAATGCGGGGAAGTTTCGATCTTCACGCCAGGGACAGAGCACACCACCATCGTGTTTCCGTGGATATACGGACTGTGCTTCGTACGCATACACGAGTATTTATAGAAATCTCATCAAGGCCTCGCCCTCGTTTCCTCAATCCCGTGTTCTGTTGGAAGCCCAGGCGCACGTTTTCCAAGACGGTCTCGGATCAGTTGGTCTACGCCGCAACAACTGAAATTCCCCTAAACTGGCTTAGTAAACAAAAACTGCCATCATCGTTTTCCCCCTGAAGTCTTGCCCAGGCATCGGTCAGATAGCTGGTAGGTACCACCTAGTAAACGCCATTTCCATGCCCAAGGTGACTAAAACGGTACGGGGAATATTCCCGGTAATCCAACGTAACAAAAGCGCGAGTAATATATAAGAAAGTGAAGCCACCCAAAAAAATCATTGTCCCCCTTAAAAAGTCTCGAGACTCCGTATAACGCGCGCCTGACCAATGGAAAGTCGTCATGTTGAACAAACATGTCACAAATCTAAACAGCTTGCAGTCGCCCATTCTCTGGATGAATGGTTTCACAAGACGAGACGGAGAGAAAGCGTGGTTTTACCAGCCAAATTGCTCGCAATGCAGCTCAACACCCGGCCCATCGCCTCGAATCAGCTTGGCCGTTGTGTCACGCACAACACGCATCAACCCGTCTGGGCCGCATGCTGCGACCAGAACACGCTGGTTGGGGGGCGTGGTGGTGACCGCATCGCGGACGAGAGATGCCACATCTGGACGACCAGCCTTGATGGCATGTTCGTAGCCATGAGAAGCCGTGGTCGTTGTGGTGCGATGTTGTCCTGGCCCCTCTTTATTCTCGATTCTTGTTTCGATCGCCTTTTCGAACTCCTTTTCAAGGTCTTTCTCTGTCAGGGCCGGTTGGTGTGTCGGCGGAGGTATCTGGGGCGCGCTCTTCCCGGCTTCCCCGCCAATAGGTGACAGTGATGGCGTCACCACCCCGTCGGAAGAATGCGACGACCTAGAGCGGGCGGTGCTTCCATGTTGATTCGGCGTGTCGGAGGGCGACGCCGGTGACCGTGTTACGTAGAGAGAAACGTCAACCTTTGGCGAGTGTGCGTGAGTCTTCAAGACTTCGAGGTGCTCCCTAAACCAAGATAGATTGTCTAGAGCATAACAGTCAGCACTGACCGAGGATGTCACGACATTCTGGGGATGAATGGATGCAAGCTGTCAAACTCACCATGCTCCTTCACCGACCATATGAATACAACGTTTTTGTGAGAATCCTCATTCATCCTCTCGAGGACATTCACAGCAAGGCCAAAAGTGAAGGTGGCTCCTCCACCTCCGGCAATGAGCACAATCTTGTCGAACTCCATCGGGTCGGGAAAGGTGCCATACGGCCCATCAATAGAGGCCTTCACAGAAGCGCCTGGATGAGCGACCGCATACTTTCGTAAATCGCGCGTGAACCCGTTGTGAGCCTTGACCGTGAACTCGACAGGCCCTGTCCTGTGAATAGTGAAAGGATGTGTTTCAAACTTGCGAATGGCCGGTATCCAAATGAAGCAATGTTTTCCCGCTTCAGCCCTAGCGGGCACCTTCTTTAAGATAATCTTGGTCCCTCCATTTGGGAGTGGGTAGAGCGTTGCCTCGTTGTTGAAGCTGTAGTACAGAATGCGGCTGGCTCTGATGGTGCGGTCGATGACCCACATGGAGGCGCCGAAGAGAACGATAATGAGACTCTTCTTAGCGATATATGGCTGATGGAATCCGAGCGACACAACGGCCATGATCCAAGAGGAAATGTGGACGACGTAGAAGAGCTCATACCAGACGCGTCGTAGAAACACGGCCGAGAAGATGACACTCAGCAACGAGAAACCCGTCACGATGGCGGCAATCTGCTCCCTTTCGGCAAATATGCTCAAGAGCCTGTTCTGAGCGTTGAAGAAAGATGTGTACAACGAGGCGTGAAGGACAATCTGGACAAACATTGTGTAGCCGGCAATGTGGTGGAGGCAGTTCAGTCGCTCGTACGAGTATGCTGTTAGAAATGCCAGCGGTGTATTCTTCAGGGCCAGGAATATGACCAGAGATAGATTTGCAAGTCCCATCCTAAGCAAAGATGCCGTGAGAATTTATCCAGGTTTTGAGCACATGATAACGGGACGACTTACCATCCAAATCTGGCCCCGTAAGTGGCCATTGTTTTAGCATCAATGTTAGTGAACATGACCGCAAGGTTCGTGGCGAGGTATGCGGTGACGAGCAATGCGTGGCCGGCGGACTTGAAGCCGGGGACTTTTCGAACAAGAACATTCCTCACAAGCCTAGGTAGAGGGTTAGCACCGTTTCTACGCCTCAGGGCCGAGTGAATCGGGCTCAAGTACCTTGTGGTTAAGACGAATGGCCGTTGCAAAGCAGCAGCTGGTTTCCAAGACCGTCCAACCTTGACGAAGAGCCAGCGTGTCCAATGGAAGACGACGAACAAGGCAATCAAGCCGCAGAGTCCCGCCGCGTAGTACTTCATCACACGCTCTGTCACCAGCTGCCGCTGGGCGAAGATAGCCGCCAAGGCAGCACCAGAGATCCCGGCACCGCCGTGGCTAGATCCAGCTTCTCCGCCATTGCCTCCGCCATGACCTCCACCTGGGCTCCCAGTGCTGGAAGGTGAATGAGACGGCTCTTGCATGTCGGGCAATGAACAAGGGGGGACGAGCAAAGCCGCTGCTCAGAGGGTCTTGTGTTGTAGTGCGGGCGTATGAGGGACGGATGACACAGGGACTGGGAAGAGTGGGCAAGGTCGCCTTTATACGGGGTCTAGATTTTCTTCCTGCTATGGCAAGAGCGATTGCAGGAGGGGGCAAGAGATCGGGGGAGAAGACTGTCGTGGTCTAGACCTTCCCATGAACATACCGAAACATATCACTACCTGGTATAAGATAGCTCCCGCAAGCCATGGCGACCGGCACTCCAACACCAAGCCTCTGAAACAAAGTAATCAAGGTGGGGTATGCGAATACATCCACCAAATAAATGAGGCTAGAGTGGTGCGTATCTGCGCATCTAGCTTCCAGAATGAAAAGTTGATTGCCCATACCGTCACATGGAGGGCGGCTAGCATCGACGACCATGGGTTGTTGCGGCACTTCGGTGCTTCGTTGCATCCCCCCCCAGAGAAGGACCGTATGGGAAGTTCCGGCCGACCCAAGACGAGATCCAACACCTGATGCACAGCCAGGCATGAGGAAGGGCTCTCGGTGTTTGGACGGCCGTGTAGCGGGGACATTCTGCGGCAGGCAGCTTACACAAGCTCAGGGCTTGCTAGCAGAGCTGGCGAGCGCGTATAGGGGAGACAGCCTCTTCGGGGAGTTGGGATATTGGTCGACTTCCCGACTGGGACTTGGTCAGCTTGACAAAGCACCAAGTCAAGGGCCTGCCAGGATAGACAGGACCTCTCAGAGGCGTGACCAATGTGGACCTTGACAGTAGATGGTCGGCCTTGGCCATAAGTAGAGCGGTAGTTTCAGCAATATGGATAAAACGTGGATAATAAGACACCGACGAGAGCAATCCCGCCTGACCAAGGATGCCAGTATCCCAGGAATTCATCCCTGTTGGCTTAATTTCTACCCCACAAACGCACGCAATATCCGCAATATCGAGAACAACTTTATATAGCAAGTTTTAGCTGAGGGTCCTTGTCCAGGTTCGGTCAGTGGTACTCCGATACCCACATGTAAAGCTATCGGCAGCACCAAGGCGCGGCAGCATACCAGACAGCTGCAACTCGTTAGCGACTTGACTTGCAGAAGCGGTGATCGCATGGCCTCCACCATGTGAGCCAGGTGCATGGCATCGAGGCGGCAAGGCCGCCGAGACCCGCATGAGGCGAGAACCAGAGGCGGCTTCGCGCGCCAGAAGGGCAAGAGATAGAGTCACTTATATTGACCGAAACGGCAGCGAGATACCCTAGGGACGTGAAGCGAGCCATGCCATGCCATGCCATGCCCTAGAATGCTATGTCTATAGAAGTAGCCCACCTTGGTCAGGTAGTGGGTGGCTAAAACAAAGGCTGGAGCAGCGCTTTATCTGAGCCACTGATAGAATAGTCCATAAAGTTAGAGATGGAAACAAGCATTTATTACCTAGCGCGAAGCTGGTTTGATCAATAGCGAAAATCTTAACACGGCATAATGGACTGGGCACGGCAGATTGATACTGGGCGCGCCTGGAGGTACCTAGATATGTAACCTAGGCCGGCAACAGGCCGGGAAAGGATGGTGAAGGCGGAGGTGGAGATAGTGGCGAGTGTGCAATGTATGTACTTCGTAGCCAAGTATAGGTTGCAAGCGCAAACTGAAAGGGGCATATGCAGAGCGACGGGCAGCAACGTCGTCAACCAAAGGCTTGGTTCGCGGCAGGACGCGAATATTTTGCGGTGGGCGTATCCATCCACCCCATCCCAGCTCCCGTGCCTCGCCTGCACATACCCATCATCCATGTATCTCGGCTGCGGCACCTTGCAGTGGCAGAGCGGTCCTGGAGCCAGACCCGACGTCGACTATCCGTACACGTACATACAGGCAACGGGAATAGAGATGGGCGGCGCTGGCGATCTCCTTGTAGGGTGCGCATAAAGTCGCTGGCCTGGAAAACTTTCCCGAGAGCGATCGGACGAGCCATCCGTGGGATCGACGGTTCCTGCTTGTCTTGTGTTGCCTTCCTCAGCCGGTACCTCCCTAGGTAAGGTGCCCAGGTGCCTGTGCCTGTGCCTTGAGAGCTGCTCCGAACCTAAAGCGCGGACCGCCTCCGAAGAAGCAGGTAGTACCGTAGGCACTCTACGAGTACTAGTGATGCCAACCAAGGTGGGCCAAATGGTCGGCTCTTGAGCAGGCCAACAACACGCTGCAATCGGCCAAGGTCTGCGTACTGTGTTGTTGGACTTCTGCAGCGGAGAAGCGGCCTATTAGGAGGAACTCGAGATTTTCCAGTTGAAGGATAAATTGAAGAGGGAAACAGCGGTGGGGCAACAAAGTGATTCTACACCAATGGCCGTGCATCAACGGCCGTGCACAGGGCAGGGACAATGACGAACGTAGCTACTGCACGACTCTTCATGGCGTGGGGCTTATACGCCTTTCTCAATCAGGCAGTTTCGCAGTGATGTTCGCCGAGCCCTAATTGGCGCCCCTATTGGTCTGCCTCTACCCCAGACTCTTAGGCATTAACACCAGCTTACCGTCGAAGTTGCTGTCACCATCGGCAATTGAAGGTTGCCAGAGAGGGACACAGAAAGGGAGATCCATCGGAGAAAAAGAGGGAGGATCATAGCAAGCTGACTTCTACTTATTCCACGACGAGGAGCGCTCTGACAGATTCGACTCGTCGCTTCAACGCTCAAGATCGAGGGCTTCGGTTCGGGGGCAGTGACGCCGTTAATGTGCCTCTCTCGTGCAGCCCGCGCACGTGCCTTCAGCCCGCCACCGTTTCTTCACGACATCCCGCGGGCGCGGATGTCACTTCGCTACTAGGTCTCCACGCCGTTGAAGCGGCCGACTCGGTCGCTTGCAGAAAAGGAAGCTGCTGTGGAACGCACCCGCCGAGAAGCTTATTTGGACCTTCCAAGAACGGGCAGGCTCATTGGTCAAGTGTAGCGACCATCTTTTTTTCTCTTTCTGTCTGTCTTGGAGGTTGTTATCTTTCATCTACAAGTCGGACATGCCCCAAACACCTACCCGCCGTCACTGCATATGCCGAACTGTGCTGCTGCCCACAGACGTGGGCAATATCCACCACCACCTGGCCATGGCCAGCCCTTTGGCTGCCTGGTATAATGCATACGCATGCGGATACTTTGGGGTCAGATGTTCGTTACGGGCTTTGGGCTCAGATGAAAGGGATCGAGTTTAACTGCGGGTCACACCAGCATCCGCCGTCGTGAAGTTGGTTCACCGGTGATCGCAGTCCGTTTTGATGTGGTTTTCCAGTTCAGACTCGATGTACTAATCTGGAGCTTGTGGGTTTGTCTGGTTCTACGGAGTACTCCTGAAATAACTACCTTACCTACCAGGGTATCAACGAGGAGCTAAAGAACACATAGCTATCCGTACCGCAGACCAAATCCGCACATACACACTCAGTATTAGATGAGGTATTATCGTATTATGTTGTAATCGTGTAAGTAAACCGATTTTGAGGTGCCTCACCTGGCCGTGAAGGTATATTTGTCAGATACGACTAACTGACATTTGGCAGCCAACCTGTTGCCGCAGTGTTACCTTGCTATCTGAAGTCTCCTCTGTCTAACTGCTATCACTTCCAACTACAGCACCCTCAGAGTCAAATCTAGCTGGATGCGGACAAGCGAAGAATGGTGTACGTGTCTAGTTCAACTCGGTTCGCGAGCTTTGCTTCTTTGCTACCTAGGTAGTTACCTACCACCAGAACATCACTGATAGATGGGTGGGGGGGAAATAGTATAAACTCAAACGTATTATTGGGTATATGTAAGATAGAAGGTAAGGTAGTAATAGGTACTCACCTTACGCGAATTATAACCTGCTTTGAACTGATAATAGCTACACTAGGCACTTTCCTAGACTCAATTATCGGGCATACTCTCAGGCAAAGTACTCCCAGGTCCCATTTCCTATCGTTGTCAGCACCATGAGAAGATACCACGATCCTTGTGGGCCCATAAATACTCAGAAAATCACCAGCCGTGCAAAAAGAAACAATAGCGCAACAAGGAAAAGCGCGAATTCCTCCCAGGAGTGGAAGCTGATGACGCCGCCGAGTCCGTTGAGCTCGCTGTTGAAGTAAGGGCCGTAGCCGATGACCAACGCCTGGCTATGCGACCAGCCCGACAGAAGGCAATATGACGCAACGAAAAAGGCGATTACGGCCAAAACGTCGACAAACCTCCGCGGACGGTCCGACAACTGACCTGGCGGGTCCCGTGAGGTGTTACTGGCGACCGGGGCTCGGGAATCGAGGGCCTTCTTGACTTGCCCGCCTAGCTTTTTGAAGTCTTTGCGCAATCTGTCCACTTTGGCCTCCAAGCCGTCCGGCTCGACCGACACGGAGCTTGCTTCACTCACCACAGCGGAGCTGGCTTCGCTAGCCACACTGTGAGGAGCCCTGTTTCGCGCGACAGTCCTGATGGCCTTTTCGAGCTTCCTGTTCCGTGCCTCCTCCTCGTCGAGAGCGCTTCTCTGCCACCTAGAGTAGTTGATCGGGGGCAAGTCGGCCCACCAGTTGTCTGGCACACCATTTGATGGCAGGTTGGTCGTATTTCCATAGCTAGGCACTGCCGCAGTCTCTCCATCGGCAGGCTCTGGCGATGTTTCTCCGTCATCAGGGGCCGGCGTCGTTTCTTGGTGCGGGCTTGTTGGGCCTTCTGTCTCGTTGTCCGGCGCCTCAGCAACAATCTCGGGATCTCCAATGAGTCCATCTTCGACTGCTCTTTGGACGATGTCAACTAACCCATTACTTGGAAACAGCTCGAGGCTCGGCTGTTCTTCCTCGAGCTCTGGATTCTCGGATTCCTCTTCAAGGCCCTTCTCTTCGGGTGCTGGTTCGTTGACCCTGGGTCCGGCGATCCTTGCCTCATCGCTGATTGCCTCTGAGGCACTTGTTTCGGCGGAACTTTGTTCAGAAGGACCTTGATCTGTGGAACTCCTTTCGGGGAGGGTTGGCTCTAGCGAGCTTTGCTCGGGGTTACTTGGCTCGGAGGTGCTTCCCTCTGGGGAACTCTGCGTTTGGGAAGCTTGACGGGGAGGGCTTGGCTCGGGATCATGTTCCTCGGGGAGCACTATCTCGCTAGAAGGATACTGAGAGACGCTTGGCTCTGGTGTACTTGGCTTGGGTATACTTGGCCCGTCAATACTTGGCTCGGAGGTAGTTGACTTACTAGTTTTATTCCGCTGTAGGCCCGGGCTGCTCTCGAATCCCGAATCCCTTTTGGAGGCTGTTTCAGATTTGGCATCTTTGTCTTTCGGGCTATTACTTTTTTTGTCGCTCTCGTTCTTCTCGAGTGATGTCTCGGTTGTACTTGGTTTGGGAGAACCCAAGTTACCGTTCTTATCCCCGTCTAACCCCGAGGTATCTTCTTCGAACTCCGAGTTAGATTTAAGCCTCCCCCTGAACTCGACTTTCTCTTCTGGTGAGTCATTTATTTTATTCCCGGCCTCGCTGCCCTCGGATGCTGAATTCTCATTCGGGTCCTCTCCGGATCTGGCCTTGTCGTCTTCTAAACTGTTATTTTCTGTGTCGACCTTGTTCTTTTCGAAGACTGGCTCGGTCGCATTCGGCTCGGTCGCATTCGGCTCGGTCGCATTCGGCTCGGGGGCACTTGGCTCGGGGGTACTTAGCTCGGGGGCATTTGGCTCGGCGCTTCTGTTCGGATCGCCTTGCTCTAACCCCGAGATAATTCCGTCTTCGTGAACAGGTTGCTCGTTATCTGGGATTTTAGTTTTCTTAAAATCCCTCACTTCGAGTTCTAGCTCGGTAATTTCATCTCTCTCAGGCCCTAGTTTATTTTCCTCTAGCTCTGAGTCGTTTTCTTTCAACCTCATTCCCTCTTCGGATAAGTCTGGGTCATCAAGAGCCCTTAGCTTCTGAATCTCGGAATCTGACGTTTGATCAGTTGTTGATAAAGGGGAGGTGAGAGGCGGGGAATGTTCCCCAGCAGAGACATCGCGACCGGGGGAAAGGTCCTTATCATTCGAATCTACAGGAGGGCTGGTGCTTGGCACTTCAACTTCGCTACTGGCCCCCTCATCTCCAAATTCCCTCGCCCAAAGCTCCTGGTGGGTTGCCTCCTTATCGCTGGCCTCATCGGGCTTCTCGTTGTCAAACTCTTTGTCAGTAGATCCTTCCTTGATAGTACCCTCGACGTCAGGTTCGCCGGCTATCTCATCGCTAGAAGTATCATTACCGGGATCTATGCCTTCGGGATTATTATCCTTAACATTCCCGTCAGTAGATCCATCATTGACAACGCCCTCGACTCGAGGTCCATCTTCATCAACTAGCGTATTTCTAGAGTTACTGCTGTTAGAATCGCTATCTTCATGATTCTTGCTGTCAGTATTCCTCTCACCGGGACTCTCGGTATCCAAATTCTGGTCAATTGACTCTTTACCAGGATCTTCATGTATACCATCCTTCCTCCCATTGGAGCCCTCGCTGCCTGTGCTTTTTTGGTTGGAATTTGCCCCTGCTTCATTGTGAATCGAGTCCTCATGGATGGGGTCTACCTCATCAGCCTGGGAAGAGCTGTCGTGGTAAGAGTCGTCTTGGCTAGATTCGCCACCTGCAGAGTAGTGATCGTCAATACTAGACTCGGCCTTGATACCATCATCCGTGGGCTTCTCATTGTCAGGTTCCTCATTGCTAGGTCCCTCATTGGTAGATTCCTCATTGCCAGATTCCTCATTGCTAGATTCCTCAACACCATCACTTCCTAGGGTAGATGGTCTAGACCCCTCGTCTCTCGATGATGTGCCGGACGGGACAAAAGCCTCCAATTGTGAGCTAAACCATCTAACTAGTTCTTCAGCCATTTTTAGGGGGGGTTTTCTTGATGCTTCAGGCGAAGAATTAGTGGCGGATAGTAGGTATGATTTTGCCTCTTTTCCAACATAAGCTTGTAACTGTAGAGCTTGGAGAAGTGGTTGAGATGAGATGCTGGTTTCCCTTTGGTGCATGCTTCGACGCGGAACTTGGCTGTTCATATAATACTATATAAAGGCAAATTTCTCGAACACATTCTTTGCTTCTTTTATCGGGGTGAACAGGATGACGGAGGAAGAATGGTAGTAGTGTTTGTTTTGCCGTGAAATAAAGAGTGTCAATTGGCTAGGGCGATACCTTTGTCCACAGCAATTCCAACCTCGCGCGGCGACAAGCCCGCCGAAAATACGGATAATCCTATAATGTTCGGACCGACAGCTTCTTCTAGCCATCAAAATGCGGGAGGATTTGGATTTTGTCCAAGCGCTGGAAGATTATCTAAATAACTACCAAACCAACTCTGAGTCCTTGGTAGAGTCTTGCTTTGAAACAAGGTAGCCATCACCTGGCAATATCATTGGCCACGCATATGCCGGCCTATCCGGACATTGCCCCCGGATTGGAAAGTCCAGGCTCGTATCAGATACCAACGTTACACGAAAAAGAAAAAGGAGGAAACAAATATCTCTCAGAAAGCAGTGGTGGGTAATTATATTTCCAGTGCCCGTCGCCCAACCACTTGTGGAGTGAGTCCGTCAAACGTTAGTCAGTCCCAAAAACATCATCCCGATAGCCAAAGGCAGCTAGCCCGAATAGCAAAACAAGTCACAAGAGACAAAGACTGACGCTGGCCCATACACCTAGCCGGTTCCAAAGTCGGAGCCAGCCTATTGAAACAAAACCGTCGTAACAATCGTAGCGATAATAGAGTTTTCGAAGAGAAGCCGAGGCCGAAAACTTCAGGTCCAAATCGAGTTTGAATCTACAAGTCGCGGGTTCGAAATCTGCCTTGCTCTGTTCTTTTTTCCCCTAGATGACGAGGTCGAGGAGGACAATGCCGGGCTATAGGGTGCTCTGGCGGACGGCGATATGGGACCTCTGCCGGCCGGAGACAGATACGGTGCTGAACCGGTTGGAGACAGGTAAGGCACTGTTTGTGGCTTGGGCAGGTTATAGGTAATCCAGTGGTGAACGGGATATTGAAGCGGCGATGCCAGCAGAGCCCCTGGGGCCTCGGCTATCCCGTGGGGAGAGCGGTGTGCTAGCGGTTGCGGCAGCGGTTGCGGCAGCGGCGGCGGTGGCGGGAGGGATCCCGGCGTGAAGGGATATGGTTGCGATATAACCCTTTTTATCTGAGGGTTTGATGTGGGCTTCCGTCGGGTTGCACACGCAGGGTACGGAGAAGTTTCTGCCCAAGCCGGTCCGAACGCTCTCCCCGGCGGCGCAGCGGACAGAATGATGGCTGCAATCAACACAAGCGTGTCGTCGAGAAGAAATATCGCCACTTGGGATTGGGCGAGAACGCTGCCCAGGCCGCCGGAAAATGCCGCAATTCGTACAGCTCCCCGCACAAGAAGCAGCAAGGTAGCCAGCTGCATGCCTGATCAAGTCTTAGTACACTTCTTGATTTCAATTGCGATGTTGGTGCCCTGTTGGGGAGGGGGGACTGTACAAAGAAGTAATCTGTTGAATCGCAATGACAAAAAGACAGCCGAAAAAGTCGGGTTAAAGACGTAGCGGCGGCGGTCGAGTCGATAGACAAAGTACCGGTAACCGACGAGGAAAGTGGCAAGACCGGCAACATTGAGACCGAGGCCGGCGAGGAGGATATATGACCCCTGCCCCATCTTTATCGGTGTCAGCAAGCACGTAATCACGGACCCAGATTGAGCTGGACGGCAGAGTAGTTAGTCAATACCTCAACAACAGTGCCGGCACTGGCCCCGTAGACGGCCCCAACCAACTGAAAGGCCAGAGTGAAGACGTCGAGGATGATAAAGAAGACTCCTAGGTAGACGGGGCGGGATATGAGGCGAAATTCTTGACCGTAGATGACTAGGACATGGGGTAAAAAGAAGAAAATAGCGGCGCTGATAAAACTCGGTCCCCAGAGCATGCCCGTTATGTAGAGGGCGAAACTAGGGACGCTGGCGGCATCGTTCTGGAGCAGGATCTTGCCGACATGTCCGACAATCTCGAGTAGCAGGCCGGCGATGATTAGGGATGCGTAGAGGAGGGTCTTGTAGCGGATGCCGGTATAGACGTTGACAGGAATCAGGGAGGCGAAGGCAGCCAGCATGAAGGCATTGCCGGCAGTCGACGGCGGCCACGACACAAAGCCACCCGGAGTTGGGCAAGTCTCGGCGGTGCAATCTCGGGCCATATGCTTGCTCGCTGGCGAGGCGTCTCCCTCGCGGCTGACGATGGGCGAGGGTCGAGGGCCGACATCAGAGGCGGAAAGGGCAACCTGAGGGGGCAGGTAGGCAAAAAAAGGAGAGAAGGAAAGAAAGGGAAACGGCGGCGGCGGGAAGGAAGCACCAGCGGGTTGGAGATATAATATCGATTCGGGGGGGGGGGGGGTGGCTCAGCCCGGCGTGTTTGCTTTCAAGTTCCCTGGAACCTACCCATGAGGTAGGGTGTTGTCGAGGGACCCGGCAGTTCGGGACCAGCGCCTAACATGCATACGGGACCAAAAGAGCAAAGCACACTGGCCAGCAGAACGGGGGCCAACCCCAAAATGCTGCCGTCCTGCAAAGGGGGGGCCGGTTTTTTTCACAGCCAGCTAATGAAGATGAGCAGTCGTGCAAATGACCCCCATGGGACGTGGGCGGGGAAGCTATCGATACGCGCATTTGCAGCCAGCGATGAGCGTCCCATTTGCCCTTGTTCAGTCACCAACGTCCCTTCCTCCCTAGCCGCCCCCAACCAACACGCCCGCCTGCCTGTCTCTGGCACTCTACGTCTGTCTGCATTTCAACTCAAATACGGAGCAGCCAGCACGAGACCGTGGGCTCGCGGCAGCCAATCAATCAAGCCTCCCGAGCGGCGCAGAAGGAAAATGTTTTCACCGCGGAGCCACATGCGCCAAACAGTCCTTGCATTTTGCATTTTGCGTTTTGCATCGGCTGTTGGTTCTGAACTCGGCTCGTGTTGGTGCGCGCAAACAGGCCTCTAGCCCAACGCGAGGGGGGCGAGGCTTTTGCTTCTCTGCCAACAAACGGCCCAACAGACCAATAGGCGTTGGCTCGTCGAGATCGAATGTAAACTAAAGAGAAAAGGGAATATTATCGTCGCGGGAACCAAAGAACACGATGGGCCAAGCCCGACGTCATCCGAAAACCCTGCCCGGCAGTGTCGACGAACTCTCGAGACCTGATTGAGCATCGACCAGATTACCTACCTTGTTAAACTGTTGGTCCATCCATGCCAGTTGATCCCATTGAAAATGCTGAAAACTGCCCGTGGCTCTAATCTCAATTGGAGCGGGCAAGGGTCTCCGGGGCCCCCTCTTGACTGGTCTAGCAGCCCGCATGCTTGAGAATGCAGAACTGCTGATTTTGTGATACGCGGGCACTAAAACCTTGGCTAGAACGCGGTGGGAATCCCTGCTAGCTCCAATGAATGAGCATCAGCGAGCGTGAAGCAGTGTTCAATATCGGCGGTTTGTTCGTCTGGAGCTCACCTTTGACGTTGGTACAAATGAATCACTTCCCATCGCACACGGCCATCAGCATAGTTAACTCAAGCGAGAGGAGGAGAGAACAAAAGTAAACAGTCGTAACTAGAAGTCTTGAGGCATTATTCACTTGTTCACCTCGAATTTCGGTAGTCTATTAGGACAGAGATAACGTTCCAGCAGGTGCTGAGCGAATTAAGTAAGTATCCCATCTGTTGATTGAGCTTTGCTGTATATCAGCAATGACCTCGATCATCAAGAGTTGGCCCATGAAGAGGACAGATTCCTAGAGATTGGAACTTCCCACTCTTCTAACTTCTTATTCTAAATAGGTATTATGATCGCGCTCTTTGTTCTAATCATTCTACCTATAATAGTAATTGGCTCATGGCTTGACTCTGAAGGTGTGCTTCAAAAAGAATGACAGCAGCGCCGGACTCGCTTTTAAGCGCAACCGAAATTTCAGACTCTATGTTCACCGCCATTTGAAAAAATGATTCGTATTCGTATTGGAGCTGTACAAATTCGAGCAAGACTCTCGAGAGTGCTAATGACCTCACCTCCTGGTGCCATGTTATTTACCGACGGGGTAACAGTCATTCATGATTATGAGAGCGCGTGAAATGTTTTTATATTATAATCTAATAAATGTGTCGAAGCATTTCCTTCTTCAGTCATCAGAAATATATTTGATCGCGGTGCCGTGAAATAAGGTGAGATACAAGCCTCCTAGCGGCGCTTAATTGAAAGAGGGGTGAAGGGCAGGAAGATCAGTTGAGTTGATCTCACTAATTAGTTAACTATTTAATTACATTGCAGATGGCGAGGATAACTTCAATCCAGAGCAAGTCGTCAACGAATTAAACCCCACCTATTGGCCATTCTTCGAGTTTTCTCCGAGGGTATGCCCGAAGGATAGAGACATGGAAACTCCGGCGCAGATGACTCGGCGTTCTGATTGTTAAAGAGAGCGTATGTTAAATCGTCGCCATGCACTGTAAGTACAAAGGCGCCTAAGCGTTACGGCTCACCGCCCAGGAAAAGACTACATTTTACAGCCCAAATTACCGCATTCGCTGGCTGCCCCGCTCCAAGCGCTGGCAACTCAGTTGTACCGCAATTGCACCTTGCCGCCGTCGCCAACGTCAACACACTTCCGAATGCGGTAATTCCGGCTCAGGGCCGTAGATTCGCTCAAATCGTTCAAATCCACAACAAAAAGCGAAGCTGACTTCGTTGAATTCGCTTACATAACAGAGCCAAAAATGCAATTAAAAATTGCAGGCCTGCTTATAACTGCTCATAACTGCATACAACTGATAGCCCTCCTCGTCCAAGCCTTCCAATGCCCGGGCAGTAGGTCGCGGGACCCTTCCACTTCGTGTAGGCTTTATAACACGATCTTTAGCCACTCACATCGCTCAGATCGTTTAGATCCTCAAGTGAGACCATTCCTATCGCTAGTTAGTACTGCAGCGATGATGAAATCAATGGAAAATGAAGCCTTACCGATGCGCTAATTGATTGACGGCGCCGACGATGGTTTTTAGCGGCTGTGGAAGGTCGGTTGCAGTGGAAAGGTAAAAGCCGGGTAACGTATAGTAAAAAGTGGTAAATTACTACGCGGCAGAATCTTGGATGTACTGGAGGGTGGGGCGAGTGGCTAGGGTTAGGGTTGTATGCGGGGGATTACAGTGCATGATGACGGTTTAACAGTGGAGGGTTACGCTCTCTTGTTAAATACATTTCAAATCTCATGACTGAGATGACTAAGACGACTAACCTCGTAACTGATTGAGATGGAAAGTGCAAGGGATATCGATTTACCACAAACGTGGTAATTAACTACTCACTCTGTTAGCGATGACGGGCCGAACTGCATGCCCTGTCACTAACAGATTATGGCCGTTAAGGCCGGCCTCGGTGACGGAGCTATGCGGTTAAGAGTCCCCTAATCCGTCCGTACTCCCTCTCTACGAGCTGCTAATGGTAAAAGATTCTCCGTCTTGAGAAGGTGTCTTGTCCATGTCCGATACTCACGACCTGGCCCGCCTCATGCATGCAGGCGTTGATACTGATACATTTCTTACCAGACAAACCAGGGCTGTATCGTGCATAGCGGGAAAGAGTCCTGCCGCGATATAGTGTATGGCCGAGCCCTTGCTAGCACCGATCACGACCAAGGTCAAGCGTTTTTCTTTTTCTTTCCATTGGCTTGTTTTGTTTAATGTGGCTTAATGGTGCCAGCGACATACATACTATGTATTTATGGGCTTATAATTGAATCAGCGATGAGAACTTTTGTCCGGAAATCCCCTTTAGGTTGCTCCCTGAAATTGAAGTGACAAAGCGACTTCGACTTGAAGCGTTGTTGGGTATCATAAGGTACCATCAATTTCCCCCCCAGCCCCTGAGAGATTGTCAGTTTGTTGGTTCTTCGAGGAACAAGGATTAGAACTGCCGCTTCTACTCGGCCCTTTCGTGTCTTAACTAAACCTGCTTAAAGCTTGGTTTACCCTCTGAAATAAGGTAGGAACCATGGATGGGGGCCGTGTGCCACTTCGCTGGCCCTACATACAGAAAGACAAGTCTAAAGTCAGTTAGCTCTAACATCAGCCGAAGGGTAGCAAGAAACAGTCCTTACCTACTTAGTAGGTACTACCAAGCCCGGAAGGATCTAGCTTCAAGGTAACGATCTTCCAGGGGCTGGGGTGTAGGGTGGTTCTACAATACGCGTATAGGAAGATTCCGGGAGAGAATGTGGAGTCCCGTCACACGAAGGATGAATGGCACGAGTCTCTTTGGGGTTTCACGGGGAAATCAGGAGGGGGGATATTATGGAGGCGTGGGGGGTCACACCCGCGGAATCGGATTGACAACCTGGATTTGCTTCTCGGCCACAGAAAACTCCGTAGGGGTAGTAGGGGCGCTGCAAATGGGCCAAGCAGCCACGCCACAGCACCGCCTTGTCCTGTATTTGGGCTGGAAACAGTATTGTATGTATGTACTGTATGTACATACAGTACTAGTGCTGCATTGCCCTTACATGGAATTATCCCCTACCCACACGAGCCGTTGGACCAGTCGGTTGCCTGCCTTGTGCTCCTTCAGAGTTTTGACCGTAAACCTGCTGTACACGTACGGATATCCGTACAGCTCCCTAAATCTGCCTGCCGAATTTCCAGTCCTTCTTTCCATGGACTCTGCCCTCGTACTATGTAGGCGGCTTCCTGTATGCGACGGCTTGCGGCTTCACAGACCTGAGACGAAACAAGCAATACTCCAAGTTATCACAGAAGACGAAGACGTGCAGGATTTTCAAGCTTGAACTGAGCCTCTAGGATTGCCACAGGGGGGCCTCGAGAGTTCCCAAAACAGACTTTGGAATCACAGACAACACGGGCCTCCGACAGGCCTCTGGGGCTCTCTCTAGTAGGCATGAATCTAGCCTGCTCGGAACTTGCCACTTACCTACTTGGCGGCGTGTTTTAGTTGTCTGCCGCCCTACAGACACACCCAGATACGGAATAGGTAGGTAGTCGATCCAAAACCGGTTGTCAGTCGTGGGTGCGATACCCGTCTAGCTGAAGGTAGGAGGCAGTGAAGAGCCTAACACGGCCTTCCCGGTCGACAACATGCTAGTAGATATTGTATTTAAGATTTAGCGGATGCTAAAAGCAGAGAAGACCGAGGCTTTCTTTGAAGGCGAGGCCTGAAAGCAGCCCAAGGTCCGTCTCGAGTCGGAACGCGCAGCCTGTTGTCACTGCCGCGACCCAGCATTGAGCCGAAGTCCGCGGACAGAGGGCGGACGGATCGACGGGAGCCGGTTACCAAGCCACACCACAAGCCATCTTGTATATACCGGCAATGGCAACCGCCTGACAGGGTCTTGTTACACCGAGATCAGGGGGTCGGCTTTAAACATTAAGGGAATGGAATGCAAAACTCTAGGTCTACGATAAGACCCTGGGGAGTGATGTGCTTGAATGCCTGGCCAGCCTATATAAGGCTCGCGTGTGTCTCCTGAAATTGAGCATCTAGATGTATTGTTTCCGTACATAATAGAACAAGAGACAATAGAGAAACTTCCAAAGTCCACTTCCTGTTTACCCCCTTACTTGCCTTCCCTTATCCGCTACTAGCGTCGATATGCGGTCCATTCTCGAGGAATCCCGGACGGGGCGCAGTCTCTTACCCTTATATGCCAGCTCTTCTACCTCTGCATCGCCGCGGTCGAGCCCTCCGCCGTCACACAGCAAGAGTCCCGTATCATCGGCCGATAAATCGTCCTTCAACCCTGCTATCATCGACGAAGACTATTTGGTAGTCAGAACCGTTCATGGGAATGACGAAGGCGATGCCATGCACTTCAAGTCCTGGCAGCGCCTCTCTGGCCGCTTGCTCTTTGTGACAGGCGCCATCCCTGCCTTCTTGGGGATATGGGCAAGCGTCATCCAGCTTGGGGCACTGAGAGATCCAGTATTGCGGGAGACAGTAATGCCTCTAAGAATACTGTTAGCAACTCTCATGACCTATGTCGGCTTTATCGATTCGCGTGAGTATCTACCTTAACTTTGCTGTCTTTCTCTGTTTGGCTTCCCCATGGACCTCACCTTAGCTAACATGTCCTGCTTCGTGCCACAGTCGATTCTATGATACTCGCAATAGTAATGGTGTACAACTCGATAGGGAAGTGGCGCCCAAAGCTCCGTCTTCTGGGAGACAATGTTCCGTCCGTAGACGTTATCGTTGCCGTGTGCAACGAGCGCATCGACATTGTGCAGGACACTGTGCGGGCGGCCCTCAACGTCGACTATCCCACGAACCGCTTCCGCGTCATCGTTGCCGACGACGGCAGGTCGCAAAAGCTCGAGGCGTGGATTCTGCAGCTTGCCGTTGACACGCCCAACCTTCATTATACCGCGCGTGTCAAGAACGGCGGGAAGCCAGACTACAAGGCCGGCAACCTGAACCATGCCATGCGGTTCGCCGAAACCCTGCCTGGAGGGGCGGCCGAATTCGTGGCTGGTCTTGATGCCGACATGATTCCTGAGCGGAGATGGTTGCGAGCAGTAGCCGCCCACATCGTGCGGGATTCCAAGATGGGCATGGTCTGTCCGACTCAGGTAAGTATGGCTACCTGCAGCAAGATATACTTGGGGCCCTACCTACAGACAGCTGACTTGCGTGCCATAGCTCTTCTACAATATGCCAAACGGCGACCCTCTTTGTCAATCGAGCTTGATAAACTGGAAATGTGCTGACATCTTTCGCGACCACGTCGGTTGCGGGTGGAACCTGGGGTCTGGTTGGATTGTTCGGCGCCTGGCTATTGACGACATCAACGGTTTCCCTACTGACTGCCTGGTCGAGGACATTTGCAGCTCCATGCTCACAATGGCCGAGGGCTGGAAGACGGCTTACATTCCCGAAGGCCTCCAGTATGGACTGGTGCCCGAGACTTATCTCGGTCACGTCAAGCAGGTAAGCACTTCACTTGCCCCCTTCCCCCTGACCTTGAGATCGATGAAAAGTCGAGGCTAACTCTTTGCCCTTGGAGTTCACGCGCTGGTATATGGGCGGCTGCCAGATGTTTGTAAAGTTTGGCGGCTATATCTCTAAGTCGACGACGAAGCAGATGCCATTCCTTGTCCGCTTGATGGGCTTCAGCAACGGCCTGAGCGTTCACATCAAGACCCAAATGGGGACTCTCGGCATGGTCCTGACGCCGCTTGCAATCATGACGGGGACGTGTCTGGTATACTACCGGGACATTGACGAGATGCGGCGTTTGCTGCGCGTCAGTTGCGCCATGGTGCTCGCTCGCGCGCTCAGCGACATGCACAAAGCCACCATGACTGGATACTGGGTCTCGATAATTAGCAACGGCGCGGATTGGATGTCTCCATGTGAGTACCTACCCCCCCAGGCCTCATTCATCTCTCTGTGCGAATAAAACTAACGCTCTGCCGCCAGATTACACGATCGCGTGGATGCGCGCCTATGTCTTGCCCGAGCGGCTCGGAGGGAAGGCCACTAGGTTCACGGCGACGGGAAGTATCGTGAACCCGACGTTTGAGCGAGACGCATCTCGGCGCATCTCGCGGCGGCAGCGCCTGTACCACATCGTGGTGGAGTGCGGAGCTTGGATTCCGGTTCTCGTCATCTTGTCGCTGGTGGGTGGCGTCACGGGCCGGATCCTCTACGAAGTGTACGGCGCTCCCGGTGCCAGCCGGGCCGCGCATGACACCTTACTCCAGGTGCTGCGAGCCGTTGGCTGGCCTTCCAACTCCTGGTTCCTCACCTTGGGCGCCAACCTCACGCCCCTGGCGTACGCCTTCTTCCCGCCGGATGTGCCGCAAAGGGATCGTCTGATGGGTAAGAGGGAAGAGAACGGCGCGCGGTATCCGAAGTCCACCGAGGAGAGGGCCAAGATGAAGTCGACACCAAGGGTCACCTCGTCCATCTTTCATGTCCTCTACTTTGCCTATGTGTTCTACAACGCAGCCTTGCTCTACGCGAGCCGTTGGATTTAAGCTGTAATTAATTAATGAGCCGTCTAGGAGACTCGGGCTGCCTTTGGGCCGCCGGAATGGGTTCGGAAGGCGAGCGCTGGAATTGTGCAAAGAAAGGAGAAGGAAGATAGATGGACGAATGGCGTCCTTTTCATAGATGTATATACCCTGAGTGTTTCGATTGGTGGTTTGCCGTGCTGTGAAATACCTTAAAGCTCGTGAGCTTCGAGGCTCCTGAACCCCCTTTTTGCGGTCACGCATATCAGGGCGAAGTACTCCATGTTTTGATAGTTTGCAAGAAATCAACGGTTTCTTACGATAGGTAAGGTAAGTAGTGAAAGAACATTCCCCGCCTAGCGTTATTTGGTACAGAAATAGATCAGAGACGGCGGTGGAGCCCGCAATACTAGCAAGGTCAGGTAGCTTCGTTCGCATCGTACCATCGGTATTTGGCGTCAAAGGCGGCGCTCTTCAAGTTACTAATCAAACATGTTTACCTAATCCGGGACCTCCTTGGCGCCAAGCCGGCCCATGTGCAATGACGACACAGTTGAGATGTCCCCCAAGAGTTCTAACTGAGGTGGCGCCTGCACAGGGAATTGACTATGAAGAACGTGTGGGAATCCTTGGAACCGGCAAACGCCCAGACAAACAAACAGCTCCCCCCCCCCCCCCCCCCCCCCCAAAATAAACCCCCCTTTTTAAGCGTCAAGGCCACATTCCATTCGACGCCTATCCATAAAATTTCCGTGCTCGTTCGCACTGGGGCTCGAGCGCTGGTCTCAGCTACCTAAGGTACCTACCAAATTACTTTGTTACCACGTGCCAAGGTTGGGTTTCACGGGGTGAAAAGGGGCACGAGACCTCTACGCTCAGATGAGCGTTTTGGTCGTCCGCCAGAGCAATGCGGCGACGGCGACACGCCTCGTGACACACGCAGCACAAGGGAGCGGCCGCTACCGATCCCCGCCGTCGGCCCGTGGCTTTTGCATCTCGGTATCTCTCTGTCGTGGCCGAAGTACTAAGGACCATCGCTTCAAAGACACCAGGATCAAGGGCTTGGGCAGGGAGATAGACGATGACTACGCCCTCATAAGAGACCGCTATGGTGAGCACCTACCGGCCTGCGTCGTGGATCATGCACCATGAGACCCTTTGACGTTCTCACTGCTCACTGTAAAAAAAAACCCCTACAAAACAAAAGCCGTCCCAAAGCACCCTATTGTACTTGCACATGGCTTGCTGGGCTTTGTTGAACTCAAGCTGGCCGGGAGCTACTTGCCTTCTGTCCACTACTGGCGTGGTATCAAAGAGGCTTTCAGCTCTCGGAATGTCGAGGTCATGACGGCATCGGTCCCGCCCAGCGGCTCCATCGAACATCGCGCCGCCAAGCTCGCCCAGGACATTGAAGCCCAAGCCCGTGGCAGGAGCGTCAACATAATAGCCCACAGCATGGGCGGGCTTGATGCTCGTTTCATGGTCTCGCGCCTGCGCCCCGCCGTAGACGTCAAATCGCTAGTCACCGTCGGCACTCCGCACCACGGCAGTGCCTTTGCCGACTTCCTCATCGACGAGATAGGGCCCCAATACCTGCCTCGCCTATACCGCAGCTGGGAACGGGCCACGGGTTGGGAAAGCAATGCCTTCACACAGCTGACGACACGGTACATGACCCAGGATTTCAACCCCCAGACGCCCGATGATCCAAATGTGCGTTACTTCTCATACGGCGCAATGCTCCGGGCCAAGCCGCCTCTCCTGAGCCCCTTCCGCCTGTCTCACCGAGTCATTGAGCGGCTCGAAGGCCCCAATGACGGCCTCGTGAGTGTCAAGAGTAGCCAGTGGGGGACATACAAGGGGTCCCTTATAGGCGTCAACCATCTTGACCTGATAAACTGGAGCAACCGAATGCGCTCCACGTGGCAGAGATGGATGGGCCACCATCAGTCGTAAGTAACGGGAGATATCTCCCAGCGGTCTTCCCAAGACGCAGTCGTACTTTTTAGTGCCGGCCATGTCTGACTCGGCTTCTCTATCTTGGCAGGTTCAACGCAATCGCTTTCTATCTCGACATCGCCGATATGCTGGCGAAAGAAGAGCTCTAGGAACGATTTGGTCCGACATCGAGTAGTTGAGCGAGACTTATGACCTCTTAGAAGGCTATTAGATTGAAATAGTATTCTGTGAGCATGTCAGCGATTTGGTCAAGTATATTTTCTTTCTTCCTTTGTACACTAGAGGGCATCAAAGTTGGCAGTCCACGTCGGAGCTGCGTTTTGTTGGCTCGTCGGCGGATGGGGCTGGAGACACCGCATCCGTTGTTCGTGGGTAGCTAGCCAAATGAAACCTTCTCCCAACTACATCTAGGGACTGGAACAAAACGTCACCTGCCTTCCCCTCATCTCTTTCGAGGTATAACTCGTGACTTGGGCAGGACTAGGGTGGGGTTGCATATCTGCAGAGGCCGTTGTGGTTGGAGTTCCGTACCACATTCCCAAACTGGCCAGATAGGCCTTAAACGTCACATTTCTCGGCCATTGTCTTGGGCCGAACTATCGCCAGCAACCAACCAGTCTAGGTTCGGACTCCACTGCTTGGGGTGGAATATGACCGGCTCTCAGGATTGTCTCCCTGGCCGGTATAATAAAGATGCCCCGCCTCGGCACGAGCAGCACCTATGGGGAGTCGGGTGCCGCAAAAACATGAATGGCCATCCAGCGAATTTGGCAAAGCTCCTACGATGTAACAAGGTCGAAAATAGTGGCGGATGAAGGTGAATGGCTGGCGTGCTACAGCTTTCTCTTTGAGCGCAACGTCCGACTAGCTGCAGCAGCTGCCTCGTTCTGGACTGGAAAAGAAATCTTCTACGTGGTTGACCAGAGGCTCCGGTATTACCCAAATCTGGGAGAATGTTTGCAAGATGCTCAAGTCTTGGATAACAGTGTCGATACTGGTGGATTGCTATGCCATTCCCGTCACCGCACTGCCCCTGAATAAATACTCGATGTGAACGTTGCCATTTTTGGTAGCTGGGTCTGGCTAGGGCACTAGAAACCCGAATTCATCTTGTCCGGCATACACCAATGTCCCACAGGTTCTCGGCATCGACACGTGGTGGCTGTCGGCGGCAAATGTTGCGGTGCCGTGGAGCACGACGGGTAAAGGAGTACGGGGTGCTACCTGTAGTACTTGAGGTATGTGAGCGAAGAGGTAGGTACCTACGTGCATCCAGTACCGGAAGCGCATGCACAAATATATGGTGGCCGGTTCACGGTCCCGGATTTGGCCAAGATCTTCGAGACATACCAAGGCGGGACAATTCGGGCACAATAGCAGCACCACAGAATCCATCGCATGCCCGCCTGAGCAGGCGGGCCCCATGACTGCCTGGGACGGAGATGGCCCGCCCACCCGCCGCAGATCTGGTGTAAGGTACGAGGATGATCTGAGCTCTGGAAAAGTGCACTGTCCAGTAAATACCTTACCAGTCTGAACTGCTTTATGCGGCTTTGGTGACGCCCCTTCCGCTCCCCCACATGCAACTCAGCATCACAGGTAAGGTAAGTCCGAGACCCAAGTATTGTGACCCAACCGCGGCCGACTTTTGAAGCCACGCTAGCAATTCACTATGAATTTCCATACCTTAGGTAGTAACGATGTTAACACCCTTTGCTAAACAGGAATTCTGGTGCGCATTTGCAGCAATATCAGAAGACGTGACGTTCGGTTTTGTGTTCTTTTGTTACGTTTGGTCGATCGGGTGGTCTTTCTTGGTTGGGGAAACGGTCCGAAAGCTTTTCGCGCAGATGGTCTCCGTAGTTCTCGTCGTTGTTCTCCTTGTCTTGGCCGTGTCCCTAAGATCGTACCCAGCCATGACTCCGTGGGTGTCGTCATACGTTGTAGTCTTGTTTTGTGATGGAGCCCAGGCTCGACTGAAGAGGCTGCTTTCATGGAAAATACATTACCTAAGGAATTTATATTCCATTTTTGGGCCCCGTGTCGAATGTGTAAGTAAGTTGAGGTGGCACGTGGATTCCTACGGCAGCCATACGCTGGAATACAGCGTGCATACGCTTCATCGCAGCCCGCGGCAGGGGATGGTTGATCTCAAACCTCTTCCGGCTTAGCCTCAATTTTCTCTAGGCCTTATGCCGTCTTGAACACAAGCTCACCACTTCGAATGTAACCGCGAAATATACAACCAACAGCTCGAGTCTTGTCGCTCCCTTTGTCGGGGATCTTCTCCCTTGCGAAATCCGTTTCAGGGGCAGTCAACTGCACCTACTACGCATCAGCAGCCGCTCGTCGGCCGTACTGTCCGCCCATACATGACATGGTTTGACATGCCTTCAAATGTCATGTAGACACTGTGAGTGGCCATGGAGATACGCACCCCCAGGCTAACCATGGGGGTAGTTACGTGCGGATAAGCCTTCAGTGATTTGATCCTTTCTAAGCCGCTCTCAGGAACCGTGTGGGCTTTTGTTGGATAGGTTCAAATCACGTCTGCCTAACAGACGAACCCGAAGCCCCCGAAAACAAGATTCTGGTACAATACGCCGCAAAATAGAGTTGGCAGTTTACTTCGTGTCACCTCAGTCTTTCCTGCCACAGAGGTGCTTAAGGTTTTTGAGCTTCCTTGGCGTCGCAGATACCTTATTTTACTACCTGGCTGGGTAATGAGACTAAGGCAACCTGGAAATACCTTATGCACCACGGCTGGGCCATCTCAAACAGCGTGAGCTTTCGACGGCCGACAACAATGGTGGCTTGTCTGCCCGGCACTGCGGTGCGGAGACCTTGCGCTGGACAAGTCGGCAGGATCGTCTGATGCAACAACTCCTAAAGGCGAGTTACATTCTCCCCAGTTCCGATGCAAGACAGAGGACACCCCAGACTGTCTATGTATGGGCCCCAGTCGTGTAAGGTATGGATGCTTTAGCGCGAGTTACCTAAAGTTCCTTAGGTAGGTGCAACCTAGTCCACGGCAAGCAAATACGCAAATTAAAGTAGAAGAGACAGCCTCTCTACGCCACCCCCGGCTCGCAAGCTCGCCTACGGTGGCTCCGTTCAGCTGAATCAAGTCTCTGGCAAGTGCCAGTCTCTCCATCCAGGCTCTGGCAGGAGGGGACCCACGTCCACCTGCTCTCATCATCCTTCCGGCTCACACAGCCACATGGATCCACGCCTCAGGAGTTCTAAATCACATCAAGCACCCTTTCTCCGATTGTTCTGTGTTATTGCTATATAATCCTCCTTCGTCCCGTCACTCTGCCTATGACTTCCCCCCCAAACGAAGCTAAGAAACCCAACGGCCGCATACAGCGTTCCCGTTACTTTGGTCTATCGAAAAGTAACTTGGGCTGACCTCTCTTCATCCGCTCTCACATCAACCTAAGGCGGCAAACTGTCCGAGTGTGCACCCAGCCCCGTTTTCCCACTTTCAACTACTGCACACAAACGCCCAAGGTCCCTGCTTTGCTCAGTGGTACACGCAAGACCCTTGTTCCGTGTGGCTTTCCCAGATCAACCAGATCTGCCTACAACTCTCTCGCTCTCTCTGGTTCTCTCTTCCAAAGGTGCTTGCGCCCCGTACCAGTCTTCTCTGCCGCCATCTTTGCGGTCCTCGCGCTTGACCAATGCGTTTCGTCAAAATGGCGGCCGTTGCGTTGGCAACCTCGGGCCGCGCGGTCGTTGTTGCTGCCTCGGCCTTTATTCCTACAAAACCCCCAGCCGTGCCATTGGCCGTAAGATCACCGTATCTGAATGCTTGGTTGCAGGGCGACTCGGGCTGTATTCTTCCTGGTTCCTGGCCCCGGTTCTGGACGTGAGTAGCCTCCCCCCACTCACACGGCCTGCTTTTGCCCCCTTTTCACTGGCTTTGAGCTGCTAGTATGGCTACAGTACTAACTACACTTTTCAGAGGTCAAATACAGGGCTGGCAAGGTCTGGTCGCTGTTGACGGGACTGTCTACAACTGGATGGGCGCAGCTCCTGGTCCGGCGCTTGTTGACCAGATATCTCTTGAGTATACCTCAACACGGAGCATCTTTACCTTCAACGTAGCAGGAAAAGTCAACTTGACCGTTACATTCTTATCCCCAGTCTATCCTGACGATCTCGGAAGGCAGTCTTTACAGTTTTCTTACATCTCTGCCAAAGTAAAGTCCTCGGATGGGGCATCACACAGTGTCCAGGTTTATATGGATGTTTCCGGAGGTAAGCCAAGTGCTCTGTCTGACTTCCTTTAGGTTTCCGTACTCATTATCTCCTTATTCCGTTACTACCGAAAAACCCGTCCCCGTTCGGTCTAACACGCGACAGAATGGGCCAGTGGCGATCTCTCTCAGGTCGTGAACTGGGATTCCGGCACGGCTGGGGATATTACCTATCACAAGTTTTTCCGTGCCAACCAAGCCGAGTTTGCGGAATCAGGGGAAATCGCCAGCTGGGGAAACTGGTATCTATCAACCAGCTCTGAAAAAGGTGTAAGTTTGTGTTTATGTGTCTTGTTTCGTCCATGTGTATCCAATGACACTAACGCGAGACGAACAGATGACTTGGCAGATTGGCCAAGACACGCTGGTCCGAGGCCAGTTCGCGGACAAGAGAACGCTAGCAAACACAAAAGACAGCAATTTTCGTTCGGTGAGCTCAAATTGGTAAGTTCTCATGATGGTAACACCGCTTGACCTCTTGGTGTTGATTTTGGCGGGATCTGGACTGATTTTGGCAGGCCGGTCTTTGCATTCTCACATGATTTGGGCAATGTCCAGGGGAGCGATGTTGAGAGACTGTTCACTCTGGGTGTGACTCAAGATCAAGTCATCAACTTTGCTGGACATATCCAGTCCTTGGCGCCTGTGCCGGGCCTGTGGTTGGCATACTATAACGACGACATCTCTGCCGTCACTGCTTTTTTCGACGACTATCAACACGCAAGCTCCGTGTCCTCAAGTCTCGACAGCTACATTCAAACCGACTCTGTTAAGGCGGCCGGGAATAACTACGCCATCGTCACGACGCTTGCCGTTCGCCAAACATTTGGTGCGCTCCAGTATGCTGGCACCGCACCAAAACCCTATATCTTCTTGAAGGAGATAAGCTCCAACAGCGACATCCAGACGGTCGATGTCATTTTCCCCGCATACCCGATCTTCATATACCTAAATGCGACACTCGGCAAGTATCTGCTAGACCCGCTCTTTGAGAACCAGGAGAGCGGATCATACCCGAATGCATACGCAGAACACGATCTCGGCACCTTTCCGATGGCCAAAGGGTATCCGGCCGGTGACGACGAAGCCATGCCCCTAGAGGAATGCGGTAACATGATCATTATGACACTGGCTTACGCTCAACGGACGGGCGACATCGGCTACTTGTCGGCCCATTATCCTAAATTGTCCCAGTGGGCACAATTCCTGGTTAACGACTCTCTTATCCCCTCAAACCAACTTAGTACGGACGACTTTGCAGGAACACTGGCGTACGTATACCCCGTTGAAGTCGCTAACACGACTGTATGGTCCAAGTTAACTGACCCTACGTAGCAATCAGACAAACTTGGCTATAAAGGGCATAATTGGCCTCAAGGCCATGTCGAAGATTGCCAGCCTGACAAATAACAAAGATACGTTCGGTACTGTGGCGGATATGTACTTGGCCAACTGGAAGCAATATGCCATCAACAATAATGCAAATCCACCTCACACGACATTGAGTTACGGTGATAACAACAGTCATGGTATCTCTATCCCCCTCTCGTCTTCTGCACTCACCTGCCAGTCCACATACTCCAGGCATACACGGACAAATATACTAATCTATGACAGGTCTGCTTTACAACATCTACGCGGATAAGCTTCTCGGCCTCAACTTCATCGACCAGTCTATCTACGACATGCAGAGCAAGTTTTACCCAACAGTCGCTCTCAAGTATGCTGTACCGCTAGACACGCGCCACACGTGGGCAAAGTCGGATTGGGAGATGTTTGCGGCTGCCGTTGCCAGTACAGAAACACGAGACATGTTCATCTCGAAGCTCGCGAACTGGGTCGGGGAAACGTCATCAGACAGAGCCATGACTGATCTCTTCGACGCAGCAACTGGTGGATTTCCGCAAGATGGCCCGACCTTTGTGGCGCGGCCAGTCATGGGCGGCATGTTTGCTTTACTGGCATTGCCCAATTAGTGCACCAATGCCGGGCATAATGCCCACCAAGTGACATTTTCGTTATCTATGTGCATTTATTGAATATGTGCCGAAATTTTGAAGCCACTGCGTGCCCATGGCACTGCATCGCTTAGGAGTCTTGGCATCACTCGGAGGGAGCAGCAACACTGGCTGAGGAGGACCTTGGGTCTCAATATTGCTGTGTGCCTATTACCTATCCATTTTACTTGGTTTGGAAAAAGGAGCCTCCAAAATGCAGATCTGGACAGAAGCAAAAATCTAGGCATTAATATCATCAATACACTGCATTTTTGGCTTATACCCCGTTTGCCTTTACATCTGCTGAGATCGTGTTCTCTTGGCGTCCACCTCAAGACCTGTTGCGACAGTCACAATTGTTGGGACTGGTCTCGGCTTTTTTTCTTTTTTGTTCTGAGTTCCATACTATAGGTAAAGTAGCTGGTCCTATTGGACTTAATTTATTCCAGCCGACCTTCCTCACTAGGCGAATGTCGTTACGATAATGGAGGTCCCCTAAGCAACCGCCTAGATGGGTCAATAACAAGACATGATACATAGATAGTAAACAGAATGAGCACAGAGTTTTTACTGAGTTCCAAGACGAGAGTTTCAATGCCCAGACGCTATAGCCGAAACTAATAACCCCTTGTTCAGATCCATAATCCATTTGCCCAAGTGACCATCATCCCGAGCGCACATATTACGTAGCTAGGGTACCTGGGAACGGAAGGAGTGATGCCATCCGTACCCAGTACCGCAGTAACAAACTAGCAGGGATATTGTCGGGGACAACCGCATGAATCTGGTTGTCAGGCACAACGAGTCTCGATACGACCATCAACACTGGCCCGTGCTTCTTGATAAAGACGAGAAAATGATAGAATCCAGCCTAGTAGCTGGTTTTATATACAGCTAGCCAGCTCTACGATCTAATTAACCATATTTCTCAACTTCGCGATAGCCATTCTTGACGTGAGCTGGATAGATGTCGGCTTTATTTGCGCTGGGGCTCCTTTGAAGCGAAAAAAGGCGTGACGTTAACGGGTGACTGTGCGCTAGCGGCTGCGGGGTTCCTGGGCACGTACCTGCCATTTCGCAGACCTCACTCCACAGGGCGCCAGCCTGCACCATCCCACTTTCGCTCTCCGTCTTCACCCCTCCAACGCAAGTGAACAAACGGCAAGCAGATATATCGCTACTTGCCCGACAGCGCCCGAGAAAGAAACGGTCAAAACCCGAGGCGTTCTGCACAGGCAGCTCGTTCCACGTTCTTTCTTAATCGCAGACAACATCCCAAATAACAGCACACCTATCCAAGACCAACTCGCGACCATGAATCCCCTGAAGGCTAAAAAGGTTGACATCAAGGTGAGCCGCTTTCTCTCTTCCTGCTCATCTCCCTACGATGTACCGCATATCCAAGGACTCCGAGGGGCAGCTCTTCAATCGGGGGGGGGCCTCCCGCAACCGCCCTCGCAGGGCAAGATATGCCAGAATCCGATCACTAATGAGCGTATTGATTGCACAGACTCTATCCCCAGAGGAGCAGCGGCTCTTCCGGCTGTACGGCAAACTACCTAGCCGCAGCGACCACTTTGCCAAGCATCTGAAGGACCGCAAGTACTTTGACAGCGGCGACTATGCCATGAGCAAGGCGGGCAAAGGCGATAGCGTCGACACCGGCTCGGTGGGCAGCCAGCACCCCGTACCCGAGGACATCCCCCACCTCTCGAGCCCCATAAACAGCCCCAGCGGCATCAGCAACATGCTTCACGCGCACCAGCATCACAGCAGCCTGCAAGCTGGCAGTCCAGTCAAGGAGAGCAGTTTTCTCAACCAAGAGACAAACGCCGAGGAAATAGAGGGTAATCCGCAGGGAGGATCTCCTGGAGTTTCTCCAGTCGTCTCTCCGGTCATCTCTCAAGGCATCTCTCCCGTCGAAGGAGAGTCACAGCCTGCTGGCAAAGACGGCCAGGGCGTCTTCCGGGCCGAGTAAAGGGAGGACGCACTCGGTTTGGTCCCATTAAAGCGGCCGCATTTTTGAACACTCCTTTCTAGAGGTTTAGTGACCTGACGTTTCTTTGGTGCCCCAAATTTGCAAGCTGTGCCGCTTGTTTGATGCTCACGAGACCATGAAGTCTATTACGGCGTTGGGTTGATATTATCTCCCCATGATTATAACAAATTGGGTTAGCTGGGAACGTTCCGTTTCCTTCTCGACCACTTTTTCAGTGGGGATTTTTCGAGGTGATTCTTTATTGCTTCATTAAGTCTATGTCTATCTACTCTTTGCTCGTCGTGGGCCCCGCGTTCCGAGGGCTGGTGTAGAGATTGCTCCAAGATTATTCGGGGAATTATATTTGACATATTACGAAGGACAACGAGATTGAGATCATGACATGGCCTCGGGAGGGCGCATCGTTCTTGTCTATTTTTCATGTAATTTTTTTTCTTTTCGTGTTGATAGGAAATTAAGCAATACTCTGGAGATGATACTGCAATTAACCCGGTCGTGGCGCGTCAGCTAGTCTTTAAGATAAAGGAACAAGAAAGGCAAGAGTAGACAATGTAGACGCCGTCTTGCCTAGAATAGAGACAAGCGTAACCACAAATATCAGCCAGCTCTACAGGTAGAGTTTGTCACTTAGGCGGCGACCGAGATTGTGATATCTTCCGCTGTAATTTTGCTATGATATAGTTCTACCCCGGAAGCCCGACCACGGACGATAGCGTCCGATCCCCTTAGGTAATTATGGACGTCTATATTTCGAGAGCCTTCTTTGCCATGGCGAGCGCACCATCAAAAGACTTGTTCCCTCCAATGAACCCTGCGGCGTGCACGAAAACGCAACCGTTGATTCCGGATATCTCGTCCAGCTTGTCGTCCCGGAAACCTCTCCACACCTCAGGCAAAGGCTTCCGGCTCTGGAATGAGTCCTTCGAGTTCGGAACACACTGTATTCTCCACTTTGCATCCAGGGTGGGCTTCTCGGGATACAGCACATAGAGGACTTTCCCAGCCACTTGGATTTGCTCCTCCAAACTGTACAGATGGTCCTTCCATGGTGCCGACTGTCCTTGCAGCACCATGATGCGACCCTCGCCGTCAAACTCTGGCCGGGCAGCAAACGCGCCAGCAACGATTTCCCGCGCCGGGAGCCAAGCCTGAGTGTAATAGTCGAGGTCGCGGTCAAACTCCTCGCCTATTCTCTGGCTGGCTAGCTCAAAGCGCTTGTCCTCAGCCGCCTGCGCAGCGACAGGGTCGTCGGGCACAGGGTCGTTCCAGTTAGGGTTTAACCGGCCCACTACGGAGCCGAGAGTGAAGGCTCCGTCCGAAAATCTCTTCTCGATGCCTGCGGCGGCCAGGGCAGCAGGGTCATAGGTGCTAATTCCATTGTCGTGTGCGTCCAACGCCTCAACGAAACCCTCGTAGATCTTGCGCCATATCAATCCAACCTGCTCGCTGTCCTCGGGGGCGGCAAGACGACGCGCCACAATTTCCCGCCCAAAGTGCAGGTAGACCAGACCGGCGCTGCTAAGCTTGGTAGGCCGGTCAGGGAAGGTGGTGGCGAACGAGCGCTGGTGGTGGTCGTAACGGTAGCGGGCCGGCTCGTACTCGCCGCCGACGTCGACAACGGTGTGGCACTCGTCAAGCAGTTTAGGGTCGCGTGTGCGCACCAAACGCGCACCGGAGTATGTAGGAATGTGTTGGCGTAGCATGTAGACGGCTAGTGCCTCGTCGGCGTGGAAATGACCATTGTGGGTGCCAATGGTGACAAGTCCGCTCTCGGTCTTGAGCCTCTTCGCTGCATTTTCGGCCATTTTGAAGAACGAGCGCAGCATGCAAGTTGTGATTGCAATAAGAATTTGCTTGGGTCAGGAGTATAGGGAAGTCGGCAGAAAAGAAGAGGTTGGTTTTGATTTGAATTCCCTGTCGACAAGTGTGTTGCTTTATAGGAAAATGCAATGGGGAGTCTGAATGGGCACCTTCGGTCGATGTCAATCGAATTCGACTTGCTCTGTACCGTACGGCAAAACAGGAGCTTACGTACTAGTGTACTCTGGTCTAACCTATCAAGGATACCTTCTATTTTCTAAGACCCGTAGGCGGCTGACTTTTAGAAGTACGGAGAATGTAAAAACAACCCTCGGTTCTCTCTCAAACGTGTCATGAATGCAAATCAATTGACCATCGAATACCTAGTGAGGCAGTTTTTCGGGAACTAAGATCATGTTAGTCAACGATACCTGTGCAATAGGATCGAGTAGGCTAGAAATGAATGTACCTTGGTAGGTACCTGCCTTACCCACTTAGAGCTATCCCGTACGGAATACGGAATACCTCCGTACGAATACGGATACGCTTTTCGAGAACCCGCAGGAAATCGTTAACACAGTGTACTGTGCCTGCTTTGACTGTGCACGTGCAACGTTCTGCCCTGGTGCTGATCGTCGCGGATCCAACATCTCAACCTCTCACTGTTATTCGGAAACTGGCATCAATAATTCAGCAACGCGACCCCGTCTTCTTCCTCGCCATCCCAGCTTCCATATACTGGCCCTCCTACTTCCAGTTTCTCCTTATTCCTCCCGGATCATCGTACATAATCGAGCATTGAAATGGATTTCGACACGCGCCGGCGAACTGATGTCGAGGTCAAAGCGGAAGACGATTCCGGTGACACAAGGATGGCCGACGACAAGCCCACGTATCGCTCGTGGAAGAAAAAATATCGCAAAATGCGCATCGTCTTTGATCAAAAGATGCATGATGGCGAAGAACTCCACAAACTAGAGCAAAGAGCGCTGGCTACCGCGCGCAGGCTTGCTGTCCAAAAAGAGTAAGTTGGCTCTCTTCCTCGTCTGCAATACATCACTACCGCACTACCAGCTATCATTGCTAACTCTTCATGCTTCAGCCGTCTACTTGACCTTCTTCTAGATGTGAATAATTCAGCACAAATACCCCCTTCGAAGCGTTTCGATCTCCATATCGATGCACCATCAGATAGCGATGCTCTCTTCCTCGAGATTGACAGGCCATCGACGCCTCCTTCAACACCACAACCCTCCAGATCCTACTGGCGTCTTCTACAAGACGTCCCTCACTCAACTTTTGCTTCGGCGGCGGAGCGTTTCCCCGAATTGATGGCTGACCTTGAAGCCGGCCGTGATTCTCCAGCCGACTCCTCGCAGGGGCAGCCTCACCCCCCTTCTTTCCTGACAGCCGACGATATCGATAACTATATATGGGAGATTGATACGCGCTTGGCCAGCAATGAATACAAAATCACTGGCGTCATGCCGCCCCCCCTACCAACTCTTGCGCCGCTGGCTCAGAGCAATGACACGGTTCCCAACAGTGCCATAAATGGTGCTAAAGACGTTGGCTTAGTGCCTGTGTCAACGAACCGTGACTTTGCGCTCCGAAATCCAACGTCCGTGTACAACTGGCTTCGTAAGCACGCGCCTAAAACTTTCTTACAAGATGCCGAGACACACGCAGCTGCCGACAAGGAGAATGGAGACGAACACCCGTCATCGGCGCGTGGGAATGGGCGGGTGAAGGGCGAGCGTGGTACCGGTAGCGGCCGTGGAACCGGGGGGCCGCGCAACAAGAGAGCGAGCATTGCTCATAGCCGTGAGAAGGGCGGATTGACGTTGGAGACCGTCGAGTTTCCGGATGACGATGCCGTATACGACGCCGTGACGCCCACTACGGCTGGTAGCAAGGGTAAACGGAAACGCGTCATCGACGATGACCCGGGCTATCGACCAAAAGGGGGCTCTAGTAGACCCACGAAGAAGAAGCGAAAGAGTGAGGGCGGTGGGCCTGAAAGTACACCAACGACAGGACCGAAAAGGTCTCGAAAAAGCGCCGCTGCCGCCGAGGACTAATTTGCCGCCTGTTTTACCAGGCTGGCTGTAGCTTTGGCTTTTCAGATGGGCTCTGACAAGTAGACTTGTATTGCGTTGGATCTATTAAGATTACGATAAAACAGCCGAGAAACGCTCCACTACACTACGGGGATTCTATCACTCAGATAAGCCTCTGCAACACCTTTTGTTGCTATTAAATGAACATGTATGTACTATGGGCTAGTTCTGGTCCTCTGAGAAATTCCAGAGCGGGAAAAAAAAGAATGCATTGTCAATCGCGGGTAGCCACGTTTGACACTCGACTAGATTGGGTTTGGAACATGGGATATTTTAGGGGGTTGATTACTCTCATAGATGAAGACGCAATTAGCAAGCAGCAGGACGGCTAGTTTTTCTTTCTTTTTCCAACTCCTTCAACTCAGCTGCGGTAGATAATTGGGTTGTATATGTCACAGGTATCTATTTCCAATATGTTCTCGGCGATACCCAGCAGCAGTCTATTTACAAAGGGCTGTACTGGTTCTTGACCAACGATTTTTGAGAATTTGAATAAAAAAAGGCCGGTTAATGATAATAAATGCAGCCTGACTTTGCTGACCAAAACAATGCACAAAGAAAGGCAAGAGATGGTTGTATGCTGCCACAATGTAATGCGAATCAAGAAACCCAGTCCGTTCTATTCCGCGGCACTGGGGCGAGGTCCTCATCCTGGCTATACGTAGGACTTCCATACCGACAGTGCTTGCCATGACCTAGCTTCAAGCTATCCACAACGTTCAGAGAAGCACTTTTGATTCAACGTCAATCGCCTACAGCTTTTCCTTGAGGGTCTGCTTCATCCGTCTCTCAACTGCATTGAGATACTCAGTTGTGGTGACATAATCCTCGCGAGAGGTCTTGCCGCAAGCCAGCGCCAGGTCCTTGGTCATGATGCCGTCAATTTCGACGGCGTCGATGCACGCCTTTTCAAGGCTCTCGGCGAAGGCAACTACGTCAGGTGTCTCGTCCAGCTTACCACGCTGGATCAAGCCGCGGGTCCATGCAAAAATGGAAGCAATGGGGTTTGTTGACGTCTCGCGGCCTTTCTGGTGCTCCCGGTAGTGACGAGTGACGGTGCCGTGGGCAGCCTCGGATTCGAACGTCTTGCCGTCGGGAGTGATGAGAACCGACGTCATCAGTCCTAGTGACCCAAAGCCTTGGGCGACAATGTCGGACTGTACATCGCCATCATAGTCTAGCCAGGGGCCTTTTAGTTAGATTTACTAAACAAGAGGGGTAAAAGATAGAGGCTAGAGTTTCCTTCCCTAAAGGAAAAAAGAAAAAGGTGAGGGAAAACTGCAAAGGGGGGCAGCATATGAGAGCGAGTGGGTCAAGGCTGAAAATGGAGAAAAGAACGAAGAGAGAGAGAGAGAGAGAGAGAGAGAGAGAGAGAGAGATGCACTGACTCTTTAGGGCCATAATGTAGCCGCCGGAGCTCTTGATCATCTGGGCAACCATATCGTCGATGAGGCGGTGTTCATACCAGATCTTCTTGGCCTCAAACTGGGCCTTGTATTCGGCGTCAAATATCTCCTGGAAGATGTCCTTGAAGCGGCCGTCGTATTTCTTTAGAATGGTGTTCTTGGTGCTCATATAAAGGGGCAGTTCTTTGTCCAGGGCCAGCTTAAAACTCGCGTGGGCGAATCCGGTGATGCTATCATCGGTGTTATACTGCGTCTGGGCAACGCCACCGCCATTCTTGAACTGGAACACTTTGATTTCCTGGGGCTTGCCACCCTCTGGGGTGTAGACCATGCTCAGCTTGCCTGGCCCCAGGATCACCAAGTCCTTGGCGCGGTACTGGTCGCCAAAGGCATGGCGGCCGATGATGATGGGCTTCTTCCACCCAGGAACCAGACGGGGGATCCGCGGGATGACAATAGGCTCGCGGAATACAGTGCCGCCCAGAGCGTTACGGATAGTTCCATTAGGCGAGAGCCACACTAGCACGTGGAGAAGGCTGGTTAGCATTTCGTTTACTATTTTTCTAGAGGTGCAGTGGAGGGAAACTAGTGGTTAAGCAAATGTCCAAAAGTCTAATTGCGACCGGGCCGGGAAAAGGCGGTACGAGTAAGGAGCCAAGGATTAACATAGAAGCAAGCTATTGGGCGGCCGGTTTTGACTTACTTTGCTTCAGGTTGAACTCCTTAACGCGTGCCTCGTCAGGGGTGATGGTAGCGCACTTGACACCAACAGAATACTTTTTGATGGCCTCAGCAGCATCGATCGTGACCTGGTCGTTGGTCTCGTCACGGTACTCGAGACCCAAGTCGTAGTACTTGAGGTCAACATCCAGGTAGGGGAAGATGAACTTTTCCTTGATGTCCTTCCAGATGACGCGGGTCATCTCGTCGCCATCGAGCTCGACGACGGGGTTCTTGACCTTGATCTTGGCGGGGACGGCGGAAGCCATGGTACGTCGGCGGTTCTGGAATAAGAGGGCTGGGGAAAGTCGAGACACGGAGACAGCAGGGGAAGTACAAGACCGGGTGGTTTGGCGGAGGGAGGCACGGATGGTGGCTGCGTTGACGGGCGTCATGGTGGGAAGGGGGAAATGGAAGTAATAGGAAGGGCAGTGAGGGAGGGAGAGGTAGATGAACCTAGGCTGGGCTGGGCAGCCGCACCGGACCGGGCCGCCGTGACAAGAATCGGGGCTACAAGATGAAGCCGGCGACGAGAGCCGAGGATGTAGTCTCGATGGTGTTGATTGGTGCTTTTGAGCTGTAGATAGCGCCGGCAAGTCAGGGAGCTCGATCGGGCAGGCGGACGCTCTCTCGGGGTCCGATTGCGGCTCTACACTCACTCATGCAGCGTTCAAATGCAAGATACCGGAAACCGTTTCGTTTGGGGCCGCTAGGGATACAACACAGGGCGAACCGGTAGATCGGTGGTGGGCTTGACTGGGGCGAGCTGGGGAAGGGTGGCGATGCTCAGTGGTCTGTCTAACAGCGTCGTGACGTGACACAACCTGAAGAGAGAGGGGGGGGAAGCAGCCGGTAGTGCGAATCCGACGTGAGATTTGGCTTGTTAGGTTCTGTAGTAAGTATATAAGGATTCCTCCACAGCCGATGTATGATGAAGCAACCTCATACAAGTAATTCTCCCGCGTCTTGCTCTCTCGTTGAATGAATCTCCGATGATGGTAAAACTCTTCGAAGATCGGGTCAAAAAGTGGGGTACGACCGGGTAAGAAGAGGGGCGGGAGGAGGGGGGAGGGGGGAGGGGGGAGGGGGGGGTTGGTTTGGACAAACCCCTCCTTATCCCATTTCACAGGGTTGTTCTCATACCAGAAAAGGCTTAGAATGTTGCACAGTTAGCCAAAATCGCCTAAGGTATGTAGGTAACTCGGGTGTTGGTTTTGCCGCAGCAGATACAATTGCCCGGTCCGGACGGGCGAGAGGACAAGGTAAATAGTAGCAGAGTACCTAAGGTAGGTACTGAGGTAGTATCCCAACGGACGTACTCCATAGACAGTCAAGAACTACGATACGGTGACCAAGGTAAGGCAGGTGCCTATCTTTTCCTCGGTGGCGGTGGAAGTGAACGAGTTTCTCAAACCTATTGGATGGGATCACGGCCTTGACTCGCTCAGACATTAGCAGTATACAGGTATTTCACTTTCGCTTCGCACGATACTCCTTCCAAAATCCTACGTAAGTAGGTAGTATTCATTGAATCCTGTGGCCATCCATCCAACTCCTTATCACCGAACCAGTTGGCCTCCTTCACTCAACACTTCAACCTAGAGGGCGAACATCTGATGCCCATATTCCTCAGTATTCGACACATCCGACAAAAAAGCAAGCCAGAAAGCTTCTAGGGCGAAAGCAGAGTAAGACAAACAGGGAACGAGAAATACATCTCCTGCTTTTGCTGCCTTAGCAAGGAGACACTCGGTGTTTCTGTCGGTCGGGCTCGCAGTTACTCCCACATGTTGGGCACTCGAAGCCGTGAGTTGCGTATTGCACTCGTGTGGTTAGACACCGATTACAACGCCACCACCCGCTAAACATGGCGAGGGGAGACCGAGTCTTCCACCATTCAGCATCACCCTTGCTACCACGGCGAGGAAGATCTTCCTTGTGGAATTCTCGGAGGTGGTCACGGAAGTGATCTTGACGGAAAAAGGGGATTTCACGGCGGTGACACTTCCGGTAGTCGCAAGAGAATTTCTTCTTGTGCACCTCCTCTAGGTGCACGTTTTTGTAATGACGGTCCAAGTCTGCTGACCGGCCAAACCCTTTTTGCTTGCACCCGGAAACAAGACACGTAAATCTCTCTTTCTCTGGTATGGGGGACCTGGTGGTTGGTTAGTTACATGCATCTTCTTGCCAGATGTGCTTATTGACTTACTCTAGAAACGGCGAGGCAGGCACCTCTTGGCCCAGAGCCCCAGAATCTTCATTTGCCAGCTGTTTCCGAAGCTCGGCAAGAACTGCTACAATTGCAAGGTAGGATATACTAGATGCTTCCTGTCCTTGTAGCCTGAGTTGAAGCTGGTAGGCCGCCTCCTCGAGTGCCTCGCTCACCCTCAGGTCTTCAGGAAATGTCCCCTCTTCCTTGAAGAGCTGATAGAGATGGTGGTAGAGGACGTTTTGCACTGCTTTCCGGTCTGCAGTGCACCGGTCTCGCTTTCGAAGTAGTAGTCGCTGGGCCAGGTTTCCGACGGCATCCGAGCTAATAATTGAAGGCTGTTCCCCACCCAAGTCGAGCCGTGACTGGGCTCGCTGCATAGCTAGGCTGGCGGCGTTTTCGATATCGCCAACGGCGGTGGTAAACCTTTCCGAGGACCGAGCTGTGACAAGTGGAACATCTTCGAGGACTTGCATGTCGACATGTGCATATTGGGCTCCGGTGGATGAAACAAAGTAGTCTGTGTTCTGAGCGTCATCGTGCATCGTCGAATAATAGGACGACGACTTGTCGTATTTGGTGGCATTCTCAAACGTAGGGGAGCTCAGAGGGTAATCCATTAGGTAGCCTCCCGACGAACATGTGCTAGCCGACATGCTGCTGTCAACTGTGTAGCTTGTGGCCTCGGACAAGGTTTTTTGCATGGGGAAAGGGCCGGGCGGGGAATCGTCTGGGTTCGAGGCTGCCCGGTAGAAATCATAGTGACTATGGTTATCCATGGAAACTGGTCCCGCTCCGTGACTTGATGTCCGTAATGCCCGAGTGTTTTACCGTACTGTGATCCGCTAGTCTTGAAGAGCGTAGTTGGAAGGCGATCTTGTAATCCGATATTATCAGCAATCGACCCCTCTTGGACAGTTTTCCGGACACCGCGGGGGGGGCAAAGATAGAACCCGGATGAACTCACAGGTCTGACTATGGCCAAGGGTGAAAAAAATAATGATGACAGAGAGCACTGGGGAAGAGGAAACGATACGGCGCTTAAGTGAGAGAAGCAATCAGTGAAGATGGTTGACGCATACCTCCCCGGACAACGAGGATGGTGAACGGAAAATATACCCAGCTCAAAATACGGCTGCCACGGGCTTGGAAGAAGTGAAGCGAAGCAACTTGCACACCGTAGGTGTGAGGCTGGCAATTGGCCAGGATGGGGTGTGTAGAGAGGGACATCTGCAAAGGCATCTGCACATCGAGCTTCTAGAATGGGTTTTCGAGCCCCCTCAAGAGGGGGTCCTTGCTGCACAGTGATGGGGAGGAACAGCCAAACAAGCCCTGCCATCGGGGTCATGCACGGAACAGAAGAGAAGATCGAGCGACTCTGAGGAGGCTCAGTTCGGTCCGCTGCTTGGGTGGGCTCGGCGAGACACCTTCGCTACGGCCACACCAATCAATCACAGCTCGAAACCGAAGCTATGGAGGGGACAGTGAGAAAAATACACCTCGCTTGAGGAAGTGCACAAAAGCTGTACTCTAAGTCATACTTGTATTCCTGCGCAGATGTCGGCTTCGGTGAGGAAGTCGCAAAAGGTGTCGTGAAGAGTAAAAAAGGAAGAAAAAAAAAAGGGAAGGGGGGTAGTACAAGCAAGAGGGCTCAGTCGTGAAAGGCGAAGAAGATAGCCTCAACCTGTTGAAACTAACCCATGGGAAGGGTGAGGGGGGATAAGTTGGCCCGCCCGCTCCTTCTCGCCAGTCCTTTGCCAGTCGCCTCATCAGGGCTGACGACAAAATGCAGGGCGAGAAGCAGGGTATATGACTACTGAGTCGAATCTAGTGGATCAGCTGCGACTTGGAAGAATAAGAGAGAATCCTCAGAGCCTCGCAGACACAACAAGCAAGGGTGGGGGGGAGGAGGGGGGGCCTATACAATCATGTCGGGGCCACGAAACACCCCACCCCACACAAGGCGCAGGCACAGCATCTTTATAAGGGAGACTGAGGTGGGAAGCGAGGAACCATGGTGGGCAGCTTGCAGAGCACCGAGACGAGAGGTTGACTGTTAATCCAGGTCCGCCTGTAAAGAAAACGTCCTTGTTCCAATAGCATGGCGTCACTTGAGATACTCCTCTTATCTTCGACCAATCTTACCGGTACCTGGGCCATCTCAAATCAGTGAGGCTAGCCTCGGGCAGAGTGAGAAGAAGCAAAAAGGCGGATCAAAGTGCGAAAATATAATGGAATAGAAGAGCCTGTTTGGTCCAGACAGTGCAGTTGTCGTCGTTCTCAGTGCGGCTGAGCAATAAATGCAAGCTTAGGAACTTAGTCTCCCTCCGCCACCAATCCCACAACAAGAACTGTTCCCCATCACAAAGCCCCGCAACTTCCCCCACCCTTCTTCCGAGCTCCCGCCCTTTGACAAAGTTCGGTGTACAGAACAAGGAAGCGGCCGAGAACGACAGCCTCGTCAGGTTTGCCGCTGTCGGTGAGAAATACCTAATGCCATTCTGCTTCGTCTACAGAGTCCCACATTTCGGCACTCTAGTGTTGCAGCGTGCTAAATCTACCGACGTGCCTCCCCCATTTTTTCCTAAAAGAAAATTAATAAAATTTACTCAAAAGAACAAAACAAAAAAATTAAAGGAAGAATAAGAAACCTGCTTCATAAGTTTGGTGCCGCTGCCGCCTTGTGCCCGGAACAATGTGAGATGTACTTACCAACTACTCCGTATTCCGTTGTGTCATTGTGCCTGATAACTAAAAGCAGGGCTGCCTCAAGGTGTGCCATTTCCAATATGACGAAGACTACGCACCCCTACATTCCCTGTTCGGCACCGACACCATTCATTTTAGGGGCCATGCCCCACGTTGATTTGCAGATACCAGTTTGTCGTCGAGGCAGAACGCTAGGCTCTCTGAGCAAATACCCAAGATAGAACTGCCGGACCCAAGCCAGGTAGTCAGAAAGCCACCGTCGTTACGGATAACGAACCCGAAAGTAGAGCAAGGCTCGAGGCTGTTTTGTAGCTAAAACATCCGTCCCGCTCCGACCAGGGTGCCGGTTCCGGCATCTAGAGACCAAGCAGGCATTGTATGACGAGGGAAGGGATGTTTATGCCCTGCGCTCATGTGAACGAAACAGGACCGCCAAAAATCCTAAGTTGCAGAAGGATAGAGTTTATTAAGATGTGACAACTACATAATAAACCAAGGCCGTCGATACTTGTGACAAACAGGCCCAGAGTCTCGTCCTGATGCCGCCATACGATTTACCTCGTGGCGTCTACAACGACTGTCTGGTCTATACTTTTTGCCTGTGAGAAGTCATATTGTTCGCCGTTGGTGGGAGGTTTTGCTCATATATAAAATTGTATAGCGGCCTGGGTCTTGGACTGACTCTTGGAAAATGGACATTGCAGGCGGCTGCGCGGGCATGAGCGCGGGACGGGCACCACTTACAAATTGCGTTACCACAAAGGTTTGCGAGTTTGCCTGATAGGGTGGCGAGGCGCCCATACCGGGTGAGTTGCTTTACCATTTCATCAAGATATAGGATAAAAAAGCACCAGCCACGTCCATGAGAATAAGCCTATCCTCTCCTCTCACCTCCAGCCTCGTGCACTATCTTGACAAATATCCGCAAACTTATACACACAGCCCACAGGCCAACCATCCGCGCGCAGATCCTAGTCGAGCCGAGATTATACGTCGTCCTCAAGGAACTTGTAGGCGAACTTGAAATCTGCCTTGCGACGATTCATCCTGGAAAAAAGGTAAGCAACGTGTTTGTCATTTGAGTGGGCAAGAAGATTTGACACACCATGTGCTCTCATAGTCAAAAAACCGATATGTTCCCTGCTCAAATTCTTCCGTGATAGATTTCGGCTCTTCGTGGCGTTGAAACCATGTCTGGTATTGCTTGTGGAACCTCCAACTCTGGTCTTTCAACGCCTTGGCGGCCAGATATTGCTGGTATGTACCCTGCTTATAATAGAATACATAGAACAGTGTGTCTGGGTCAATACGCGAATACAGTCTAGGGTCGTCGAATATCGACAACGGCTCCTGTGGGAACTGCGTGTGCGTGTGGTATTTTACTTCGGGCTGGTAGCTCCGTGGTGCTTCTGCATCAACCGCCTCAGGCTTGCTCGCCTCTGATGAAGCCTGCATCCTCTGTGTTGTTGGCGAGCCCGGGGGTGCGGGACGCTTTTTGGTTATTTCAAATGACTCTACCAGGTCTTGCAAGGATGCGGGAAGGTGGTAAATGGACTCTTCTTCCTCTTCTTCCTCTTCGATGGGCCTAATCCCATTGGTCGTGCCGTTTGTTTGCCCCACTAATAGAATGTTAGCACGATAACGACACCCTTGGTGACTATCTTCTCTCCTGACCTTTCAAAGAGGATCCTATAGGCTCCGATGCGGCCGTCTGAGCTGGCGCTTTGCCCCGCGAGGACGTGGCTCTTGTTGCCTCTGGCTTGGCTGGTAACCCCGGCGCCGGGGCAACCGTTGGCGGCATACTTGTCGGCGCGGGGACGGCGTGTGTCGGCTTGTCCTGTTGTACCGGCTGTATCGATGTTGAACTGGGAGAGTTTGCCGTGCTCGTCTTTGGTTGTGAGGCTGGTAATGGCGAGATGATAGCGCTTGGTGTTGCTGATGGCGGCGGCGGTAGAGGTGCAATTCCTACATTGTTCTTATCGCTTGCCGCAGCGGCTGCGGCCGCGCTGGCGTATTTTAGGCCCTCGCCAGCAGGTCTAGTCGGGACAGACGCTGGTTTCATGGCAACAGCACTCGACGACCCGTTGCCAATGGTCGGCAGTGGGTTGCTATGGACTGTTGCAAGGGTTGGAAGGGGTGATTTGAGCTGCGTTGAGGGGCGCCGTCCAGACGACGCCGCCGCTGCATCGACCGTCGCACGTTGTTTGGCAGCCGGCACACTTGGAGCCCTTGTCTCCGGCTCACCAATGTCATCTTGTACCGACTGAGTATCCTGCGATGAACCTTTGTCGCCCTCCTGGTTCATGCCGTACACGTCCTCCTCCTCTTCTAGATTCAGGTCATCGTACATGCCGTCGTCCTCCATGAAGTCATCATTCATGCCGTCTGACACATAGTACTTGATGCTCTCCTCTAGATCAGTCACTTGTTCGGTTTCGACACCCCCGTTCTCCAGAGACCGTCGTATCAGCTCTAGTTTCCCTTGGTGCCACTTATGCCGTTCGATGATGCGCTCGATCTCGGCCATGCGGTCTGCCTTGGCGCTGTGGCCTTTCCCTTTCTTCATTGTCGCCTGTATTGCTTCGCCTTCGGCCTCAAGTGCCTCGATCTGTTGTTCGAGTTCATCAACCGTATTGCTCAGAAATTCGCACGCCTCCATCTTGGCCTGTTCCTTGGGGTCCAGCTTCGCGGCTGCCGACAGACCCTCCTTCGAGTACGCCTTTGTTTTCATCGCCTTCTCGACCGCCTTGAACTTCTCCATTTGCTAAAACACGAATGATAAGCGCAAAATGTCCAGATCGGCGGCAGAGGCCGCCTGCTGAAATGTCATGGGAAGCAGGATTACAAACCGTCTCTATCAGCCTCCTGTGGTCCAATAAAGGAGCCTTGTCCTTGATGTCGTTGCTCGCCGCCCATGTCTTGATCTGATCTCGTAGTCTCTGCAGCTTCTTTATTTCGCGCTTGAGCTGGTCCTCGAGTTTTTCTTTCTGGGCTGGGTTGTTGGATTGCTCGATCTTCTCGTATATGCCCTCGAACTCTGCGACACCTTCGGCCACCTTCTTGAAGCACTTGTCCACTTCTTGTGCAAGTTTGCGCGCCGCCATCTTGTACGTGGTCTCCCGCCGCCTTTGGGAGAGAAATTAATTCCGGGAAGGTCGACCTGATATGCTTCCGGTGGCGCTGCGACACCAAGGGCTAGGGTGAAGCCCGTGAAAGTAGTGGGCTGTGTGGTCGAGCGCTGACGAAGCTCGCAACGTTAGCTCGAAACGCAGAAATGACAAAATTGTGGCACGTCGCAAGGCGCCGCACATAATTACCTGAGAGCGGTCGCCACAAGATTGAGGTGCAGGCGCTGTTTTGAGTCTTTGGCGGTTACGGTAGCGGATGGCAGAAGCACGGCTGTCGTTGAAAGAGCCAGGCTGTTTGCTGAATCGGAATGCCAAGCCAAATCAAAGAAAGCCCAGCTCGCGGCTGCGGCTCGCCGCGTGTGGCTTCCTGCCGTCTAGGTACGGTATACATGTATGGACAGTACGTAAGGCAGTAAGACGCGTTGTTCCTAGCACCTCCTGTACCTTAAATGGGGCGAGACAACCCCTCCCAATCGACTCTTCTATTTCCCTAGCCCGCACTGTAGCCCTGTCATTCTTCAGGCCACAACACCCAAGAGCGACACGAATGAACTCTTGCAGTCCACGATAAAATACTCAGAAATCGGTATTACTACATTCTCCTCTTTACGTGGTATCTACGGAGTACATGTTATACCAACATGGGGAGGACTTACTGAGGAGAAATTTCCACGGCGGCTTCAGTCTTTGGCTGCAGGGGTTATCGTGCACGTCTCTTTTTATCTTAGCTTTGAGGATTGTCTGTGTCGTAGCGGTAGCCCCGACCGCGGCACGGGAATTCCAGCTGAGAGACGCAGCCTGGGTGGGGATGGTGTAAATAGTACAGGCAGGTAGGTAAGGTAATTACTAGTAGCGTAGGTAATTACCTAGTGAGTTACGGAATTATTCCTACTTCGTGTAATCCGACCTCTCTTCAAACTTCCCATCATAACGAAAGCGCTCATTCTCAACTCTGAAGAGTAATCTACGGGCATCGTACCCCCTCCCCCAAAATGAAGGGTGCGTATTTGCGTGGGCCTTTGAAGTCTGCAAGGTCATTGCTTTTCCGTGTTCTCACTTTTAGTTGCAGCTATCCTCCAGCGAGTGCTCTCAGCCTCAGTCACGGTAGAGAAAGAGCTAGTGTCATCCATCGGCAAAGGCATCTTAGTCTTTGCAGCTGTGGCTCCTGGAGATACCCAGAAAGACGCTGAATTTATGGCAGCTAAGGTCTTGAAGATGAGGTTATGGGATGATGACGAAAGAGGCCGGGTATGATAGCTTTTTTTTATCCCTCAACATGCCACCTTGCTGCTCGCTCCCCTAACCAGCCTGGGTCAGTGGAAAAGAAGTGTCCAAGACATTAATGGCGAGGTCCTTTGCGGTAAGAATGTGGTACTAGTTTGCTACCGCGCTAGCGGATCTGATGGCGGTCCACAGTGTCCCAGTTCACACTTCTCGCTTCGACAAAGAAAGGAACCAAGCCCGACTTCCACGGGGCCTTAGGACCAGAAGAGGCCAGAGACTTGTACCAGTATTTCTTCAGCAAGGTGCAGGAAGGCTACGATGCAAAGAAGGTGAAGGACGGCGTCTTCCAAGCCATGATGGAGGTTGCTTTAGTCAACGACGGACCGGTTAGAACCCCCACATCAGTCATCTAGAACCCAGCTTGCTAACGGGAATACGGAGTAAGGTCACCTTGGAAATATCGACAAATCAAGGTCAAGCCAGCAAGAAGGGAGGACAACCTCAGCCAAATATCAAATCTAAGGACTCTCCGTAGCGTGGTCAAATTATAAGCTCAGCTTCCACCCTCAGGTATTAGGCGTCAAATGCTTACCTACTCACCGCTAGATGGGCAAATTCCGATGTTTGTTGGCCCCAAAGGCCTTTTGGAGAGGTCCAGTTCCGATGTGCTGAACAAAATGCTGCAAATGATGATTGGTGCTGGAAACTTTACCTGCTGTTGTTTTGCCCATTAATTTCATGTACCCAGTATCTGCCGACGGTGCCCCATTCAAACATTAGCGTCAATGGGCTGCCCCACCTTCCCGTCGAAGATTCAAGAAACCTCCCCACCTCGCACTGGGCGTATGTTGGGACTTAAATGGGTTGCCCCACCTTCCCGTCGAAGATTCAAGAAACCTCCCCACCTCGCACTGGGCGTATAAACAGCCTTGTTGGACCGTCAAGCCGCGGTTCTTCAGACTCGGGTATAATCCTACACTTTCAATCAATCGCCCTCGTCTTGTCAAGCGTGCCATTCAACTTTCCTCCCCGTTTCATACTTGAGCGGCAGCTCTACCAGTTCTATTTCAGACTTCTGAGACCAAAAGCTTGCCTGGACAAGGAGCCAAGTCCCCCTCCTTCTCCCCACCTTCCTCCTGGGACGTTAGCTGTCCTCCAACGTCTTAATTCAGCTTCCTGATTCTCTTTCCACGTGCCTCGATCCAGCGTCCTCTTAATTCGAGAAGTAGTCAACATGTCTTCTTCCGAGGAAATTAAGCAGGCTCAGGCTCGCAGCCGAGTCTTCTTCGACGTCACCATTGGCGGCAAGCCAGCTGGTCGCATCACCTTCGAGCTGTTCAACGATGTCGTGCCGAAGACCGCGGAGAACTTCCGTGCTTTGTGCACCGGTGAGAAGGGGGTGGGCAAGACGGGCAAGCCACTTCATTACAAGGGTTCCATATTCCACCGGGTCATCAAGCAGTTCATGATCCAAGGCGGCGACTTCACTGCCGGCAACGGCACTGGCGGCGAGTCAATCTACGGCACCAAATTTGAAGACGAGAACTTCGAAATGAAGCACGACCGTCCCTTTTTGCTGTCCATGGCCAACGCTGGTCCCGGTAAGTGACAGTACTTCGCCCGCAATTATTGCAATACTCGCGCATTCTCCAAAGGAATTTGAATCTCGTTTTATGGCAAATAAATGACTTCTAACACACTCCTTGGCACACTGTAGGTACCAACGGCTCTCAGTTCTTCGTCACGACTGTCGAGACGCCACATTTAAATGACAAGCACGTTGTGTTTGGTCAAGTGCTCAGCGGCAAGTCTGTCGTGCGCCAAATCGAGAATCTGACGACTCAAAACGACAAGCCAACACGGGATGTAATTATTGCAGACTGTGGCGAGCTTCCGGACTCCGACGCCATTGCAGCCGAGTCCAGGGTTCCCGATGCATTTGGCGATAACTACGAGGACTTCCCTGAAGACCAGAATACTGACGGCAAGCCCCCAGTGGCAGACAAAATTCTCGAAATTGCCAGTGGCTGCAAGGAATTTGGCAACAAGGCGTTCAAGAGCGGTGATTTTAGCGTGGCACTTGACAAATACCAAAAGGGACTACGATATCTCAACGAGGACCCAGAACTCGACAATGAACCGTCGGGCACCAAGGAGAAACTGGATGCTCTGCGCGTCACTCTCAATAGCAATGCAGCGCTTATGAATCTTAAGTTGGGGGCATGGGATGAGTGCGTGCGCGCTGCCGACAATGCACTTGCCGTCCCGGGCATTTCGGACAAGGACAAGGCAAAGGCGCTGTACCGGAGGGGTTATGCACAAGTGCGCATGAAGGATGAGGATGCCGCTCTTAAGAGTCTCGAGGAGGCGAAAAAGCTATCACCAGAAGATGCCGCCATTACCAACGAGCTAGCCATTGTCAAAAAGGCGGCAAGTGCGAGAATCGCCAAGGAGAAGGCCGCCTACAAGAAATTCTTCACTTGACCTGTGGCAGGCTGAAAACTACTTTGATGTGCCTTGTCTCTCAGGTGCTCATCAGGACCTAAAAAAGGTACTCGTTATGGGGTTTAGCTACCTAGTAGGGAGGCTCCTCGTAGTCAAAAAGCTTTTGAGTGGTTGGGGGATTTGGTGAAAAAGCTCGTGGTGAAAGGGGTTTCACTGAGGCTAAAGGCGAAATCTCGATGTTTCCCGTTCCTTCGGAAGAATAAAGCGCAAAGTAACCAATATACCAATGGCCAAAACAAGTCCTTCTTAGCCAGGCAGGCTGCACTAGATACCCACTGCATTATCACTGGCTCGTAACATATGTGTAAAAGGTTTGAACATAACCAGCAGGCCAGTTTTTGCCACAATTGATGAAGCCCGTACTATAACTTTCTTTGGCAGACAACTGCTTGGTATCTCTCCATCGGATGAATATCCTGGCGGCTACTACATAAAATCATATTATTGCTGAGGCTTTGGCTCCAGCAAGCCGAGCCCCCCATTGCGGTCCCTCGCCTTCTCCCAGCCCTTTTCTCTTTCCTGGTCCCGGCTATGGTCGCGGCCCTTACCTGTAGCCTGGAAAGACGCCGCCACAGGGTCCGGCGACGCCATCCGGGTCCTGCGAATGAATCCACTAAGAAATTTCCGCGCACGTAGGCTCCGAACTGTCCCACCCTGGCTCGATATGTCACTGGTCCTAGATACCTGACGCAAGGAGCTCGTTTCACGGCCAGACCGGGCCTCCTTGCCTCCGGTTCCGGACTCGTCCACCTCGCTGCCCGAAGACCCGGGTGGACGTGTTTCATTCTCCATCCAGGCAGCAGAGTTTCCGTACGGTGACGTGTTGAGCAGATTTGCAAAATGTAAACGGTCCATTGCATCGGCTACGCCGAGCGGATCATCTCCCGGTTGACTGGCATTATCAGCCGCGCGAAGGTTTTCAATGTGGGCAAAGCACTCCATCGCACGTCGGTGGAGCTGAGTGCATAAATTATGGAATTCGAGTATGTCGCCTTCGTAGACTCTAGAACTGTTCGCAGAGACGGGATGTGCATCCATCCATAATTTAACGAGGGCGGCAAAGTTCCGGGCGTGGTCGACGAGGTAAGGCAGCGAAGGGAATCCCTCACGGGCAACGGGCGACAGGCGGCCTAGTATAGTGATGGGCGTCGAGTAGGACGCAGGCAGCGTCAGCTTTGTGCGCTCGACTGGAATAGCACAGACCCCGTCGAGGAAATCCTTGATTGACTGCCGCTGCGCACTGAGGAATCGGTTCATGGCCTCCATCCACATCTCCTTCTTGCCAATCGTCGAAAGGTTAGCGAGGGCCTGCAGTCCCTTGGCAATGAGTGTTAAGGTGCGCTGGGCGCGCGGACGCGGATGGTCGCGTAACAAGCCAAATAGCTTGGGATTCAAGATGGCTGGGCATATGAAACGGAGGAAAAGGAAGCCTGAGACAGATGTATACGTGACGGTGCGCAGGAAGTCGCCGTAGCGGTCCTCAGCGACGGCCCGTATATACTTGAGGACATGTCTTAGCTCAGGAGGAAGCCGGTCAGAAGAAGTCGCGATGCATTCCCAAACCTCGGTGGTTAAGTTAATGAGCTGGGTCCAATGCTGCTGTATGTCATCGCCAGGCTGTAGCTTGCCGGGATCAACCTCACAGTTGGGATTTGCCTCGTTGATTTCCAGTATCTTATCGGCCAGTGTTTCCTGGAGATACTCTCTGCCTTGGCGTCGCAACTGGAACTCCAGGGCCTGGGTCAATAAGGAATTGCCCCGAAATAGCAGGTTCGCCTCCCCCTGGAGTGATTTGCCCATGTCGCGGACGATTTGCTCTCGATCACTGGTAGAATCAATCGAGTCATCAGACTTGAGTCGCTGGTTGAATCGCGGCTTCCTCATCGCCGCCTGGCTCCCGATGCCATCAATTTCATCTTCGACCATATTCATCAGCCACTCGGTTGCGTGGCCAGATACCTGAAAGATGTTGAGGAAGATCTCGGCGACCCTACGCAAGAGTCCGGGCAGCGCTTCGGTTATTTGGGCGGTCAGGCCGGAGCTGAATCGGTGGAGGAGTTCGGACAGTGGCTGATATTTCTTGGAGAGCAGCACAACAAGCTCCTCGTGATGAACTTTGACTAGCATGGAGCCGATCGACTGCTGTCGCTCGTCATATATTTGAAGCCACTGTTCGTGATCCTTGCCGCGATCCAGTTGGTGCAGGGGTATGTCAACAGACCCGCACAGAACTTCAGTGAGACCGCCGGTTTTCACCAGCCCTAGGGTTGCCTGTAGTTGATGACTGAAGGTTTCAAGATTGCCCTCAACCCTTTTTAGTAGCACCGAAAGGTAGGGCAGTGAGGCCGGTAGATCATGGAACTCGCAGTCCTCTCGCCAAAAGGGGTTCTTTGTGTCCATCTTGGTGGTTGTCCTAGCGCGCACCTCGCCATCCAGTATCACTTCAGCTAAATAGTTACCAATGAGCGGATTTTGCTCAACGCCTTTGCCATATCGATCCGGCAATGGCCCGTCCGACGTCATGCTTCGGCCGCGAATCTTGGCCTCGGTGATCCTGATGGATATTGTCTTCTCCACTCTAAACGTCTCTCCCGCGGGCTCCGCATTGATGTCTATCACCTCATAGACTTGGCCTCCGTTCGCAGGATCAAGACGATAGACGTCGGGGATTGTAAAGGCCCTGAGGAGAACGAACCATACTTCAAACAGCACTCTAGACTCGAGCGAAATATAGACGGGCCGGAATATCGACAGCTGGGTTGATGTTGACGAGTAGATTGGGAAAATTGCAATACAATAGTCCTCGTCCAACACGGATCTATCAAGCTGCTGGATGGCCGATCTAGCCAGTTGCGAAAGCTCAATGACGGATAGAACTGAGACGTCGTTGTCTGTCATTAGTTTGAACTCCCCGTTGTCTTGGAGAATACAAGACACTTTTCTCCACGACGTTTGCGACGACCGCAAGTCGCGGGTAGATGGCCGTTTGACAATTGCCTGGGGCGAAGTGGCGAAGCCTTTGTCCCACAACATGACCTTCCCTATCTTGATGATGGCGGCCTCCCTTAAGCCGGAGGAAGACGCGCGGTGTTTTATCCCGGACCGCGTTGTGGGTGTGGCTGCGCTAAATGACCTCGCCCCGGCAGCTTTTAGCCCAGAGGGCCTTAATTGCTGCCAGCAAAGCAAAGCCGCGAGCCACAAATCCAACTCTTCGGGAATTAGCGGCCGCAAGAGCAGGGCCAGGTTGAGGTGCGGGCTGGCTATTTCGAGACATTGGCCGTCTTTGTCCGGTAGTTCTACCGGAACCACCCGGCAAGCTCGTAGGTCTGATATGAGAGGAGTGTGAAAGGGGCCACTCTCACCCGAGTCGAACATCAAGCTCCCCTTTTCCTCCTCAATATAACACATTCCAGCTTGCCAAGAGCCCCTGGCTTCCCTTTGATACTCAACCTCGCCACGCATTCTCCCGCATAAATTCTTCATCAACAGCAACACTTTATTTGCGTCGCTAGTAGGGATAGGTAAGGGCAACGAGTCGACGGACGGAGGGGCGGATGACAACGGCGACGTTGGACGGGATGAAGGTCGTTTTGTCAAGCGACTCCTCGCTGTGGACGTCTTCCTATCCTTTGGGGCAGAGGGGGCTATCGGAATCCGGAGATCCGGCAATCGATACGGGTCAAAGGCCGGCTGAAGCATTGGAAGCCTCAGGTCCTCTGAAATTGGCAGAGAGCCGGAAGATGAGAAGGAGCCCATCCGGTGACGTGCCTCGGCAGCAGAGGCAAGTTGCTGGCGAAAAGCACCGTCCATAGTGTGGGTTCTAGGCCTGAATGACGGCGGGGGGCGTGGCGGAGGACTTGACGAGGCACTGTCGAGGGACCCGGCAAACGCCTCGTGGAACACCGCACCTTGACGCCGGCCACCCAAGGACCCCATTGTAACGCCTGCGCCTGGAATCAACCGCGGAGAGGTCTGCGGCGACGCAGAAGTTGCACCACGAGATATCTGCGCCACACCGCTCCCCATACTATCTGGAACAGCGTCGACCGACGGCTCAGGTGTAACGGCTCTCACAGTGCTCGTCACGTTGGGCATGAGTCGGAAGGCGTCTCGTAGGCTACTTGCTGGCAAGTTCTCCATGCCGCGCGGCGAGGGTATCTCGGCGACTGGCGGGAGAGCCGTGCTCTGTGCCGAGCGCTCGGGTAAGAAAGGCCCTCCAAGCTGGGGCTTCCTCCCGTCCATTTCGCCGGTGGTGGCCAATGGTTGACCAGGGGTCATCCAAAGCGGCGCAATCATGGAACCACAGAAGCTAAGGCTCGAAAAGAGCGACGGATGTAAGGCGGCTCGCGAGCAGAGCTAACAGGATACCAGTATTTTTTTCTTCTCGTCTTTCGCTTCCTTTCATTACCTGGCTCACCTCACTCAGTCTCCTCCGTTGCAGCTTCACAGCTGCAGATAACACGCCTCAAGCCGAACCTGAGCAGCGGGCTTGTCGATGATCCAGACTCCCAAAAACGCCGACCGCTGTTCCACCATAGCAAGAGGGGGTCGAGGAGCCGTCGGCGCGTAGGATTCAATTCCGTTGAGCGAGGCGCGAGCAACCAAAAAATATGTAGTCAACTAGAAAGAAGCTATTAGAGGACAGGCACGCCGTCGGCGAGCGGTCGTCTAGACGAGGCCCGAATTCTCGATTCGAAGTTCAAGGTCAGTTTGGGTCGGGGCTCGGTGGATGTCAGCGAACGTCCTCGCAGATTCGACAAGACAGAAAGGCATTGGATCTCTGCATCCTATAAGGCGGTGGGCGCGGCAGGATGCTCGCATTTGGCGACAATGCCTCTTGATGGGGATGTGGAAGAGAGAACGCCGTCCCAGTCGGGACAGGTCGCGGGGATGCCTGCTGAACAAGGCGGGCAGGGTAAAAAGTAGTTGGGTTAGGTACGGATACCTAAGGAAGGTAGTTGGTAGTAATTCCAAGTCAGTGGAGAAGTCTTTGGAGTGCCTACCTACCTACCTACCTTAGATAATCTGGGGGATTTGGCGGGGGTCGGGGCCCCGCGACTACCCTAATGCACTGTACCAAATGTACGTACTAATACCTTACTCACGTATTAAAGCCTGGTAACTCAGGCTCTAGTTTACCGTGTAACGAGAACTGTACGTGTATGTGTAGTAATGTTAGTTACCTTACCAACCTAGATATTCTTCAATGCAAACCTTTTAAGGCACGAACTTTACTTTACTTGCCCATTTAAGTTATGGAAGTACCTAAGATAAGTAAGGTATCCTAGGGTAAGGTGCCTATTAGCGGTAATAAGTAATGGAATGGGATACCCGCATCTTGTTCGCTTAGTGGGAATTTATTTGACCAGAACGGTGTCCTTTGTTTCTCTCGTGGCTTTCACTAGAGGGTCGCGGCCGGTTTTGGGATAAGCCATGGGTCAGGGGGAGGGAATGAGTGAAGGCGTGCCATGATCGGTGTGTAGCAATGATCTACAGGTACCTCATGGATTAGCATTTGGCAGTAGCATTCCACCTCCGCCGCATTTAACTTAAGATATCCAGCGAGCAACTAGAAGGTGGCTTGGCAGGCACACGGATCTACTCAGAATCAAGGAGCTACCTAGGTACCATGGAGAGGGGGGCAGGTAAAGAACTCTAACTTCCAATGATGGCCTATGAGAAACGGTGCTAGCTTCTCCGGACCTACGAGCAACGAACTTCCTGGTCGCGGCCATTTATGATCACTCAAAACCCCTCTCCCACCATAATGGTGCGGCCACCTCCGTACCAGAGGGTGCCGGTGCGAGCGTCAAGTCCCCGTTCTTGTCCAACAATCCATTCGCCAAGAAAGTCTTTGCCAGCTACGTCCCAGACCTCGTCTTCGAGCCACTTGTTAATCTCCTCGATAGCCTCAATCCATTGTATCCGCGATGCGAAGCTGTCATGGTCCCCTTGGCTGACATAACGAGCAAGAGTAATGTGCGCGCTTGGCACCACGTAACGTGACTCAATCTTCACACCTGTACTCTGCGCCAGCTCAAAGACATCGCGTCGGAGGTGATGGTATGTGTAGCAGCCATCCTTTTCTGCCACGTTATCACCAAGAACGTCCGAGTGGACCGTCTGCTTCGGCGAAAGCACCTCCTCGCCAGCCGCCGGCAAAAAGGATAGGGCAATGGCTGAGAGGTCGTACGAGATCAGAGGCTTCACTAGTCGAGATCGGTGCGTGAAGGTGAAGTTCGTTAACGCGGAGATGACGGGCCGCAAAGATGCCACCAAGCTCGAGATTTCTTCAATCTTCCGCGAGTGTGTGACCTCGAGAGTAGTCAAATGCATACGGTGCAGAGGCATCAACCACAAGCCTAGGGTAGTAAGCAAGTCAGCCAGCTGTTGTCCAGATTCGAAGAACTTCGCTAATCGCAGTACATACTTGGAGCAGCATTCTTCAAGAGCGCCTGGACATGGGAAGCCAGCGTCAGTACATGGTCTGGCGGCCTAGCCCAAAATACCAGGCAGTTGCGAGGGTCCTGGAAGCCAGGCTCCTCTGGGTCCTCGATCCGCAGCAAGACAGGGTCAAGATTCAACCCCTTGAACTCGGACGACAGGAACTTCTCGCGCTGCTGCAAGTTCCTGGCCGTTCGGTGCGCGGTATATCGCGATTGAATCTCAGCCTGGCAGCTACAGTTAGCCCGGTTCGAACTTTGCCTCTCGTTTCTCTTTTAGTTCTCCTATACCCAGGTCTCCTTCTCTTCTGCGTTTGCAGCTCTGAATTTCTCCAATTCCAGCCTCTCTTGTGCGTTTTTGAGATTCTTAGGTTTCGCGCCTGCCACGAGGCGCTGAACTCTCCCGACATCAAGCCCCTGCCTTCATGATTGTGTGCTTTTGCCCAATATCCCCACGGAATGAGAGCAAGACTTACGGGTCGGGCATGACAAGCATTGATGAGGGCATTATACGGGTTTTCGCCTTGCTTGCTCTCCACGCCGGAGAGATCAAGAAACTCGTTTCCGTTAACCACGGTTTGGAGCATATTGTCATCAAGCGGCGAACCTCGAGAAGTAAGCGAGATCCGCATAAACCAGCGAGGCCGGCCCTCGTCTAGGTGTTTATGACCGTCAAGACGGCAGCAGCGGTCGAGGCGAAAATAACACGCAGGCAAAAGGATGCTAGCTATATGTGCAAAGGCGGCTGCGCTCAAATTGTGCAGGCCAAAGAACTAGGTGGTTGTTTTGTATCGGTGCTAGCAAAAAACCCACCTAGAATACGTACCCAAGGTATCTAACCTTATGAGGCCGATATTATTTCCACAAGGCTACCTGACCTATATGTAACTTGGACTGGGCATCCGTACGCATACGACCTTACCTTCACGTACAGCGGTCAGTCCGGGTTAGGGTTGTTCAGAAATCATCAACTGCCGCCTGCTATTATGGACCAAAGGTCCTCAAAGTGAGGCGTTGGGTGTGTACTTGTACATGCCCAATAACAGTACGGATTGCACTAACTTGCCAATGGGCACGAGAGGAATTCATTAAAGAGACTGAAGTCGGAGCAGCCATCTTAAGTTTCAATCCTCTGTCCTGTGTGAGCTTACGACGCGAGTTAGTCCTGCGGCGTTTGTATAGCCCGGATCATGAGTTCTCGATGGGCGTATTCTGTCCGTATCTGGTTCCAGTCAATGTCGATCGATCTCAAGTCCGTCCACGGTTAACAACACCCGTGCGTGGCCAAGGCAAAACGGGGTACGACAGTTCGTTCTTTCTCGTCATAAGTATCATAGAATAACAATTAAGCTAGAAAGGGGGTTGCGTGTATGTACGAATTCAACAATTCAAGGGAGTCACAGCTTGGCCAACCTCGGTCCAACTGGCGGCAATCTCACCGCAATTCTGCCACCGCTTTCAGCCGGTGAGGCAGAGGCAAGAGCAACTTCCTGGCAATCCTCAATGCCTACGCCATTTGAAAACTGGACAACGACAAAATCGATGGCAGTGTCGGCAGGGCCAAGCGCGACCATGGGCGCATGCCACGTGCCAGGCCCATACGTAACGGCCTGGTTCGTTCTGGCAATGAATGCGCGTAGGCGACGGACATCTGGCAACCCGCGGCCGGGAAGACGGCGTGAGGCGGCAGCGTCTGCCGGCCCCGGGACAGGGACAGGCAATGCCTGGTCGGCAATGGCAGGGGGCAGGCTCGGCGCGACAATTACCAGATATCGCTTGCGGTCGTCGGTAGTGAGCGGGATGAAGGTCTGGGTGGTGAAGGGGTGGCGCTCGAGGACCGACACAGGGAAAAGTTGGGGTACGTGGACAGAAGCGAACTCGTCGAGACCAGGTTCAGAAGAGCGGATGTCAAGCCGCGCAGAGCAAACGAACATGTTCATGACGGCAACACCAGGGTTGCCGCTCGGAGCCTGGTGGTAGTGGTTGGCCATGCGCGACAGGTGCTGGTATTTTATGGCTGTGCCTTGATTGGCGACAATGCCGTCCAAAGGAAGCGACGAAGAGGCATGGTTGCGACTGGCGACAGAAGGGTGCAGGTCTGGTCGCGGGTTCTCGACGACGTCACCGAACGGCGAGAATGCTCGACTATCAAGAGGAACGGCGCTGATGATGAAATCCGGGCCGTCAGGCTTTAGGGTCAGGCTGGGTGCCATCCCACAGGCGGCTGAAATTAGTCGTTTATACGGATAGAGAGCACAATAATTACTAGAGCTGCGGAGATCGGAGTCGCGGGTCAAGCTCAGGGTTTGGTCCCATGGGTTTCGATTCTACGGAATACCGGCCCCCACACCAAGCGTCGATTACGGAATATCGGTCATCGGTATCCGTACAAATCCTTGGTATTGGATTGATTCGGGTCCATACCCAATACGTACAGTACATGCATACATACAGTACACGTGCTCCCATCACAGAGACGCGCGCTTCTCGTCACGGTATCAGCCACCGCTCATGAAACCTTAATGAGTAGGAACCCGACAACAAGATTGGGTTTTGCGTATTGGAACGTTGCGGAATCGACTGTAGCTCTAGTTTATTTGTTCCATACTCTGGTTTGCAGAATTTCGATTTGCATTTCTCCCGAGGCTCTGGAACGTCCACCTACTACTACATAACCCTCAGTCTACTTAGCGTGAAGAAGGCATTCCCACATTCAAATCGGCGAATGGTAGGTAAGGTACGCCGTCGGATTCCCGCAGTCCAAATATCTATCTAAAGGCATGCTCGCAACAGTTACCACCAAGGATAGGAGAATATCATCTATGATCAGCGTCATACAGCGCCTGCCGTCCCGTCACCCCGACGAACAAGAACACTTGTGTATGACCAATCCATCAACATCTCGTAGTATATTGACTTCATATACTATGGCCCCTCCGTAACACAGTGCTTGTCTATTTTTAGTCAGACGTACTGGGTGACTTTAATGGGTTCGTAACAGCTCCAGGTGGGTGTATTCGCCGCCCAGGGACAATCACGGGTGGTAAATTCTAGGTGTCATAATAACCCGGATCTATTATATTTGAGTAGGTATACCCCCGACCGGTGTCCCGCTGCCCAGTCCACGGAACACGTTAACCGCTGGTTCCTCCGTGCACGTCTTCTGTTCACGAGTTCAAACTTTGCAGGCCAAGTTGCTCTCCTAGTCGGGCTTTTGTTGTTCTACTACTGTGTTGCCCCGAAAGTCGGAAGGTTGCCCGTGTAAATATAGGTTGGCTAGGGCACCTAAATTTGCGTCTGTATTCTAAATATAAACGAGAGAGTGTAGATATCGCAGATATTAGCTACGCCTATGGACATCCATCCACCAGGCGGACAATCTCTTGTCTCGGACTTGGCGTTGACCCCATGGGAAGCCGGTGATCTAGTCTTCTTATCTTGGCCGCACTCCGAGTCCTAGAAACATGCACAAAGGTGATGCGGGAGTGGGTGATATTAGTCTAGAGTTGAATAGGCAGAATACGTCCCACGAGTGGTCCCCGCCCCCAAGGAATCGAGAAAGCAGAGGGAGGAAGGGAGAGAGAGAGAGAGAGAGAGAGATGACCGTACGGCCCTCGTCCTCCCGCCGAGCTCTCTCACTCTCTTCGCCTAGTTACACGCCCTTCTATCTGCTGTTCTGTTTGTTATACACGGCATAGTTATTTTATTTTATTTTATTTGCCCTCCTTTTTGTGTGTCTTTTTTATTTACTTTTTCTGCAATTAGCTACATGGCGCGCTAGATAAAGCTGACGGGAAAGGAGCAGCTTTCTTGGTGTAAGGCAGTTACCTAACTATCCCTTTGTAGCTCAGCTCCACCGGGAGGGACTGACCACCCCAAGGCATGCCGTAGGTATCTGGATGTCCAATGGAAACAAACAAACTACCCTCCCCCTTCCCTCGCGGCAGCGCTGCAGCCGCAAATGCTCCTCGGCTCTGCACTGATAGAGGTTGACTAATCGGGTTTTATTCCCCGTCACCATCTTTACTACGCTTCGACTGTTTACCCCTGCCGGACACTATCTCATCTCATATTCTCTGCCGCCCAAAGCTTTCCCCCCACCTAGACATCCGATGCTATATAGCCCAGGGGCTCCTGTGGACCTATGGGGGCATCGAAAGAAAAGACCTCTTCCCCTCCCGCTGTTTTTTCTTGGCCCTACAGCTAGCGTGTCGAGGGACATTCTGGTTGTTGGAACTGCTTTGCGTACAGGCTGAATGGTTGTAATATGGGAGAGCAGGGGCTTGTAATTTGGCTTTTCTTCCCTCGACCATGTTCTCTCCAGGTATCTGGCACGGCCGCCAACTGTTGCCGTCATTGCACCCTTTGTAAATATGCCATCCCGTCTTCGAGCTCGATACAGCCCTTCCCGTGCGTGGATAGATGGATACTGGGATATTGTGTTTTCCTTGCAGTCTTGGGCCCCCTTTTTCCCGGACACTGTGGTCAGTCAAGCTGCTAGGTAGAACACCTCGCTCCAAGGCCCGCTTGGGCGCTAGTACATAACCACTGCGGCAATTCCTCTTTTGTCCCATGAAAATCCAAAGCTTCGTCGACAACTCCTCGCCATTCACATCTCAACTTCCACGCAGACAGATGGAGGGACCGAGATTTAGATGTTTCTGGGTGCTGCTCGCAGTACTCGTGCTACGCACCCATGCGGCCTGCACGAGTTACGGGGTGGACTACTCCAATGGGGGCACTTATAATATCGACGGGTCCTCGAACCAGTACTTCAGTTTCGTCACGGTATTCCAGGGTACGTTCTCCGTTTTCTCGATACTTGTCGTTACTCGACTGCCACCAGTAACAGAGGGTTATGAACTGCTCACACTAGCTCAGGATGCAACCAGGAATCTATAAATCCCGTCCTAGTTGGACCCGACCAGAACGAATATGCCTGTTCCGCCATCAGGACGCAGCCTGCCGGTACCCAGGTGACATCGACTTGGTATGGAACTGTCCAGACCGCAATCTAGGTATTACCCACTATCTTGGACAGTGGCTCACCATGTTATACAGCGGCATTCCGTACTCGGCCATGCAGTCTGGGACCTGGCGTATTATCGTCTCTGGGGACCAGATAGCCACCCAACGCACTGTCAAGCTCGTCGTTGGTCTCCCCCAGACAACATGGATCACGGTGTGTAGAAGTTCTGTTCCATGTTGCTTGGCTGCGAAATTGGAGTAGGCAGGCTAACAGTTAAAAGGCGACCCCTACTGTCGTGATTGGATATACCGTCACGGCGAGGGCCCAGAGTATTTGAAACCCAATCCCCCATCTTACTTACTTAGTTGCCGTGAGCTTACTTTTTTCACTCTCAGCCGTTATTAGCACGCTCTCCCAGACCCAGACACTTATTCTAGTCCCCCCAACCGTGACGGCTCCATGCACTGGCGGAACAAGAACAGTCACGTCCTACCCCCAGGGGCCCACGACGACCGTCTGGTCTACCGTGGTCAGGACGGCAACCGACGGGCAGGAAACAAGCTACTGGACAACGACCGTGGCCGCAACAGCGGTCTGTCATTATCCATCAGGAAATGGTAATAACTTCTCTCCCCCGCCCAACTGGCCGACCGACTGTCTCAGCCTATGGTGCAGGGCCATAGTCAGGTGCTAATTGTGACTTTAGTTAAGCGAGAAGTTGCTGCCACTGCCGTTGTCGCCGCAATTACATCGACATACACGCAGACCACTCGTACGGTTACCAGCACAATGATTACGACTATCCCGGGGAGGACGAGTACGGAACTCAGTGAGTGTGATTATAAAGCAGCATGTCAGGCTCACCTAAACTGACAAAATTTTAGTTCTCAAGACAGTAACGGCCACCATGTAAGTTACTAGAACTACCTCTCTCCCCTGTAATAGTATCTAGCCTGTTACTAAGAGTGATCCTCTAGAACACCTGCCGCTTCGACTATCTGCGCCAACGGGGGTCAGCCCGGCGTCACCGTCACAGTGAACCGTGGCACCCCGACACTAGCCACCGAGACAAGCCTCGTCTATCAGACAACTCACCTGTCTGGGACCTTATATATAGGGTACGCTGGCATTTTCACCAAACCCGTGCCAGGCTACTTTATGGACTTCAGCTAATCGTACTGTCACAGCCAAACCCAGTATACAACATTCACAAACCAGGCCAGCGCAACGGCCTGTTGGAGAGCGGGTGGCTGGTTTGGAGCCTAGATTGGCAGAATCTTTATTTTGCGGCAAGTGGATGGTCGATACTGCTGCTGTTTATATTCTATTTCATGGGCCCCTCGAAGTGGGCTATAATCAGGGCAGTTGGCTAGCATAGCAGCTAGAAATCGGCCAATATTCAATGACCGTGTATTTTCCAACTACCAGTCGTCCTCTTCGTCACCTTCGAGACATATCTCATGGCCGTCGCCCTCCCAAACAAACAAGCTAGCAAGGACGCCACATATTGCAACTCCGCTAAGCCCCCACCACACTGCACCGATTATACCCCTTTCCAAACTCAAACCGTAGAGGAAGCCGCACAGGACGGGCCCCAATGTCCTGGCAAAGCTACTGACGCTCTGGCCGATGCCGTGTACGGTTCCTAGGACGCTGGGGTGAGGTGTGCAATTGTTCACCAGGATAGTCTGGGCAGGAAGCGCAAATGTCCGGCCTATAACCTGGATAGTGACTACTCCAGTGAGGGCCAACCACACAGCAATGCCGTTCTTGGGGTTTGGTGGTGGACTGGCTGCCGAACTCGGCACAAGACTTAAGTAGGGCAATAGGAAGTAGGTAAGAGGAAAGAACAGCAGAAACAGGCGCCAGCTCCGGACTGTGCCCATCCTCGCCGAGAGCCATGGGTACACTCCCAGCTGCAGGCAGATACCAACAAACCCCAGGACAGCCATGGCCATGCCAACTTCTCGCGGCTGGAGGCCTAAGCCACCCGTAAAGACGAATGGTAAAGATCGGGGGAGGGTATTGAGTGACGATAGGGGTTTGTCCGGGTCGTAGACGGGGGTCGACAAAAAGACAAACCAAAGGGAATTGAAGCTCCCCAAATGGAATGAAACGATGAAACTCGCTATGAATGTCAAGATAACATTGCGGGTAAAGATTCGCCGAAAAGCAAGTCTTTGGCTATATCGGCGACGAGGCTGTCTTGATTTGACAATGTTGCCAGGTACCAACGGCTCGGGTAGAATGTCTTCCGACGCAGACGCTTCGATGATGGCGCTAGGGTCTTGAGAACCCAAGGGCTTGTAGGCCACTCCGAAATGGCTGCTTGAGAAGCAGAGCCTCAGCTTGCGTCCAAGCTCAAGGCCTCTGTCACTCTTCCCTGAGCGTAAGTCCAGCGTCTATAAGTCATTAGTAACGTGATCGTGGGTTTGTTGTCCCAATACATCGGTAAACGCACCTCTTCCAAGTTTAGCCAGACACCAAGCATGGCACAGAGGAGGAAAAATGCCGAGACTAAGTTTGGGGCAGCATAGGGAAACCGCTCGAAAAACTTTACATGGCCAAACAAGCCGGGGTATGTTCCGGCTGGGTCTGAGAGGATACCTCCGAGCAAGGGACCGAGGATGATGCCGATATTGAATGTCATGGGAAGCAGCAGGAAAGCTCTGGACTGGAATCTGTCAACCGTATTAAAGGAGGAAAAAGAGCGAAAAGGGCGACTTGTGATGCGAACCTTTTCTCTCTGACAATCTCGCTAATCCTTGGAGAGTGTTAGCAATGAAACGACTACTAGGCAAGGGCTCCCATTTTGTCGACCTACATTGTTCGGAGCACGCCAACATTACCGTTCGTAATGCCGCCCAGGGATCTGAAGACCAGGGCCTGCCAGAAGGTGGTAGAAAAGCCAAAGCCAATACATGAGAGCACTTGGTCTAGTTAGCTTGAACTGATATGGTGGGTTTTCTGCTTGTTCTTACTCGTGCCTCCAAGACCAATCAGCAAGACGGTCTTGCGACCAAAGTGTTCTGAATCCGCAACGCGTCCCCATACCATGGCAGTCATAAATTGAGCAGCGGTGAAGCTGGCACTAGGTGACGTCGCGAATCAACGTCCAGTCTAAACTGGCAGCTTGGTGAAGCACCGTGTTTGATCAAATGTCCCCCGACTCGTAAACCGGGCTTCAGGGGGAGACAGGGCGCTGGGTGTTTGGAATACGAACTGCAAGACACCAGCCTGACTGGCAATGACAGAATCGGAGATGCTCGGATTAAACCATTTGAGTTGGTAGAACATGTACGACTAAGCAAGTATTAATACCAGAGGCTCATAAACTCGGGTCTAAGTATACATGGCCTCTGCCCCTCTCGAGGATACTGACCTGGAGAGACGTCTGGACGAGTGGTTCACTCAGCCTTGCCAGGGTAATAACGACGAGCTGGCTCTTTCTTGGGAGGTCTCTCCACGACACATTCTTCGCACTATGGCGGCTGCGCTGGCGGGGACGGGGGCCGTCAATGGCGTCTTCTGTACCCATAACGGCGGAAGCAGTGGTGGATATGCTGGGTTTGAAGGTTTGTCGTTCAAGGTGAGCCGTTAGGACACGCCCGTGACGCTGCTGGGAAGGTTCGCTACTAGTAGATCCAGATCCCAGGAGCAGAGAAAGGCGCTCTGGGTCAAGTGGAAGGTCTGAGTCTTGGTCTAGGTCGAGCTCGGCGGCGACTTTGGATACCCCCCCTCCGCCTTCCCTGCCCCGAGAGCTCATTGATGCGGAAGGCGCACTCGGTGGCAACCAATCCGAAGCGGGCAAAAATTCGGAAACAAGCCTTTACGTCTTCAAAGGCAGCAGGAGCGGCAAACCTGTGCCGAACTAGACGAGCACGTCACGATTTCTATTCCCCACAATTGGACTCGAACTGGACCGCCGGTCTTTTTCTTAACGGGCAGGGAGGGGAATGAGATACAGAAATTCGGCAACTTAGCAAACAAAACGCGTACGTACATTTAATACTACTAGTACTTACTTGGTAACGTCTGAAGTCGACTACAGTGCTGGGTGAGGAGTAATAGAGGCTGGTTTCGTGCCCCACCAACTGAATGTAGGGACGAAAGATTTGAGAGGATGCGAATTAAATATGCCTACCAACCTAAGAACTGCCTAGCCCAGCTGGCCGGTGTGCTTGCCTTTGGTAGGTCTGGTGCCTTAGCGATGCTGACAATACGTATGCATGGACGCGCCGGTTGTCGGCTGCTGTTTATTCTGTATTTGGGAACTGTCCTGGTCAACCTGTCTCCGCCCCGCCCCACTTCAGTACCGCAACAGCACTAGTTTGTAGTTACTGCCTGACCCAAGGTGCATCACGGCCTTCATGTAAGGCATACACCCTACCACAAACCTGGTCGGCGCCCTTTAACCGATGCTGAGTTGTTTATAAACCTAGTAGCTAGGGAGTAGTTAACCGGGTAAAGGATATGTGTACCTTGCCTTCATACGGAGTACCCCGGACTCCTCGGCCTGCTTAAATGCGGTCGGCACACATGCAACACCGCCATGCGAATCCATTTATTAGTGCCAGCTTGGACATCTGTGTTCTGCGGTATGAACCTCGAAGAGGCCGCAGTTCCATGTCTTTGAGAGTTAATATGGGCAAGGCACATGAGGAGATTCGTGTATGCTTTTTTTGCTGGACCTGGTATGTATCATTGCCATCTGACTGTGCTCTACCATTCACTGGGCTGGAAAGGCAAACTCCCGTCATAGGGAGCTTCGCGCCCTTCAATTCGAGTCGCACCATATGCCGCCCACATACGTCGTCAACCCGAACAAATCCATTCAGCGACAATTCGTTTAGATAATCCAAAGTTCGAAGAATACACGAACGCTGCTTTTGCAAACTTCGAGCAACTGGACTATCTCAAGACTACCAGGTAGGTACCTAGGTACATGTACCTCCTCGGAGTCGCCGCCCCACTTGTGCTTAAACTTTGGTAAAGAGCACCGGACGGTGTTATCCCTCTCGAAGGCCAAGCCGACAAGAGCGAGGGATGGGATCGAGGCTATCATGAAGCGGCTCCTTCTTGGCCCATCACTTCTCGGACTTTTTATCTGCCTGTCGCCTAGGATCTCAAGACCAACCGCGGTTGTTGGCTTGAGTTGAACTCTCATTCCTGGACGAACTAGCCAAGATACTTCGTACACACCTATCTAGATCTCGATATCGAGTTCACGGCGCATATTTGCCATGCCTCGTCGTCAGTGTTGGTACCTTTTCTCCAGAGCCTGGCATTTGCTATGATCGACGCATGTCGGACTGCACACGCGAACCTTTGATGACCGGCAACGATGATATTGTTGTGGGGGACATAAACGGTGAACACAAGTTGTGCCGGGTGGCCATGCTTGGGACATCCGAAAGAGCGCACGACGAGGGGTATTTGATGGGGACACCTAACCGTCAAAGTTCTACCTGATTCTGTATTTTCTCCGTGCTATCACAGTTTGCTCCTAGTTGCCACGGTGTGGTCATATCTCCTTGCGGGTGAAGGGGAAGCCGAGCTTCGCCATCATCATAACATCCAGAGATCATCAAGCGGCTAACTGCAGGCATCTTTCTTTCCTCTAAACCCCACATTTTCCTTATTTTAAGATTTCACGTGTAGGTAGGCAGTGCTTGTCTAGTCTACCCACCGGAGACCAGCTCCCGCGACAAGGCAAGGACCAAGTATTCTTTCCAGGAGTCTCAAACTTCAAGTTTCCTCCCACCACCCACGGTATCTGCCCACAAGCGTCGGCAGATCTCCCGCCAACGGGCTTGGCGCCGAGTCTATTAGGTATGCATATTTACACTTCCACACGGCTGCCGGCAGGACTTCGAGAAGCACACCGTGCTCAGTGAAAACCACACGCCAATATTCTGGCTTGCGGCGAGGCGCCCCCCAAACTGCCTTCGTTCTTGATTATATATCCAAGGGAGTAAATAATGATGTATTTATGTATTCGCCTGGAATCGCCTTCCTTTTATGTCTCACCGTTCATACACAATGTTCAAACATTCTTAGCCCGTTGATCTTATGTGTATCTTCATCCAAGTCCATCCACGCCCTTGGTTGTCACGACCTTGGTCGAAGGTTTCGGCTGTGGTTCAATTCTCTCCTCCTCGGGCTCGCAAAGACTGGACAGCCGAGACAGTCGAGTGTTGGAAGTCGGCCAGGCATGGCATCATTTGAGCAAGTTGTAGGGGATTAGAACAAATAAGTGTCTAGACCACACGATGAAGCCATGCCGTGGCAAATAACAAGGACATGGATGCGCCAAGTCTCGTTTCATGGAGGCCGTTCCCGCCGTCATCCCCGGACATTCTCTCACGTGCCCTGCCACGCCTGGCAAGAAACTCGAGGAACCCCGTACCGGAGGCTCTTCCCTGTTTCTTGGCTCGTGAACTACTCTACAGTGAGCCTGGCAATTGTCATCTATACTGGAGCCGCGTGGAGAAACTGAGGCACCTTTCATCCGAGAACTACGGATAGACGAGTGAAACTAAGGTACCTACCTAGGTAAGGTAGCTGCGGGGGAAGCTTGTATCGCCTTAGTGTCTCCTTTAGTGAGCTAGGCTCAAGTGCTAGCGTGATTTCTAGGAAACTTACAGCGCCTAAAGCTATCAGAAGCCGTTCAACGTTAGCCCCATTAGCCATGTGTAGTGGCGTCGTCTCCTTGTGGCGCGTATACGGGCAGGGATGTTGCTGGGCAAGACGACTCAACTATGCCTCGTGCCAGTGCTACCAGGGATCCTTAAGTATGTGGAACACCATCTCGGGCATAAAAGGGAAACATTTCGGTATCGACTGAGGTGTGTACGGTACTCGTTAGGCAGTTTCCAGGTTGTGCGCGAATATGTTGACATGGTGGAGCCTACTTAGGTATTGCCGCCGCTCGAAGGATAACGCTTTGTGGGCTATGTAGGTAGGTTGACGATGCGAAAATAAAGTGTTGCTGGGCCCTTTATCCTGTGATCCTAGTACGCTACCGCCGTGCATCCCCTACAAAGCTAACCCAGGTGTAAACACACGGGAGCCCGGACAAGCCGGTCTGGCACGGTCTGGGGGCTGTCTGTCTTCGTCTACCCAGACTAGCTGGGACATGGGACAAAGACTACCAGGCGGTTTAGTGACAACACCTCTCTCGCTTCCAGTCACTTTGGCCGGGATCATCAATAAATCTCCTCTTCTTTGAATGGCCGTCACCCAACCACCGCATAGGCAGCGAGCGGCGTGTGTGTGGCTAGTGAGAAGTGAGCATGGCTGCCCCTGGGTCATTCTACACAGGTATACCCTCACCGAGACAAAAGATACCTAGGTATTTCCCACGAGCCCAGGCGTTGCAGACTGACTACCTTGCTGGCAATATGGAGAGCGACGAGACTCGTAGGAACCGGTTTTTTTTTTACGTTCCACTTATCTTAATTGAGATGCTTTCCTTTCCGCCTCCCCGTCCTCTCCTTTCCAGCCCGTGCATGCACATGCCAGTAGGGTTTGAATGGATTTCGTTTTATTTTCCCGATTACCTTTTTTTCCGCTGCGCTTACCTGCTTCGTGTCATGTGCAAGGATATGCTGTTTCTCTAGAGCAGCCCTGCAAACTGCTGAGAAGGTTTTTCTGCCGTCTCTTCCATGCGGGCCCCATGGAGTTTTGGCCTCAACGTTATTATGGAGCACACCCTCCACCCCCTACTACGTACCTAGGTAGACACCCCCATTTCCCTCCAATTTAGTAAGGTCTTTGACACCTCGATGGTCCCGGACATTCCGTCCTGTGGGTGTTTTTTTGGCGTTTTGTGTGCCAGGTGAGACGCCCTCGGGTGACAGGTTCGTAGGAAGTGATTCCCGACAGCTTCCTCATGAACTCACAGCCTGGGCATTCTGGGTACATTGCACGCCTTAAAATGGGGCAAGAGTGTGGGTAATTTAGAAAGGGTGGCGTTTCCCAAAAGTCGAGTGTTGGTGCCTTCCTGGGCCTGGCCACAAGTACGTACCTACCGGAATAGCTGCAGAACGAGCAGGGGGGTAGAAATAAATAAAGGGAACTTCACTCTGGTTCCGTCGATTTGTAAATTCCCGTCCGTCATGATGCCAAGATTATCGTTCCATTGTCGAGTCAACTGGTTGGCCGGATGTACTGCCCGAGCAGCTCTTTGTAAAAACACGCGTCTGTGATGCCGGGAGTATCTCCCCGAAATATCGAGGTCCATGATCTTGAAAGACTGGGCCCCTTTTTGTTTCCCTCAAATGTAACATTTGTGAATAGGAAGTCGAGTTCATTGGTTCTCTTGTCGTCCCTATATAGGACACCGCAAGCTTACCGCGAGCTTGGCGGCGATCTATTTCCGTAGAAGCCATACAGGCCTATTGACATTTATTTCCTCGATGCAGCAAAATGAATGGAAAAAGAAGTACTATAATCCTTATGGGGTATATGCCCAAAATGAACGACCCTTTCCAACCGTGCTTGGCTTATGCGCCCAGTGGAGTTTTTCCCCAATCGCTCCTGGTCCACAAACCTGTCCCATGCGTAAATATAACCCACAATAAACTCCTTGTGCCATGTTGACCGCGCCACTCTATCCGTATCCCCACCTGAGGTAATAAAAAAAAAAAGAGTTTAGACCGAGCCATGCCTTCATTCGTCGGGTCAACCGATCGCTGGTTCAGAGTTGGTGAATGTCGTGAGAGTTGTCTCGCAAGAATAAAAGAAAGAGCGCCATTCATTGGGTTCGATAGAACCGCCGGAACCCAGGGGTCGACTGAACGCCACCGAACAACAAACAGCCTGCATCCCAACGACCGGCATCAGTGTAGATTGCAAAAAAGTCCGATCAAAGACTCGGTGACTGCGAATAGTACGCAGCTGTCGGGTACATGTTCCAGGATTGCTGCTGAAGGTAGTTTGAAGTTTGTCGCACGCTGGTGTGAGAATACCCTTGATCTGTCGTGGATGAATACCGGTCAGTAAACCGCACCTCGGGGCCCAAGGGATGGTGGCCTTACCGGCGCCGGCGTCGAGTTCTTCGTATTCTACCTTGCTGCCATCCAGACAGGAAATCGTGGAAGGGTTAATGACGTTGTTTTCCATCATTGTCGAGGGCACACTAGTGGGAATATAGCCTGGCACGTAGTCGTCGGGATAGCCGGTAGACGAACAGGGGCTGGAGACCACTGAAGGTACCGAAACTGAAGAAACGGGGACTACCGAGGACCACGAGTCGCAAGGCTCAGGCGTGGGCAGGTAGGAACCCCGGAAGGCAGGGACCGTGTTGTATTCGGCCGAGGCCCGACTAGACACCCCGGATCTAGCGGCCGCCGGCAGCCCGTCTAAGTCGTAGCCTGAACCCGAGACTGTCAAACCCTGCAACGGAGGCTCGCACATGTTCCCCATAAGCATACCTGGTGCTGGATATGGGCGGCCTTGAGTGCCAAGACGTTCTCTCAGTGCCATCAGCTCCCGCTCAAGGGCCTTGTTTCGCTTGGTCAGACCCCTAACAGTTTCGTCTCGGCTCTGTCTTCCCTTGAGCTCCTCCACCTCCCTCTCCAGTCGCTCGATATGCTCCTTGGTACGAGCCCGAATGGCGCGTTGGGCTTCCCGATCGTTCGCCCGTTTCCTAGCCAGCTGCGAAGGCGTGAGGGTCGATACACTCCTGGTACCTGTAGCAAAGTCAGATGGGTTTTTGCCTTTTTCCGGGACACGGAACCCCGTGTAGTCACCCACCTTTTCTCTTGGAGGAGGGCCTGGCTGCCTCTGCAGATGGTGATCGTGTCATGGTGTTGTGTTATGTACTTGTTGCTTGCGGATGCCCGCGCTATCTCTGGTCAAGGCGGCTCGTCGTTTTACATATATATATATAAGTTCCACGAAAGTAGGAATAGACGAAATCTCAAGCAACCAGACGAGAACCATGGCTAACCAGACGCTGCCAGGGTTTAACCACTTATAAAGAACGCATCAGGTAGCCCCCAACAGCCCTAATCCAGCCAAGATGGCCCCGCTCAGGGGCCATGGAGAGATCAACCAAGCCTGTCCACCCACACGGTGGAGCATTGTTCAGTGTGCGGCGTCTAGCCACTAGGTAGCAGGACTAGATCTAGACCCTAGTGTGGCCACGGCAAGAGAAGTAAGGACTACCTTGCTTAGCCCATGCTGACTGGACTTCCCATTGCCAGTCCCAGTCCCAGTCCCATTCGCGGCGGCGGCGGCGGACAGGGGGAAGGGAAGGAACAGAGGAGAACCTAAGGGGCAAGGGCGGCGGCCTTCTCTCGGCCGCCCGGTTTCTTCTCGGCCTGTTCCGGCGAGGCTCGCCCCCACACTCTCGCTCCTCTGCTCGGGCCAAAGCGACGCCAATGACGAAAGATTCACCCATGAAAACTAAAATCCTGAACCGACCTCTTCTAGAATCCCCGGTGGGCAAGGGTACGACCTAGTGTACTGGGCCCATGAATTAAAGTTCACGCTACCTGCAAAACCCCTAGCGCACAGGGGGCGTACGTATACGAGTCTCGTCGGTAGGTATAATTTTCCTAGGCCGAGTTGTCGCTGCGGGCACCTGGGCCCCTCAGGGTACTTCCCGATGAGTGAAACGTGAAGGCATGTTGTGTTGAATCCTTGTTTTCTGTAGAGGGTCCCGACAGTTCTCGAAAGGGTGCATGCTCAGGGCGGGATAGGTTGAGCCAGCTTTCCTTGCTGCTTCCCTACACATTCCGTTCTAGATCGATGCTAAACCACAACTGTCCCGTGAACCCTGTATACCACCTGGCTACCAAACTAGTACTACCTTGCCATGCGACGACATGTAGACTAGACGGGATAGTTGCTGTGCCCCTAATGTGAGCTACCACCCCTTCAACTAACACATCGAAGCCAAGCAAAAACTACGTATCGCCTATTCCCGAGGCCGTAGATTATACGCCGCAGCTGTGTGGGGCATTATCTATCCGTATCCCGTGGCAGGGTGGCATTGACAGGAAACAGTCCCGGCCGACAAGGACATACACGCATGTCGGGTCTGTCCTGTGGCAAGGTAAGGTATACCTGACTGCTGGGCTCGTAAATCTTGCGTTACGGCCTCAAGGCAACTGCATCGCGTCATCACGTTATTCTCGCTGAATGCCCCGGAAAGGGCTTTCAGCTGCCACAGCTTTGTTGTGATCCAGACTGCTAGTGGTAATATTCTTGTCGCCAAAGGCCCGGCATGTTTTCTCGTCGACCCCTTACCCCCCGAATTAGGAATATAGACTCAAATATCTGGAAACGGCTAATACCAGGCACCAAGACCATAGATATTAGACAAGTTGCGGCTTTGTCGGCTAGAAGAGCCGAGCTGTTGGCATAATATCGGTATCTATTGGTTCTCCTACCTCCGTAACCTTATTGACGGGGTCTTGAAGGATTGGAGAGGAGAGAAGAATCACATAGTTATCCTCATGCGTGTTCGTTCTTTGCCTCATGAGCCGACTATGTTGACAGCTTCAAAGGCCTAAATGACATGAAGTGAAAATAAATTTCTATTCGTAGACTGCCCGATGAAGTTCAGAGACACTGGTATCCGCTGGACATCACTTCTTGGCACGTTAATTATCGGAGCCGAAGGCGTCGGCAAGACTCTTTTGAAGCCCCGATGGGCAATCTGCCGAGACTGTCACATTGAATATTAACAAAACCCCCAAACATGAAAGCATAAAAAAGTCCGTGGCTAACTTATTGATGTTGTTGATGTTCCGGCAGCAGGCTCGAGGATGAGGGTTGCGAGACTTGGGCTGTCATCACCTCGAACCTGTGGCAATGTTAACACGGCATCCAACTTGGTCTCACAGAGCGTTGTTCCATTCGGGGCTATCTTCAACCAGGTCTGGGCGCTCCTTGTTGATGATTGCCTCAATAGCCACATTCGAGATAGGCCACATCAACGGTCACGGGGCCAGAACCATTGGTGCGTTTGTATCTCATCCACGTAGTGTTATTCATAATTGGCGTTTCTTGCGGCATTTAACAGATCCTCCATTCCGCCAACTTGTGTAGGTCCAGTCATTCCACTAGGTGGCAAGGCCCAGGTGGGCAACGGACTGGTGTAGCTCCAAGCGCCCTGTGAATCTTCATAGCGACGACTATGCAGCCATAGCAGAAGCTCTTGGTCGCCGGGGTCGGTATACAAGGGCGTATCGCAGACGTCGCAAACTTCCCCCGACATTCTCTCCGCCTTTTTCTTATTGTATTCGTCCACCATCTCGTCATGGTACGCGACGGCGTCAGCGACCTCGTCCTTTCCCATCCGCGAGAGGCGCGTAATGATATCCTCGTCGGTGTTTTCAACAGCATCGGCGTCGTTGCATCCAAGATCAATACCCCACACTCTCTGGTTGGCGTAGATGGGATCATTTTGGATGGGATGCCCAAGAAACTGGAGGTGGACTCTCAGTTGGTGGGTCCTGCCAGTTACAGGCAAGCATCGCACGATGGAATAACCCTCGTCTGGCCTTGCGCGCATTTTCTCGCCAGTTGCAGCCCCTGAGTGTTCTGATAGATCAGGCTCATCCGCATTTTGTGCTTCAACTGACTTGCCCGTCGGAGGGTAGTAAGCCAGGCGCTTGAATACTGTCCTTGCGGGTTTTCCGTCTGCACGTACTCGGTTCAACCCAAGCTTAGGGGATATTAAGAGGATGGGCTGGTCACAAGCAATATCTCCATCAGGAAACTTGCCGACGACGCGAGCGACATATTCCTTTCGGACACTCCGTTGTGAGATTTGGAGGGTCAGGCGCTCGGCTGCCCTCGTGTTCTTTGCCATGAACATGATTCCGCTGGTCAGCCTGTCGAGCCTATTGCAAGGTCGGGGTAGAAAGTCCGGACCTCTCTCCGCCTTCATAATTTCCACAACGGAGTTGAAATGATAGCGGCCGGCGGGGTGCACGGGTACGCCCGGTGGTTTGTTTATGACAATCATGTCTTCATCCTCGTGGATGATACCAATGGGCTCGGCGGTTATGGGTGGCTCGTGGCGATGAGTGGTATGAGAGACAAGGTCGCCATTTTTGAGTATGTAATCCGGACCTACGGTGGCACCGTTGACGGCAACTTGGCCACTCTCCATACAGGCTTTATAGTATTCCAAAGGCCGATCTCTGAACTCGCTCGAGAAAACGTCAATGAGCTTCCTATCCCACCACCGCCCCTTGCACCACGTGTTATACGTATAGTGGTATGGAGCAACACGTCGAAGACCACCTTCTATGTAGTATCTCTCGAGTCTTAGGTCGCTGAGCGTCGCCGTAAGAGAATGGATCTTGGGTTGGCGGGTCAGAGGGGGTGGGGATGCGCCGATGGTGTCGCTGTGGGCCATGGCGGCGGCCGCCGCCGCAGTCGTCGTCGTAGCCGAGATCCCCATATTCCTAACCGGAATTAATAGGGAAAGTAGTCGATTGAAAGCGCCCAGTATCGAAGCCCGCACCTGCGCCGGCGGCATGTGGAGATTTCAACACTGGCAGGCGGTGCTTATCCGGACTGGAAAGCTTGAAATATCCAAGAAGTAGTCCGCCCGAGGTTTAGTTAGCGAAGAAAAAAGGCGGTGGGGAACGGCAGATCCCGACCAACGATCACTCAGCTCGGTCCATGCGGGGTTACTTCCCCTATTTTAGAGCCACAGGTCCGTAGCGTTGCAACGCCGAAATATAACATGAGAGACATAGACGTGCAGTCCTATTCACTATTCTATACATCTGCTCAGCTTGCCTCACTATCTCGATGTCACATCATACGAAACTAAAGAGCAGGATAAGGGCGGACTACCCCTTCATTCTAGAATACAGAACACGATGGTAAATGATGCCTGTATGGAAATCTCCTCTTGTATAATTGACGTTGTCCCGACTAACGTGGCTAAAGGAGCGACAACGACATGTATGATCATATGAACAACTCTATCTACAACTTTCTCTACGACTCGGTAATTAACACCTATCTCATCGAGCACTGTGGCCTGCATCCGCCAACCTCACAGCAATATGGTATGGTAGTTCATTCTCATAATAACTACTTTGCCTCGATCGCTTTCCCGGCATGCGCCGAGCTTGCACTTCGTGTCAACCGAATAGGAAATTCTAGTGTTACCTACGAGATTGCTTTATTTGAGAGAGGAGTCAACTCTGTTAAGGCAGTTGGGGAGTTTATCCAGGTCTTTGTTGACCGAACGACGAAACGGCCAAATCCCAATGGGATGAGTACGTCATTACGAGAAGGTTTACGTTCTATTCTTATAAAATCTCATCTTTAATAAAGAGTAACGTAATTGCATAGCGAGCGCGCATGTATAGCGAGCGCGCACTTTTCCCACCCCAATTGAACTATCGCAAAACATCGTAAATTTCTCCACGATAAAACATGCCCGCCGTACGAAATGAAGCACAAATACAGCTTGCCCTTCAAGCTATGCAACGCGATAAGAATCTTCGCCTTGCAACTGCTGCAGCCCGATATTCCGTACCCCGAAGAACACTTGAGCGGCGTTCGAACGGAATCCTCCCTCGAGCAGAAATTATTGCCAATTCGCGGAATCTTGACCCCCTTGAAGAGCAGGTTATCATACGAAGGGCTCTCGACCTATACGAGCAAGGATTTTCGCCAGGATACGGTATAATAGAAGATATGGCCAATTTGCTACGCGCGACGCGTAACGCGTCACGCGTCGGACCACGCTGGGCTGCAAACTTCGTACGACGACAACCAGAGCTCAAGATGCGTTGGACGCGTCCGTACGACTACCAAAGAGCTAAATGCGAAGATCCAAAGATAATTGGCGCGTGGTTTGACCGTGTTCGTAATACAATTGCGAAATATGGGATTCTCGAGTCGGATATCTGGAACTTTGACGAGACTGGGTTTACGATGGGCCAGATCTCGTCAACACTTGTTGTTACCTCGTCCGACGGCCGTGCGAAGGTGAAGAAGATCCAGCCTGGTAATCGGGAATGGGCTACCGTGATTCAGGCCGTACGGTCGGGTGGTGATACTATCCCTCCGTATATAGTGGTTGCGGGCAAAGTCCACCTCGAGAGTTGGTATTGCGATAGCCCTTTCCCATCCGACTGGGTAGTGGATCTCTCAGAAACTGGTTGGACGAATAACCAGATTGGTCTTAATTAGATTAAACACTTTGACCAACACTCTTGCCGCCGTACGATAGGTGGAAAGCGACTCCTAATCCTTGACGGGCATGAGAGCCACCATTCGGCCGAATTTGAGGACTATTGCAAAGAAAATAACATCATTACGCTTTGTATGCCTCCGCACTCATCACATCTACTTCAGCCTCCTGATATCGGGTGTTTTAGTGTATTGAAGCGGTCGTACGGCAAGTAAATTGAGAAGTTGATGCGCAACCATATTCACCACATCACTAAGCCCGACTTCTTTCTCGCCTTCTTCAACGCATTCCACGCGACATTTGAACCCGAAAACGTACAAGGAGGTTTTCGAGGGGCAGGCCTTATTCCATTCGACCCAGAGAAGGTCATTTCCGGGCTAGATATCAAGCTTCGTACGCCAACACCTACTGGGCCCCCCGAGGCCTCGTACAATAGTTGGGTCTCTCAAACGCCACAAAATGCTACCGAAGCCTCTCTACAGTCAATACACATCAAGGATCGTATTGCTAGACATCAAGGCAGTTCACCCACCCCGATTATTGAGGCCCTTGATCAGATTGTAAAGGGTACGACAAAGGTTATGCACGAGATAGTGTTGATGAAGGCGGGCGTGCGAGAGCTTGAGGAAGCAAATGCAGCATTGAGCAAACGCCGGAGAGCTAAAAAAAAGTCGTATCCGGGCAGGAGGACCATTGGCTAGGGAAGAAGCGAGTGATATTTTGGCCCAAAGGGATGCGCATGCATTGGTAGAGAAGGAAAAGCGATCGAGGGGTGGTCGTACGAGGAGCAACGCAACAGGTTTACGACACTGTAGTAATTGCGGCAAAATAGGACACAACTCTCGTACATGCAAGGAGGACGCGAAAATGGATGAGTAATTAGATTCTGAGTAGTTTCTATTAATTTTTTTCCTTTGTGGTGTTGGTATTTCGTATAATAGTTCAATTGGGGTAGGAAAAGTGCGCGCTCGCTATACAATCACGTTCTGTGTTACATTATTCTGTCCGAAGGACAATATTACGCTCAAACTTTCAAAATTGATAAGGAAACTGATAAGGAAATTGGGGATCCGCAATGCGATCCCGTAATTGGCTGGATGACTGGCGCGACCAACCACAGCCTACAAAACTGGCACACTTGCTCTAAAATTAATGCACGCGGTACCATTGCGTGCATAACGGCAAGGCGATTCCAGATCTGAAGTCAAATCCTGGATGCGATTGGTTTTGGCCAAGATGCAAGCATTTGAATGATTGGTGGCATACAGTGTGGATGGGCTAGGTGGGGTGGCACGTGCACAAGTGGGTTTCGAGGGCCACACAACTGACCTCGCGCACAACCCCACCACGGTTTTCTCCCTGTTGTGTAATTAATTGTTTTTTTTTTCTTCATTGCACACATGCAGCCTCTAGAGCTATGGCGTGGCCCGTCAAAGACTGGCGGTCTATCTACCTAGTGTACTAGTAGAAAATAGAGAAAGCAAGAGCTAAGTATTACAAACCACTCGACTGTTAGGGTCGTCTGTCTGTAAGGGACCACGGGCTCCACAGAATGCTGGGGTTGGTAATTATGAAGATAGAACAAAGGGCAAGCTCCTATCGCACGGGTAATACAGTCAAATCGGAATGCCACTCAAAGTGTATGACTACAGCGAATGTGTACTGCTTGCTTGAAGAACCAAGCAAGAACTATCTAAGACCGTGGACACGGTCATCGTATTTATTTAATTATGGCGGGCCAGTAAGAGCGCAGCTCTTACTTGCCCAGCAGGAAGGAGCTGCCTGGCGCCGGGCACTGCTAGCGTGCCGGGCCATTTGCCTGGTGCCAAGACCCTTCTTGGCACCGGGCCACCTCTGATTGGCCGTCCTTCCGTTTGCCTGGTGCCAAGAGCCCTCTTGGCACCGGGCACCATCTGATTGGCTATCGACGAGCGGGGCCCCCAGTCTTGCCTGAGGCGCCCGCCTTCTGCAGCTGGTCCAGTACGAACCAGGTTCGTCACACTAAGTACATCGTTAGGCACGTAGCTTTATTAACGTAATAGTTTCATAGTAATGGGGTTCCTTTGGCCAGACTTATACTGTACCACCCTCGGGCCTGAATAATAAGGAAAGTGTGCTGTTGTCCCAACAGGGCCAACTAACTGACTCAGGAAATATAGGGATGAGAATAAAGGATAAAGGAAATAGATCAATATTTCCTGACTTCTTCTAGCCATTTCATTGTACAAATCCTCGTACTACTAAGGAAGTCCCCTAGGGCCTTTTTTCCCTCGATGGTGTAGAATAATATTTGGAGTGTGAGAGGGTAGCTTTTCAGGGCTTTTGTCAGGGCCTTCCGCTCTATAGTGTATTTTTTGCACCGTAGTAGTATGTTTGTAGGTGTTTGGTCCTCCAGACAACCGGAGCATTCGCTACTTTCCACTTTCCCAATCTTCGCTAGATGACTAGCTAAGAAGCGTTATTTCCACTTCTAAGGCCTTGTAAGGAGAGTTTCTGAACGCTCCCAGCATCTGTTCTACAGCTAAGTTCTGTAGCCGTTGGTATTTTTAGACTAGCTGCTATTAGTGGTAGTGTGTAAGAGAAGGCAGGTACGCCTAATCAAGGTGGTCACAATAGGAGCAACAAGCAGGGCGAGCAATGACTGGTATTGGCGTAAGACTTCAACCTGGCCTGAGCTAAAGAGGTGTGCGAGGGCCATGGTCTATATACACGTGAAAGGGGTTACGAGTCATCCTTCCGTGGCCAGGGTGGTAGTCGCGATAGTGCGTGGCCCTGTTAGCGGTGGCGATAGTGGCGATGGTGGCGAGGGTGGCCCTGGTGGCGGTTGCCATGGTGGTTACGAGGGTGGTTTCCTTACATAGTGGCCTTGGCAGTCTTTATAGCCTTTCCACCATAGTTGGACGCCGTAGTCGGCTACTGACGTAATACAGTCTACGTATAGTTGCCTTGATGCCCTGAACGACATTCCCTTTTCTGTTGTACCGAGTCTTTGTAGGCCGTAGTAGACGGCCGTAGCCGCCTCTATCTTCTTTTCCACGTGGGTTTTGAAGTCTAGTTTTCTGTCCAGAAATACCCCTAGCCAGCGGACTACTTCTACTGATTTAACCACTATAGAGAGCCCTAGAAGAGGCCCAAAAAATTACAACTACTACGTCTACTACGTCTACCACTACGTCTACCACCTTCTATATCTTCGTGGATAGCCAAGCGGCAATCCAGAGGTTAGAAGGCTACACATACCATGCAAAAAGGGCCCAAAGGCTAGTTAGGCTACTAGTCCAAAAGGGCCATAAAGTCGAAGTCCACTGGTGCCCTAGCCACGTTGGAATTGTTGGTAACGAGATAGTGGACCAATTAGCTAAGGCCGGCCTAGAAAACTAACAAAAGAAGTATATGTATCACTAGCTTACCTACGAAGACAAGCCAAGACCTTATTGAAAAAAGCCTGGAAAACCGACTGGCTAAGCCAAGAAGATAGGGAAGCAACAGGACAAAAATCCAAAGGCTTAGGCACACACTATAGAAGGGTAGCCCGGGACTTAATCACTTACAGCTTCAAGCCCACAATACCACTATTACTTCGACTAAATCAGGCAGCCTATATCCAGTTGAAGACCGGGATTGGCTTCTTAGCTAGTTATCTAGCGAAGATTGGGAAGTGGAGAGTAGCGAATGCCCTAGGTGTTTCAATCTGAACAACAGGTCCACGGAGCTAGGCCCGGCCTAGGATTGTGGTGGTCTGGACGGCAGGTAGGAGATGACAAGAGACAAGGAGTATCGTGCACAGATTGCGAAAGACAGGCTTTCAACACACAACCAATGTATGCTTAACCAGATGCATTGATAGCTGCAGAACCGTTCTCCCAGAGGGAGCGAGCTGCCAGCTCCTATATAGAACTATGAGCAACCAATCAGAGTTCCTGCCTTACATGCTCAGTCGTGCTCAGTCCTAGACACACTGATCCCCACTGAGCTGCCTGCTCAGTGCGCTCAGTGGGTCTCGGCACTGAGCACTTCCTAATTAGATGCACCTTCTCTTAGCGAGAGCCCCCACCCTAAGTGCCGTTCCAGCCAATCTGCAGCGGGCGGGCAACGCCCTCTGCACCTTTCAACCAGGATCGTAACACTGGGTGTCT